CATTCATAGACTTGCGTATGTTGAACCAGCCTTGCATCCCCAGGATGAATCCTACTTGATCATGTTGGATAAGCTTTTTGGTGTGCTGTTGCAATCTGCTCACCAGTATTTTATTGAAGATTTTTGCATCTATGTTCATCATGGATATTGGCCTGAAGTTTTCTTTTCTTGTTGAGTCTCTGCCGGGTTTTGGTATCAGGATGATGTTGGTCTCATAAAATGATTTGGGAAGGATTCCCTCTTTTTGGATTATTTGGAATAGTTTCAGAAGGAATGGTAACAGTTCTTCTTTGTGTGTCTGGTAGAATTCGGCTGTGAATCCATCTGGACCTGGGCTTTTTTTGTGTGGTAGGCTCTTAATTGCTGCCTCAGCTTCAGATCTTGTTATTGGTCTATTCATAGTTTTGACTTCCTCCTGGTTTAGGCTTGGGAGGACATAAGTTTACAGGAATTTATCCATTTCTTCCAGGTTTACTAGTTTATGTGCATAGAGTTGTTTGTAATATTCTCTGATGATGGTTTGAATTTCTGTGGAATCTGTGGTGATTTCCCCTTTATCATTTTTATTGCATCTATTTGGTTATTCTCTCTTTTCTCTTTTATTAATCTGGATAGTTGTTTATTTTGTTGATCTTTTTAAAAAACCAGCTCCTGGATTTATTAATTTTTTTGAAGGGTTTTTCATGTCTCTATCTCCTTCAGTTCTACTCTGCTCTTAGTTATTTCTTGTCTTCTGCTAGGTTTTGAGTTTTTTTGATCTTGCTCCTCTAGCTCTTTCAATTTTGACGATAGGGTGTCAATTTTGGATCTCTCCACTCTTCTCATATGAGCACTTATTGCTATATATTTTCCTCTAGAGACTGCTTTAAATGTGTCCCAGAGATTCTGGTATGTTGTGTCTTTGCTCTCATTGGTTTCGAAGAACTTCTTTATTTCTGCCTTCATTTCATTGTTTATCCAGTTAACATTCAAGAGCCAGTTGTTCAGGTTCCATGAAGCTGTGCAGTTCTGAGTTAGTTTCTGAATTCTGAGTTCTAACTTAATTGCACTGTCTTCTGAGAGACTGTTTGTTATGATTTCCATTCTTTTGCAATTGCTGCAGAGTGATTTGCTTCCAATTACGTGTTCAATTTTAGAGTAGTTGTGATGTGGTGCTGAGAAGAATGCATATTCTGTGGATTTGGGGTGAAGAGTTCTGTAAATGTCTATCAGGTTTGCTTGTTCCAGGTCTGAGTTCAAGTCCTGGATATTCTTGTTAATTTTCTGTCTGGTTGATCTGTCTAATATTTACAGTGGGGTGTTAAAGTCTCCCACTGTTATTATGTGGGAGTCTAAGTCTCTTTGTAAGTCATGAAGAACTTGCCTTATGTATCTGGGTGCTCCTATATTGGGTCCATATATATTTAGGATCGTTAGCTCTTCTTGTTGTTGATCCTTTTACCATTATGTAATGTCCTTCTTTGTCTCTGTTTATCTTTGTTGCCTTAAAGTCTATTTTATCAGAGATGAGAATTGCAACTCCTGCTTTTTTTTTTGCTCTCCATTTGCTTGGTAAATCTTCCTCCATCCCTTTATTTTGAGCCTTTGTGTATCCTTGCATGTGAGATGGGTTTCCTGGATGCAGCACACTGATGGGTTTTGGCTTTTTATCCAATTTGCCAGTCTGTGTCTTTTGATTGGTGCATTTTTCCCATTTACATTTAGGGTTAATATTATTATGTGTGAATTTGATACTGCCATTTTGATGCTAGCTGGCTGTTTTGCCCATTAGTTGATGCAGATTCTTCATTTTGTTAATGCTCTTTAGCATTTGGTATGTTTTTGGAGTGGCTGGTACTGGTTGTTTCTTTATATGTGTAGCACCTCTTTCAGGAGCTCTTGTAAAACAGGCCTGGTGGTGACAAAATCTCTGAGTACTTGCTTGTTCACAAAGGATTTTATTTTTTTTTCACTTATGAAGCTCAGTTTGGCTGGATATGAAATTCTGGGTTGAAAGTTCTTTTCTTTAAGGATGTTGAATATTGGCCCCCACTCTCTTCTGGGTTGTAGGGTTTCTGCTGAGAGATCTGCTGTGAGTCTGATAGGCTTCCCTCTGTGGGTGACCTGACCTTTCTCTCTGGCTGCCCTTAGCATTTTCTCCTTCATTTCAACCCTGGTGAATCTGATGATTATGTGCATTGGGGTTGCTCTTCTTGCAAAATATCTTTGTGGTATTCTCTGTATTTCCTGGACTTGAATATTTGCCTGCCTTGCTAGGTTGGGGAAGTTTTCCTGGATAATATCCTGAAGAGTATTTCCCAGCTGGATTCATTTTCTTTGTCACATTCAGGTACACCTATCAAACGTAGATTAGGTCTTTTCACATAGTCCCATATTTCTTGGAGACTTTGTTCATTTTTTTATGTGCTTTTTTCTCTAATCTTGCCTTCTCATGTTATTTCATTGAGTTGATCTTTGACTTCTGATATTTTTTCTTCTGCTTTGGTCAATTCAGCTGTTGAAACTTGTGCATGCTTCACGAAGTTCTCGTGTTGTGTTTTTCAGCTCCATCAACTCACTTATATTCCTCTCTAAGTTGTCCATTCTTGTTATATCGTCGTCAAATCTTTTTTCAAGGTTCTTAGTTTCTTTGCATTGACTTACAACATGTTCTTTTAGTTCACAGAAGTTTCTCATTACCCACCTTCTAAAGTCTGATTCTGTCATTTCATCACACTCATTCTCCATCCAGCTTTGTTCCCTTGCTGGTGAGGAGTTGTGATCCCTTGTAGGAGGAGAGGTGTTCTAGTTTTGGGTGTTTTTCTCCTTTTTGCACTGGTTTCTTTCCATCTTTGTGGTTTTATCCACCTGTCTTCTGTGTAGTTGCTGATTTTCAGACTGGGTGTCTGAGTGGATGTCCAGATTGTTAATGATGAAGTTATTTCTCTTCCTTAGTTTTCCTTCTTACAGTCTGGCTCCTCTACTGTAGGACTGCTTAAGTCCACTCCAGGCTCTGCTTGCCTGGGGATCACCTGCAGCAGCTGCAGAACAGTAAGGGTTGCTACCAGTTTCTTCTTCTGCTATCTTTGTCCCCGAATGATGCCTGCCAAATGTCAGTGTGATCAGTCCTTTGTGAGGTTACTCTTTGGATATATGGGGGTCAGGCAGCTGCTTGAGGAGACAGTCTGTCCTTTATAGGAGCTCAAATGCTGAGCTGTGAGCTCCATTTTTCATTCAGAGCTGCTAGGCAGGTTCGTATAAGTCTGCTGCAGCAGAACTCATAAACCCCTTTTATTTTTCCCAGGTGCTCTGTCCCAGGGAGTTAGGGCTTTATTTATGAGTTTCCATTGCACTGCTGCCTTTTTTTTTCAGTGTTGCCCTGCCCAGCAAGGAGGCAGCCTAGTCACTGTCTGCCTGCAGAGGCTTTGCTGAGCTGCTGTGGGCTCCGCCTTGCTGCCATGTGAACTTCCCTGCAGTCCTGTTCATATGGGTGTGGTTAGAACTGCCTCGGCAATGGTGGCCCACCTCTGTAATGGCGGACTCTCTCTGTTATGGCGGGTTGCGTTGGCAACGGCAGACTGCCTCAGCAATGGTGGACTACCTCCGTAGTGGTTGAGTGCCTTGGTAATGGCGGACGCCCCTCCCCCACAGAGCTGCACCGTTGCAGGTTCAGCTGTGCTTGCTGTGAAACTCTCAACCCTGAGCATTTCCAATTGCTGTTTTTTGTTTTTGTTTTTGTTGGGGTGGGACCTGCCAAGCCTGATCACCTGGCTCCCTGCCTCAGAGCCTTTTTAAGTTGAATGGCTGACTCTCTCCCAAGTTTTCCAGTCGCCTGCTGAAAAGGCACTGGGATCTGTGTGATTTCCTGTGTGGTGACCCACTGTGCTGGCTGAAACAAGGGCACTGAGATTCGTGGTGCTTTTTTGCCTGGGAATCTCCTGGCCTGGATCCTTGTTTGAGTCCCGTTTAATCAGATGAATGGGCGAAACTGCCTTCCCAGAGCTCCAATTGCCAGCTTAAACGGGTGACCAGACCAGTGTGTTTTGTATGGAGAACTGCCGTGTCGGGGCACCGGCAAAACAGCTGTGCTGGCCAAAACAGTTGCGCTGGTGACCTGTGGGGCTCCTCCACCTGGAAATCTCCTCATCTGTGGGCAATAAAGATCAATCTGGAAATGCAGCATCCACTCATCCTCTGCCCTTTCACTGGGAGCTGAAATCCTGAGCTGTTCCTAAATGGCCATCTTGCTCCACCCACTGACCATGTTGCTTCTCAGCTTGCTCAGTCCAGCTGAGCCAGCTTTCCACTGGATTCCTGAATGTGAGATGGACACAGGCTCCCAGGACCATCCAGAAGCATCTTTTATCACATTAAAGCACTGAAACACTGGCTGGGTGCAGAGGCTCATGCCCATACTCCCAACACATTCAGAGGCTGTGGTAGGAGGATTGCTTGAGGCCAGGAGTTCAAGATCAGCCTGGGTAGCATAGCAATATTCTATCTCTACAAAAAATATACCCAAAAAATTAGCTGGGTGTGGTGGTACACACACGCCTGTAGTCCCAATTACTTGGGAGGCTGAGGCAGGAACATTGCTTGAGCCCACAAGTTTGAGGCTGCAGTGAGCTATAATTGCTCCACGGTACTCCAGGCTGGGAGACTGATTGAGACCGTCTCTAAAACAACAATAGGCTGGGTGCAGTGGCTCGTGCCTGTAATCCCAGCACTTTGGGAGACTGAGGTGGGTGGATCACCTGAGGTCAGGAGTTAGACAGTAGCGTGGGCAATGTGGTGAAACCTGTCTCTACTAAAAATACAAAAAATTAGCTGAGTGTGGTGGCAGGCACCTTTAAGCCCAGCTACTCGGGAGGCTGAGGCAGAAGAATCGCTTGAACCTGGGAGGTGGAGGTTGCAGTGAGCTAAGATCATGCCATTAGACTCCTGTTTGGATAACAAAAGCAAAACTCCATCTCAAAAATAAATAAATAAAACAAAAACCACTGAAACACAGAAAGCTGTAATATTGTAAGTTTCATTTTATTATTGCTTGTTAGTTGATTAAAGTAATTCTGCTTCCACTTACTTTATTTTTAAAGAGATTAATTGCTACACTAAATAAAACCGTAATGAAGTTTCATTGTAAGTATCTATTAACATTTGATTATTTTCTACATAGAAGCATGTAAAAAGTTTAAGATTCAGTTTCATTTGATTTAGCCTTGACTGTAATGAAGGACTCTATGAAGAGGGGACACAGTGTTTATGGGCTGGAGTCCCAGTAGCTGCTTGGTGGCAGAGTCCCAGTCTTTCCCCAGTTCAAGCCGTGGGCAGATTGATGGGTACTGTCCTTCAGTTCTTCTTACCCATTCACTTGCTTTCTCTATTGCCTCAAAAGCCCAGGGAATATTCCTAGATTAAAACAAATAAATGTTTCTGATATCAGAATATAATTACATGTGAAATACTACATTTAAACCCATCACATTATATCAGACAAAATGATTCTGCCAAAAATTAAGATATTTAATAAAAGCAGTTCTCCTTGATATCTTACAGAAGTTCTTCTACTCACGTGACCTTGAACTTATGTACTGCATTGTCAAGCGTCCTATGCCCATCACTTCCTGGCTTCCATATGCCTCCAGGCATTCCTGCTGCCTGCAGGACAGCTCAAGTTCCAGCCTCTTTACAGCTGTTTATGGCTGTCCCCTTTCCATTGTTCTCAATTGAAATCCTATCCTTTCTTCATGCACAAACTCAAGTACTATTTTATAAATGAGGCATCTGTTTCTCTCTCCTTCCCACTGTACCAGCTTGATTAGGTACCTTCAGAATATCTGAGAGTCCCCCATGAAACTGGTGTATATTCAGTTGTGTCATGTAAACCAGGAACAACTTGGTAGAATAAGCGTATAAAGTCAATCAAGTCTGTGTCCACTAGTGTCGAATATTTGAGACTGCTGAATATTCAAGTGTATTCAACACTCAGAAAAATTCTGAGATTGTTCATTAATATTAATTAGCTACTTTCTCATTTGTTCTGTCATCTGCTAGAACTTGTTAGTGAACAAGTGACAACATACACCAAAGATCTTAAGAAAATTCTATGGGGGGAAACTTAATATTTTGAAATTCCTGGCCTCCTTTAGTCCAGTGGCTTCTATACTTTTTGGTTCACCATTCTACTAGTAAGAAAATCTTGTGCCTACACTCCCATGTAATGTGCCTCTGCATCAATGTTATGTACATCTTGAAATAGAAAATATAGAAAAAAGTTTCAAATATGCAATTAACAAAAAATAAAAAATATTTAAAATCTTTTTTTCTTTTTTGAGACAGAGTCTCACTCTGTCACCAGGCTGAAGTGCAGTGGTGTGATCTCAGCTCACTGCAACCTCAGATTCCCTAGTTCAGGCAGTTCTCCTGCCTCAGTCTCCTGAGTCGCTGGGACTACAGGCGCATGCAACCATGCCCAGCTAATTTTTGTATTTTAAGTAGTGATGGGGTTTCACCATGTTGGCCAGGCTGGTCTCAGTCTCCTGACCTCATGATCCACTCGTCTCAGCCTCCCGAAGTGATTACAGGAGTAAGCCCCCGCATCTGGCCTAAAATCATTTTGTCTTATGTATTGAAGTACCAACAAACTATTTTGCTAGCACAATAGCAGTAATGTAGTAACAGCAATATGCTGGAGTATACTTGATCAGTTTTGAAAATCCTGCTTTCATACGTTGTGATATTACAGTTCAAAAGCAGGTTCAAAGTTCATACTTGTTCTAACAGCTGTAATATTAATAATTAGAAATGATCTAAATAGAATAAGTACCTCTTTGGATATGTCTATTAAGTCAAATACTAATTTTTTAGTCCCATCTCCTAGCTGTTCAAAGTGTTTTTGTCTTTGATATTCATTTAATTAATTCTCTTGGCAAGTGGCATTGGTTTATTTTAAAATAAAATACCAAAAACAGGCCAGTGCAGTGGCTCACTCTTGTAATCCCAGAACTTTGAGAGGCCAATGTGGGCAGATCACTTGAGGTCAGGAGTTTGAGACCAGCCTGGCCAACATGGTGAAACCTCATCTCTACCAAAAATATAAAAATTAGCTGGGCATGGTGGTGCACACCTGTAATCCCAGCTACTTGGGGGGCTAAGGCATGAGAATTGCTTGAACCTAGGAGGGGGAGGTTGCACTGAGCTGAGAACACGCCACTGCACTCCAGCCTGGGCAACAGAATGAGACCCGATTTCTAAACAAAAATAAATTAAAAAGAAAAAGAAAACCCTCAAAATAGAAAAAAAGAATAAATTCTAATTTTTCTCAAGGTGTTCTTTTGGCCAAAAAATGAGAAGGTATTGCTTTTGAAAAAATCCAAGTATAAATTACATATAGGAAATTATGATTTTGTTTTTTACAGAGTCTCAGTGGAGTGCAGTGGCACAATCCCAACTCGTTGCAGCCTTGACCTCCTGGGCTCAAGTAATCCCTCCACCTCAGTTCCCGAGTAGTCACACACTATCACACTCAGCTAATTTTTAATTTTTAGGTCTTGATATGTTGTCCAGGCTGGTCTTAAATGCCTGGATACAAGCAATCCTCCAGCCTTGGCATCCCAAAATGCTGGGATTACAGGTGTGAGCCACAGTGCCCAGCAATGCCTGGGTAATTAAAAAAAGGTTTCCATAGAGATGAGGGTCTTGTTGGTTACCTAGGCTGGTCTTAAACTCCTGGACTTGATCTTGCTGGGCTCAAGTGATCCTCCCATCTCAGCCTCCCAAAGTACTTGGATTATAGGTATGAGCCAATGAGCCTAGCCCAGAACTTCCTGAACACCTGTTTTGTGTTTGAGAACTTTTTCTTAATCATGACACTTAAAAAATAGTTATCAGTATTTCTTTAATATAATAAAATATCCCCAGGTAGTGTTGAATTTTCCCTGTCTCATTTTTTAAAATGCAGTGGGTTTTGGTCAAATCAGCATCTAAACAAGGTCTACCATTGCTTTTGGTTGGTATGCCTCTAAAAATTTACAGGTTCCACTCCTCAACCATTTTTTTCTCTTGCCATTTATTTCCCCACATTCCAGGCTTTGCTGACTGCATTTCCATGATGTCATGTAACATGTTTCTCTATTCTCTGATCTAATTCAAATTTAGAATTCAAGGGGTTTAATTTAACTTCTTTGATTTTATACATATTAGTTTCTAACAATATTGATATCTACCTCCCAAAATAACAAATCAAAAATATTATTAACACCATGGCTACTCCCAGTGAGATTTCTTTGTAATATTTTTTAGTCCTTAGGCACTATCCCACTAAGGAAGTATAGTCAAATTATGTACTATGTTGTTTTTTTCTTCGAGACGGAGACTCACTGTGTTGCCCGGGCTGGAGTGCAGTGGTGCGATCTCAGCTCACTGCAATCTCTGCCTCCTGGGTTCAAACGATTCTCCTGCCTCAGCCTCCTGAGTAGCTGGGGTTACAGGTGTGCTCCATCACACATAGCTAATTTTTGTATTTTTAGTAGAGACAAGGTTTCACCATGTTGCTCAGGCTGGTCTCAAGGCTTGTGATCTACCCGCCTTGGCCTCCCAAAGTGCTGGGATTACAGGCATGGGCCACCACACCTGGCCTATGTACTATGCTTTAAAGTCACCTTAAATTAATTCCCAGGCTGGGCATGGTGGCTCATGCCTGTAATCCCAGCACTCTGGGAGGCTGAGGTGGGAGGACTGCTTGAGCTCAGGAGTTTGAGACCAACCTGGGCAACATGGTGAAGCCCTGTCTTTACAAAAAATATAAAAATTAGCAGGGCACAGTGGTGCATGCCTGTAGTCCCAGCTACTCAGGAGGCTGAGGTGGGAGGATGGCTTCAGCCCAGGAGATGGAGGTTGCAGTGAGCTGAGATTGCACCACTGCACTCCAGCCTGGGTGATAGAGTCAGACTTTGTCTTATAAATAAATAAATCTTATCCATTATTATGTAAAATATTTACATAGCTTCAAAGTCAAAACTGCAAAACAAAGTACACTAGGAGAACCCTAGCTTCCATCCTTGTCCCCTCTACCAAAGACCCCACACAATAATATTTTTATTAGTTTGATTAGTTTTCCCCTTATCTTGCCTTTAAAAGAACATAAGCCAATTGCACGTGTATGTCTATGTGTGTATGTGTATATGTGTGCATATGTGTATGTATATACTTATATACGTATATATGTCAGAGGGATCCTACTCTGGTCATGCCCCTGTTGCCATAGGGTGGGGGGTCTGTAGGGACAAGATAATGTGCCCACCCCAGAGCCCATATCCTCCTTTTCAGAACCTGTACCTCCAGTATCCCTGATCACATGGCCCTGAGTCCACTTCCAGGGTCTTCCCTGGGTCTGTCATCCTGAGTTTGAACTATGCTGCTATCTCACTCGTGCTGCAAGGTGGCTGGGGTGAGGGGGCACTTGGCATGGGGTCTGGATGGCATTTTGATGGGTAGGATGTGGTATTCATGTGTGCATGCAAGGCCTCTTAGGGTGCTAGGGGTCAGCCAAGGGCTGAATTTGAACCTGGCTTTCCAGGTGGTTAGGAAGTTGCATTTGCCAAGGTAGGAAATTAGAACACTTTTAATCTAATAGGTCACTAGTTTGATTTATAACTTTTGTATACTTAGACCTATAGTATGTGGGTTTCCATTTGTATTCTTGTCCGAGGTCCTGCCATTGTTGGGAACACGGCTGGACCCAACAGTTATATTGTGGGTCTTCTGGAGGCCCCCAGGATCAGCACACTGCAGTGAAGAGTACCACATCAGGAGCCAGAAGTGCCAGGCTCCAGCAGAGCTGCACTGAAAATCTCTAAGCCCATTTCCTGTCCAGCCCAAGGTGCAAATACCACATCAGCCCCGCCCACCACAGGAGACTGTGGGCAAGCTGTCACCTGCAAACAAATTCTCTTCCTACATACTTATAAAGTACTCTACACATGTAAGCTAATTCCCTATAGCTGTTTGTAAGGTTTATTAAATAAATGGTTGAAAATATAAATAAGTTGCATAATACTATAGTTAAAGCCACCTGAAAACAGAAGCGTCATCCAGTTTCATCAGTGATTTGAACACTATTCCCTCTTTTTCCAACCTGGTGCGAATAAACTGTAGTACCAGCATTGTGGCAATTAGGTCCAGGAGATGTTCTTTTCCTTTTACACCTAAAGGGAAAAAACTCCATTAGGTCCGTTGGAAACTCTGCATCTCAAACTGTGCCTGTTTATAAAATTCCCATTAAAGAATTATAATACGGTTAAATCACAGTACATAAGCAGATCGTGAAACTTTCTAATACTCTTCCAGGTCCTTAATTAGCCTGCTATTTAAATAAAAAATGAGGATGGTTGTAACATGTGCCCATCATATTATCCTGATGGCTGTCAGGAAACGGAACTGTATCCAGCGTGCCCCTCGCTTGCCATCTTCAATAATCAGAGATCCATGAAGTACAATGAAGAAAATCTAGTGTTTAGGCTCCTGTTACAATTAGCTTAGAAGAGTACACCTAGATTCAGATCCAAGATGGCTGATCACTAACAGCTCGGGATTGTAGCTCCCAGTGAAAGCTCAGAGAACGAGACGACGCCACACTTTTAGACGAATTTTCGTCACTTACAGATCAGCCGATTCCCAGTGGAGGAGCCCCAAGGGTCGCCAGCGCGACTCTCGTGGCCGCCGCAGCGGTTTTGCTGGCGCCTAGGTGCAGCAGCTCTTCATGCAGAGCAAATGGGACCGCTTCCCCTACTGACCGGAGTTTGGAGTTCCGGGAAGTCAGAGTCGCTTGTTGCGGACTCAAGAGGGAAGCCAGACCAGAAATTCCCGGGCAGAAGAGCACCATCAGTCTTATCACTGCTATTTAGGCCGCCACAGTGGGTTGCTCGGATCCCAGCACTGGGAATCAATAAATCGGACATCGACTCAGAAACCTAATTAGAAAGGCGGTTCATCTACAATGAAGCGAAAAAAACAGCCTAAGAAGGCCGAGTATACTCAAAATCAGAACCCATCAGCAACGGAACAAGCCCTGATGGAAAAGGACTCAACAGCAACGGAACAAGCCCTGATAGAAAAGGACTCATTAGCAACAGAACAAGTCCTGATGGAAAAGGACTGTGTTCCATTATCTGAAGTAGGCTTTAAAAGGTGGATGATAGAAACTTCTGGGAGTTAAAGGAACTTGTTCTAACCCAATGTAAAGAAACTAAGAACTTTGAAAAAAGGTTCGATGAAATGATGAAAAGAATAGACAATATAGAGAGGAATACAAATGAACTTATGGAGTTGAAAAATACAACACGAGAACTTAGTGAAATATATGTATAAGCTTAAATAGCCGAATGGATCAGGCAGAAGAAAGGATATCAGAGGTCGAACACCAACTTAATGAAATAAAACGACAAGACAAGAATAGAGAAAAAAGGATAAAAAGGAATGAGCAGAGTCTCCAAGAAATATGGGACTATGTGAAAAGACCTAATATACGTTTGATTGGTGTACCTGAATGTGATGGAAAGAATGAATTCAAACTGGAAAATACTTTTCAGGACATTATCCAGGAAAATTTTCCCAATCTAGCAAAGCAGGACACTATTCAACCCCAGGCAATACAGAGAACACCACAAAGATATTCCTCAAGAAGACCAACCCCAAGGCACATAATCGTTAGATTCACCAGGATCGAAACGAAGGAGAAAATATTAAGGGCACTTAGAGGGAAAGATCAGGTTACCCATAAAGGGAAGCCTATCAGGCTTACAGCAGATCTCTCAGCGGAAACCCTACAAGCTAGAAGAGAGTGGGGGCCAATATTCAACATCCTTAAAGAACAGAACTTTCAGCCCAGAATTTCATATCCTGCCAATTTAAGCTTTACAATTGAAGGAAAAATAAAATCTTTTAGGAACAAGCAAGTACTCAGAGATTTTATTACCACCAGGCCTGCTTTACAAGAACTTCTAAAAGAAGCGTTATATATAGAAAGAAACAACCAGTATGAGCCTTTCTAAAAATACACCAAAAAGTAAACAGCATTAACATAAAGAAGAATTTACATCAACGAAAGGATAAAATAGCCAGTTAATATCAAATGGCAGTAACTCTAAATTTAAATCGACTAAATCCCCCAATCAAAAGATACAGACAAAATCTAACGGTATATCTAAAGATATACAAAGACTCAAAATAAAGGGTTGGCAAAAAACTTACCAACCAAATGGAGAGCAAAAATAAATAAATAAAAAGCAGGAGTTGCAATTCTCATAATTAATAAAATAGATTTTAAAGCTACAAGGATACAAGGGTAAAAGGATTATGTAATAATAAGAGATCTTAACACCCAGATACATAAGACCCACAATGAGATTTAGATTCAACGAGACAGAAAATTGATAACGACATCCAGGACTTGAACTCAGATCCAGAACAATAAACTCAATAGAGCTCTCCATTTTAAACACACAAAATATACATTATCCACTTTAAACACACAAAATATTGATTGGCCATTATTGATACCTATTTTAGGAATGAAGTAATATTTCTTTTTCCCTCTTTTTCACTTTTTCCCTCTTTTTTTCCTCTTTTTCTTTCTCTTTCAAAAAAAAAAAGAAGAGTACACCTAAATATTCCACAGATAAACAACAAATATGACCAGTTACACCAGTGTATCAAATTATTTCTAGTGATTAGTACCTACAGGTATCCAAATCAAGGTATTTTACTATATTACGAAATGTCAAAATTGAAAAATGAATGTTTACATGTGTTAAACTCAGAATTAACTCATTTTTGTTTAAAATATTCAGGCTTCATTTTTTTTTTTGGCAAATAGGCGCTCACTCTGTCACACTGGAGTGCAGTGGTGGGTGTGATCAGAGCTCACCATAGCCTCCAAGTCCTGGGCTCACATGATCCTCCTACTTTGGACTCCCAAAGTGTTGAGATTATAGCATGAACCACAGCACCCAGCCAAAAATGGTTTTAGGGACGAAAAAATACCCCAAATCTTTGTCTTATAATTAAGAATATACAATTACTTTTTTTTTGAGTAAAGACAAAAGGACCTGGCACAGTATGCACATATCTGCATATACACCATTAATTTTAAATCATTGAGGTAGCTAAAACTGCTCATAAGAGGGCTTTTATTAAATAGTATAATGTTCTTAATAGGAGAAAAAGGAATCGAATAAATTTTTAAAAACAAAATGAAAAAACCCAATCCACTGTCCCACTAAAGAAAATCAGTGGAGACAAAAGCAGTTTAATTTACTGGATTCTTTTGTGGCTTTTTTTTGGGTATTATTTACAAAATGTTAGACTAATTTTTAAGCACTATTAATAATAAGCAACATAGGACTCCAAGAATAATATAATAAATCATAAACGGATAAAATACCTAATGTGTATCAGCGTCATTTAAAAAACAAATTCAGAATGAGAAGGGATGAAAAAAGAGAAACAAAGAAAAGGATAAAAGACAAAGTTGGGTACAGAGATATAAAAACAAGTCAGAGAAAAAATCAGAGACTCTATGTAGAGAAAGAAAGGCAGAAAAGCACACACTTACAGAAAAATAACACGGATAATATGGAGAAATACCGAGAACACAGGAAAAGCCCATGGAAAAGGTACATCCATGAATCTCATTTGACTTATCTGACTTCTTTCAGATAAGTATAAAAATGACCACATTTAGATAGGCCAAAATCTTATCTACTTATCAGATTTTTTTCTCTGACTTGTTTTTATATCTCTGTACTTGGAGTTCTACTGAGTTTCTTGGATCTAGAAGATGCCGTCTTTGATCAATTTTACAAAAGTGTTCAAATATATTTCTGTCTACCCTTTTACTTCTGAAACCCCAGTAACACAAATGTGAAGCCTTTTGATATCATTCCACAGTCTTGGCTCCTCTGTTCTTTTTTCATTCTGTTTTTTTCTTTCTATATTTCAGTTTAGATAAGTTTATTGAGTACACTGTAAATTGAATTAAATGATTTCTTTTCCTGTTGTGTCCATTCTGTTGTTAAGCTCATTCAATGACCTTTTCATTGCACATATTATATTTTCCAGTTCTAGGATTTTCATTTGGTTCTTCTTTATAGTTTCCAGCTATTTGCTGAGAACCTGTCATTTGTTCACCCATTCCATCCTTTTCTGGTATGTCAATTGCTCACTATATTTTTAATAGTAGTTTTAAAGTCTGTGTCTGCTAATTCTAACATCTGGGTCATCTGTGGGTCAGCATTTATAGCCCACTTTCCCCTTGATCACAAGTCATATTGTCCTGCTTCTTCATATGTTATTAAATTTTCATTCTATACTGAACATTAAAATGATACCTTGTAGAGACTATCAGTTATGCTATCTTACTCTAAAGAGTGTTCAGTTTTGTTCTGGTGGATCCTGTGTAGGCTTTGTTTTAGGCTTTATTAGGAGGGGTCTATTTTAGCTTATCCCTTTGTCCTGGGGTATAGTCCTTGATCATGAGATATGATCCTTATGACCTTTTTATGGTTCCCATGGAAGGATATTTATAAAGTCTCTCTAATTTGGTGCAATTTGAACTCTAAACTCTGTCTGGCTAGTAGTAGGCAGCAGCTGAAGTCTCTGCTTAGCTCTGTAGCTTCCCAGCTGTTGCTTTTTTTCTGGATTCCTTGAAGTTACACCCTGTATATGTGCATGTAGGTTAGAGAGAGCCACGGATCTGAGGGGTATTTGGATGCAGATTGGAGAGCTTCCTGTTTTGTGGTTCCCCCCTTTACAGGATTTTAATCCTTAATTTTCAGCCACTTTGGCAGCCTCAAACTCCAACCCTGTGTCCTCATTCTGTTAAGACTTTCTGTTTTAGTTCTGACCTCCCATTGTGTCTCAAGAGCTGAGAAATGCCTTTAGGTGACAAGCTGGATACATGTGGAGCTCACTTAGTTTGCTTTCCTTCTTTCAAAGATTATGTTTACTCTAGTTTCTGCCTGTTTTTGATTATTCTCCTGACCTTCAAAGAATGGTTTTAAATATTTTATTCAAAGTTAATAACTGTTATTGGCAGGAGAGTTAGTCAAATACAGGTTCTTCTATTATTCCAGGAACAAGCACTCACTCCTCATGTAAATTGTCATCACCCCTTTCTGGCTTAGTGCAGGTCAAACAGGCTATGGATTTGCCCACCCACCCAGCCTGGAATATGAAAACTCTGACATTTTAGAGATGATGGTGGGACAGTGAGACACAACTGTTTTATCTGTCCATGAATATTGGCTAGTTGCTTAATAATGTGTATTTTAAAAAAATCTCCAGGCTGGGCATGGTGGCTCATGTCAGTAATCCCAACACTCTGGGAGGCCGAGGTAGGCAGATCGCTTTGAGCTCACAAGTTCAAGATCACACTGGACAATATGGTGAAAGCCCACCTCTATCAAAAAATACAAAAATCAGTAGGGCATGGTGGTGGGTGCCTGTAGTCCCAGCTACTCAGGAAGCTTAGGTGGGAAGATCCCTTGAGCCTGGGAGGTGAAGGCTGCAGTGAGCCAAGATAGTGCCACTGCATTCCAGCCTGGGCAATGGAGCCAGACCTTGTCTAAAAACAAACAATAAACAAACAAACAACTCCTGTCCTGAGGCTACATTTGACCTTCAAACCACTTGCTGGGTCAAGGATGCTCAGGACTTCCTCACCTATCCCCTTTGTTGTCATGAGAGGCAACAGATCCAGAGGTTGAACAACTGCCTCTGGCAGAGGCTGGCTAGGAGCTCATCAGAGCTGCTTTTTCCTCCTGGACACACAGCTTAACAGTACATGCCTTCGTACATGGATGGGGCTATATGACTAGTGTTCTTCCTCTTGTCTAGCAGGGGGATGATGCCAGGGTAATCTTCATTCTTCTCTCTTACCAGGATAATTTTAAAGACACATATTGAAGATGGTGGAGCCACAATATGGAAGGAGTCAGGTCTCTAAAAGACTGCATAAGTGGAACTTTCTTCCTGACCAATATTTGACTGGGATATGGACAAGAAAGTAATCTTTGATGATGTTAAGCTACTGATATTTTTTTATAGCAGTTGGTGCTATTTATGCTAATAAATTTGAAGAGACAATACCCTAATTAGTGGTAAAAATATGACTAGAAACTCATCTCCCATTTCCTTTGATGGTTAAATATAATTCCATTCAAATATAACTTTCATAATTATTACATTAATACACTAGTTTACAAAAAAGTTTATAACAGGAGCATGCTTATGAATGAATGAAAACAATGACTTCATAAATCAAATGATAGTGACTTACCTAGAGATTGAATGCCTTTTTGTTGAAGAAAGCTGTACAAAGCATTTGTATTAAGATTTAATATAAATCCCAGTTCTGGTGTAAGTTTCCAGAAGCCATCCTACAAAATTAAGAAAACAAATTTAAGTTACTGACACTGTATCACATAAGAAGTTATGTAGTGGGGTAGCAAGAGGGACAAAGGTTGAAAAACCTACATTCACTACTTGGGCAAAAAGATAATTAGAAGCCCAAACCTCAGCACCACACACTATGGCCATATAATAAACCTGCACCCCTGTGTACGCCTGCATCTAAAATAAAATTTTAACAAAGTAAATAATAAAAGAAGTTATGTGATAAATAAAATAAGTGTCCATTTATTTAACTTCAGTTAATTAAGGCATTTCTAAAATTTTTATTACTGTATCAAGTTCTCCATACACTAGTGACATAGTATTGTTTGAAACTTCATAAATGTTATGACTATGTATCTGATGGCATTTATAAAAATTGTGGAAAGAGGCTCATGTGCAGAGGTTTTTAAAAATGGTACTTTTTTTCTCCTAGCAATGCTTCATTTCATGTTTTATGGATACATAATACTTGCACGTATTTTGGGGTACACATGATATGATATTTTGATATATGCATAGAATGTGAAATAATTGGGTCAGGCTATTTAGGATCTCCATCACCTCGAACATTTATCATTTCTTTGTGTTGGCAACATTTCATATGTTTTCTTCTAGCTATTTTGATGTATACTATGTATTGTTAACTATAGTCACCCTACCGCATTAACAATTAGCAATGAGCATTGAATTAGTATCTCACACTGTTAAATAGCATGATTCCCTCTAAAAAAACCCACTTTGTTGAAATAAGATCGCCATACAAAATGTCACTGTATGTAATGTATACAACTTGATGTACAGCTAAGTGTACACCCCTGAAACCATCACTTATCAATGCCATAAACTTAGTCACCACTTCCAGAACTTTTCCTCTTCCCCTTTTGTTTTGTTTTATTCCATTGTGTGGAAAGACTACTTAATATAAGATAGACCTCTTAGCAAATGTCTAAGTATACCATATTGGATTGTCAATCATAGGCCCTGTATTATACAGTAGATCTTCAGCATGATTCGTTTTGTTTACCATAACAACGTACCCTGATATAGTCTGAAATATGACAATGACAGTTTTTTTCAAGTATAAAATTGTTATATTAAACATGTACTTTAAAAGTACCTTCCTTTAACCCCCACCCCCACCCCCACCCACCACATCATCTGCCTGCCCCATCCCATGCATAGGAGAGTGTGCTGAGCCTGAGCTTGGGGATATTACCCTCAAAAAAGACAGAATCCAGGCCTTAGGGAAACTAACATACAGAGCAGAAAGCAGGGTGCGGCCGAAGGCAGGCGCACAGGCTGGAGGATCTATGGCAATAACTTGACAAATGACAGCAGCGATAATATGTACCAACCTACAGAGAACTGGTACCAGGTGCTGTTCTTTTATATGTTTAGCCACTTCCTGAGGAGCACTATTATCACCTCCACATTGCAGATGAGAACACGGAAGCACAGAAAGGTTAAGCAATTTGTCTAAAGTCACACAGCTAACAAGCAACAGAGCCAGGAGTGGCCATGGGATCCATACTCCTGCTCATCTGCAGTATGCTTCTGGCAGGCTTTCACGTGCACTGTCTTAAGTAGGGCAGCTGGGCAGCTGTGATTATCCTGTTTAAACCTCAAACTCATTCTCTGAAGTAGACATTATTATTATCCCCACTGTATGGATGAGGAAACTGAGGCTCACACAGGTTATCTGACTTGCCCCAAATCATGAAGTGGGCTGGGACATACACTTAGTTTTATATTATATCAAGGCTTTTCCATTTCACTAAACTATTTTACATCAAAACAAGTAATTGCAGATGAAAGACTGGTCTTAGTCCCAGCGCAGGGGCCAAATTTACAGGGTGTTTATTAGCTTAACAAATGGAATGATAAGCTCTAACACAATATACATGTTGAGTAATATCCATATTCCCACGATCTTATGTGAAAAGATTTAGAGTATATGTACAAGTGCTTATGCTCTACTTCACAAGGGGAAATTTATATGGGTTATAATCCATTAGTTCTAGAATCTAGGAAATTAAGATCTCACCCCATCATCTGTTCAGGGATGTTCATTTTCATGAGAGGAATAGTAGCATTCACCAGCATGAGGTTTTGGTCTAATGTTGGTGAGGAAACACCAGCCAGCATCAAGCACACTGTTTTGTTCAGCTGTCTGTTTTGTTTTGTAGCAAGAGTTCATCAATGAAGGAAGCAGCATTATTTACACCCCAGTGCACAAGCCCCTTACTTCAGTACAGACTGACAAGAGACAGTTCCTTGACCAGCTGCTTTGAGTAGCACTGTTCTAAACTATGAAGCCAGCAAACCACAGATCTAAGGAGAAATAAGACACATACCTCTGTCTGTAGATTGAAGAGTTCTGTCCAAGGCACAGCATTCAGCCAGCATTGTGTGCACACTATGTCATCCTCCTGTATTACTTCCAGCAAACACGGGGTACTGTCAACTATTGAGCCACTATACATTTGTAAATAGCCACAATTGCTAGGTACTTCTGATAGCTCAACACTTTCTGTTTCAGAACTTTGAATATCAAAGGCAAGCCATTGACTTCCTTCGAGACTGCCCACTGATTTATCTTGAACAGAGAGATCTGCTAAGGACAGAGGGCAAAGAGCCTGAGGTAAAACTACTGGCAGACCATTGTTGGTACTTAAAGAGGCTGGGGAAGGTTGCAAATGAAAAGGAGAGGAAACAGAGGGCTGATAAGACCCAAAACCTTTGATGGGATCAGGGTCTGTGGGAAGAGAGGAATGAACCTGGGGAGAATCCAGCTCAGGGAAGGTGCCAGCAGGAGGCCTGGTCATAAAGCCCCCAGGAGGTTCCGGTGGAACAGACTGTGTGGAGAGCAATGAGCTCCTTCTATAAGCAAAGCCACAGAGGGGTTCAAAAGGTGGGTTCTGAGGAGGCTCTATGGGACAAGACAGGGACTGCGAGATCCAGTCAGCACCACTGCAAGGCACAGGGACTTTTCTGAACTCAGATACATCAAACTGTCTGGGAGGAGCAGCAAAACCCAAACTAGGTAACTGAGGAAATGAGGCGAGAGGCATGGAAGCAGGACTGTGAGAATGGGCAGCCTGGAAAAAAGAGGAACCAGAGGCTGGAGCAGAAAAACCAAAAAGGCTGGAAGTAGATGTTTCCGGGGAACTGACTTTCTTAAATAGTGGCTCAGTTGCTGCTGGTTTAAATGACTGTGTCCAACTTAAATCTAATAGCTTTTCCTCATGTCCATGTTCCACATTTGATGTGAAACCCTGTAGTAGAACTAAGCCATCCTCTTCAAAATCTTCAGAAACTTGTGACTTAGATAATTTCATTTTTCTTTTAGACGAACATTTTTTTCGTTTGAATGAAAATAATTCTTGCCACTCAGAGGATGCTAAAAGAGGCTGCCCAGAAGAAAGAATTATTAATGTAAGGGGAAAACACAAAATAAAAAGAACAATCAAGCAAACATTCTTCCTGGCACTTGACTTCCCACCCATCAGGCAATTGCTCATTCAGAATAAGGGCTCATCAATGTGAACTGAGATGTTGAAAATAACACCAGTGCTGGGTGCGGTGGCTCACACCTGTAATCCCAGCACTTTGGGAGGCTGAGGAGGAAGGATCGCTTGAGGCTAGGAGTTTGAGACCAGCTTGGGCGACATAGCAAGATTCCATCTCTAAAAAAAGAAAAAATTAGCCAGGTATAGTGGCTTACGCCTGCAGTCCCAGCCACTTGGGAGGCTGAGGCAGGAGTGCTTAAGCCTGGGAGGCTGAGGCAGCTAAAGTGCAGATTTGCACTACTGCTCTCCAGCCTGGGCGAGAGAGCAATACTCTGTCTCAAAAAAAAAAAGGAAAGAAAATAACACCACTGAGACATTCAAAATCATTTCAGTACAAGGCTCTCTTTTCTAGATGCGAAAGCTGAGACCTGGAGAGAATATCAGCTATCAATATATTGAAAGACCTTCTCTCTTAGTTCTTAGAACTGTGGAATTTTGAACACCCCTCGTTTTACACGAGGAAACTGAGGAGTGCAGAAGTGACTTGCCCAAGGTTCACAATGAGCAGTGTCATCATGTGTGTTAGGCCTGAAATAAGAAAGTCATTAGAAGTAAATTATTTCGTCTTTTATACTGTTTTATGGCAATATTAAGAAAATGAAAAAATGGAAAAACATTCTCAAAAGCTTTATTTTTATTTCTTTATTTTTTTGAGACAGGGTATTGCTCTGTTGCCTGAGGCTGGAGTGCAATGGCACAATCACAACTTACTATAGACTCAAACTCCTGGGCTCAAGAGATCCCCTCACCTCAGCCTCCTCAGTAGCTGGGACTACCGGCATGTTCCACCATGCCTAATTTTTATTTTTATTTTTAATTTTTTTTTAAAGATGGGGTTTCACCATATTGGTCAGGCTGGTCTCGAACTCCTGACCTCAGGTGATCCGCCTGCCTCAGCCTCCCAAAGAGCTAGGATTACAGATGTGAGCCATTGTGCCCGGCTCCAGCTAATTTTAAAATTTTTCATTTGTAGAGATGTGGTCTCACTATGTTGACAGACTGGTTTTGAACTCCTGGGCTCAAGTCATCCTCTCAGCTCGGCCTCTCAAAGTGCTAGGATTATAGGCATGAGACACTCTTTCCATCCAAAAGCTTTAAAGTAGTTAAATGAACATATAATTATACCAGAATATAAACAATATCTATGTAAAACAAATTTTGAGGGATGCTATATTACTGTTATTGTCCCAATTTAAATGTAAAGAGTGTTCCTTTAGAAGTTGCAATGTAAATCAAATCCAATTTTGCATGGATGATGAGTCCTTGATATCTTTGAGATAATTAGCCTGTAATTTTACCTGTGAATAACAACTATTTTAAAAGGAGTAGTCCTTTCCCAGCTCAGTCAAATTTCAAGTAAACACCTGAATAATTAATATCATAGAAGATATGAAAAGATACACTTAAAAATAATATTTAAAAACAATGCTTATCTGGTTTAATTAATATACATATATATTTTTTATTGCTCTTAGGTTCTGGGGTACACATCAAGAACATGCAGGATTGTTGCATAGGTACCTACATGGCAATGTGGTTTGCTGCCTACATCCCCATCACCTATATCTGGCCTTACTTCCTGTGTTATACCTCTCCAACTCCCTACCCCCACTGTCCCTCTATCTGGTTAAATTTCTAAAAATTAGAGAAGCAAACTGAAAAAGACCAATAGTGATGAACTAGACCTATCAGATACTAAAGTCTCTTATAAAATTACAATAATTTTAGTAGATGAATCAATCGAACAGAGTAGATAAGTCCAGCAATAGCTCCTAAAACATGAGAATTACTAGATTAAAAAGGTGGCATTTCAAGTTAATAGGAGAAAAAGTAGTAGCCATCTGGAAAAGAATAAAGTTGGCTCCATATCTCTTATCCTATGCCAAATTTCAATCAGGTGAAAAATTAAACGTAAACATAAGAACATAACACTACTTCAAGAAATAAAGGGAAAAATTTTAAAAGTGTAATCTCTAAGAAAGGCATTTCTAAGCATGACGAAAAGCAAAACAACACTAAACAAAAAGAAGAAACCTAATGACTAAAAATTTGGCTGCATTAAAAAATCTGCATGACAAAAACATAATAAGCAACTACAAAATAACACGTGGAATACTGGGAAACAAATTTTCACAACTCATATCACAAAGGGCTAATTTTCCTAACATAAAACATTTTTCCAAGAAAAATAAGAAAATTACTAAACTCTCAATAAAAAACAGAAAAGACATGAATGGATGATACACAGGAAGAGATACATAGGGCTGTAAGAAAATAAAACATGCTCCTCTTCATTCATAAAGAAACAAAAACTTAAATGTCACCAATACATTTTTCACCTGTAAGATTTGCAAAGATAAAAAATGTGAATAAGTCAGGTATTGTAGAGCACCCCAGCTACTCAGGAGGCTGAGGTGAGAGGCTCACTGGAGGCCAGGAGTTCAAAACTGTAGTGCTCTGTGACAGAGCCCGTGAACAGTCACTGCACTTCAGCCTGGGTGACAGAGTGAGACTCCATCTCAAAATAAAAGTAAAAAAAAAAAAAAGAATCATACTGAGAAATATGATTTATTTTTGTTTATTTTTTAAAATTTCTTCTTGGATAGTATTTTGTATTTTTGGTAGAGACAGGGTTTTGCCATGTTGGCCAGGCTGGCCTTGGACTCCTAACCTTGCGTGATCCACCCACCTTGGTCTCCCAAGGTGTGGGGATTACACGTGTGAGCCACCATGCCGGGCCTTAGCAGGATTCTTCTGTTTGCCAAAATCACTCACTTGCTTCCTGTTTCCCTTCAAGTTCACAATCTCTTATTTTGCTTACCTGTACACCCACACCTTGATCATCTAAGGCAGTGGCCCCCAATTATTTTGGCAGCAAAGACCAGTTTCATAGAAGATATTTTTTCCATGGAGAGGGGTAGGGCAGATGGTTTTGGGATGAAACTATTCCACCTCAGATAATCAGGCATTAGATTTTCAGAAAGAGCACTAGATTCCTCCATGTGCATTTAACAATAGAGTCCAGGTTCCTGTGAGAATCTACCGCCACTGCTGATCTACCAGGAGGCGGAGCTCAGGCGGTAATGCTCACTCACCTCCCCTCACCTCCTGGTGTGCAGCCTGGTTCCTAACAGACCATGGACTGGGGGTTGGGGACCCCTGATTAAGGAATAGCGTGGACTCTGGACCCTCAGCTTCAATGCCCTCAATTTCTTGCTAAGAGTTATAGCATTGAATTTTTCAAATGATTTACTTAAAAAACTTGGATTAGGAGGTATGTTTTAAAAATCTCTGCCTCTCTGCGGCAGAATTGCCTGAACCCAGGAAGTAGAGGTTGCGGTGAGCTGAGATCATGCCATTGCACTCCAGCCTGGGTAACAAGAGCGAAACTCCGTCTCAAAAAAAAAAAAAAAAAAATCTCTGCCTCTGCAGTGAGCCGAGCTGGCGCCTGGCAACAGAGCAAGACTTTGTCTCAAAAAAGAAAAAACAAAAAATCTCTGCCTCTCGCTTGTTCTCAATGTGCTTTCATGAGCAGGAGAGAACGAAGTGGACTTGGGGTTGGTGCAGAAGACACTGTGCTTTAGCCCAAGGGTAGCTACGGGAGGGCGTGAGCACCCAGCACTGAGCACTGTCCTTCCTGAGTGCTTCCCAGCAGAAAAGGTGTTGTGCTCCCTGGAGGGTCTCATTTCACAATGAAGATGTATCAAATAAGAAAATGTCCCAAGCTTCAGTGAGTTGGAAAGGACCAAACAGACCCAGATGTCTCGGGCTCTATTGCTGGCTTCTGTTTACTGAATTCAGTGGAATGACTACAGGTGGAATGCCGCAGGTGCCGCATTTTGGTAAGTAAAACACATAGCAAAGGAGAGTGACAGAGGCTTGACATTTTTGCTAAATTAGATGATTCATTCAAAAAAACTATTGCAGCTAACATAAACATTCAAGTCATCAAGCTAATGGATAATATTTTTCATCTGATAATGTTTGGATCTAGAAGTATTCAGATCCAAAATATTTGCAAATTTAGTATGAAACAATTTGTCACCACACTGTATAAAACCCAAATTAATTTAGAACTGATTTTGAAAATAACTTCAAAAATTTCTATAAACAGGCCAGGCACAGTGGCTCACTCCTGTAATCCTAGCCACTTGGGAGTCTGAGGCAGGAGGATCTTCAGAGCCCAGGAGGTCGAGGCTGTGGCAAACCACCATGTGATAAACCATGTTGGTGCCACTACACTCCAGGGGGCCACAGAGTGACACCCTGTCTCTTAAAAAAAAATCTAAAAATAATAAGAAATATGAGAAAATTAGAAAATACAAGTAGACAGACACAAAGAAGAAAATAAAAATCATACAGAATGTGTGTCTGATCTCTGGCATATTTCCCTTCAGACCTTTTCTGTGAAGAAAGTATTTATGTATGTGGCAGGTGCTAATTTAATTTTTTATTGTGGGAAAAATGTATATAACAACATTTGCTATTTTAGTCACTTTTAGGGTTCAGTGGCATGAAGCTCATTCACACTGATGTGCAAGCATGACCACTCTCCATCTGCAGAGCTTCTGCTGGGTGTGCATTTTTGAAATACATGTAAGATAAGTTTTTATTTTCCAGGGCCCATTTTAACAATAAGGCCCTCTTGTTTCAAGGACAAACAGTTGATTCTTAATTGTATATCAGAGATTTTTTTCCCCCCAAAACAATGTACTCCAAGGGCCCCTTGTTCAGCCACGGAGAGGCCATGGGTCACAGCCCCTCAGATGGGACTCTCGCTTTCCTTCAAGCAGCCCTGAGCTCTGTTCTCTGGCTGACCTGAAAGTCTGAACCAGTGTGGGAGCTCACAATGTTGCCAGCATCTGCCCTGCCTGTGGGTGAGCCTGCAGGGCTGCCTGAGCCTGGCTGAATGCACCTCCTACTCCTGACTCCCCAAACTCTTTGTGTTTGCTTAAAGTATTATTTTTTTAATGGGTGATCCATGCCCATGGTTCAAAATTCAAAATATACAAAAGGGTAAGAAAGCAAGGCCAGGTGCAGTGGCTCACGCCTGTAATCCCAGCACTTTGGGAGGCCAAGATGGGTGGATCACTTGAGGTCAGGAGTTCGAGACCAGCCTGCCCAACATGGTGAAACCCCATCTCTACTAAAAATACAAAAATTAGCCGGATGTGGTGGCACACACCTGTAATCTCAGCTACTTGGAAGATGAGGCCAGAGAATTGCTTGAACCCAGGAGGTGGAGGTTGCAGTGAGCTGAGGTCGTGCCACTGCACTCTAGCTTGGGCAACAGAGCAAGACTCCATCTCAAAAAAAAAAAGCAAGCCTCCCTCCAAACCCCAGCCCACTTGTCAGCTTTCTGCCCCATCTGTTTGGAAGACAGTGTCCATTTCAGACAACTTGGCTAATAATAACTACAGCTAATATTTATTGAATGTCTGTCATGAGCTAGACATGTTCTAATGGTCTTAGGACGTTTCACAACCACCTAAGGTCGATTTTATTGCTCTCCCACTAGAGCATTCATTAGGACTGGAGCACTGGGACGGTCAAATCCCACAGAGTAATGTGTGGGCTGGGGTTCAGACTTGAGCACTAGGCCACAGCACCTGTGATCTTAACCACTCTATTTTACTGACTTCAACTAACTACCTTTTGTGATCTTTGCCAACCTGACAGAGTTAAAAAATAAAAAGGAATCTCATGGCAGTTTACATTTTAACTTCTTTTAGCAACAAGGTGGCACATTTTTCATATATTATTTCCTTATTTATAATCAAATGCTTGCTCTGTTGCCCAGGCTGGAGTATAGTAGTGCCATTTTGGCTCACTGCAACCTCTGCCTCCTGGGTTCAAGCATCCTCCCACCTTAGCCTCCTGAGTAGCTGGGATTGCATGTTCCACCACACCCAGTTAATATTTGTAGTTTTTGTAGGGACAGGGTTTCACCATGTTGCCCAGGCTGGTTTTGAACTTCCGGCTCAAGCCATCTGCTGTCTCGGCCTCCCAAAGTGCTGGGATTATAGGCGTGAGCCACTGTACCTGGTTTAAAAAACTTTTTGTAGAGATGAGGTCTCGCTTTGTTGCCCAGGCTGGTCTCAAACTGCTGGGCTGAAGTGATTTTCCCACCTCAGCCTCCCAAAGTGCTGGGATTACAGGCATGTACCACAGTGCCCGACCAGATTTTAAATTCTTAAATTTTGGAAATTTTAGTTTTTTAACCCAGAGACCTAAGAGTATTGTCAGAACTACTTTGTTCCTTTGCTCTTGAATTTGTCTTCTAATTTTTATTTAAGCCTCATCTTCCCTTTCCTTCTTTCCTCCCTCCTTCCCTCCCTCCCTGCTTCTCTCTCTCTCTCTCTCTCTTTCTCCCCCAAATCAAGGCTCACTGCAACCTCCACCTCCCAGGTTTAAGCAATTCCCCTGCCTCAGTCTCCTGAGGAGCTGGGATTGCAGGCATGCACCACCACACCTGCCTAATTTTGTATTTTTAGTAGAGATGGGGTTTCTCCATGTTGGTCAGGTTGGTTTCGAACTCCTGACCTCAGGTGTTCCGCCCACCTCAGACTCCTGTAGTGCTTGGATTACAGGTGTGAGCCACTGCGCCTGGCTTAAGCCATGTTTTTCAATTTCTATTGAGTTTCTGGTTACAAGGACCACAGTATAAAGCACTATAACTTTAGGAAATATTGGTGGTGAATTTAGATTATTGATAGGACTTTTATTGATAATTTCATGACAAATCTATCATACTATCTAAATGACTTCAGCTTCCTGGATGACAATCTATTTGCCCATAACAGAAGCACAGCCACAGGTATTCTCTTTTTGTACTACATGGCTCCATTCACACATTGTGAAGTTTCTGTAATGCAAAATGATGTAATTCAACATTTTATAAATGTGTGAATATTTTCCCTCATCAGGGATACAACAATCTCTTCATATACAGGTAATAAGAGAGCTATTTTAGCAAAGGGCTCCCCTCATCTTCATGAAAAAACAAAAGCACAATATCAACTTATTTGGTCATCAGCATTTACCTGGTCCATGACAGTTTCTTGGGGTTCCCCCTGCCAGCTCATGTAGGGCAGGAAGTCTACATCTTCTTTGGCAATAAGTTCAGAAACTTTTGGAATATCAGAAAAAGGCGACTCCTTCTCATCCTATATTGAATCACAAATAGATTAAATCAAACAGATGTTATCCAATTAAATGATGGTTACACATTCTAAAGCCTGTGGGTATTGGTTTGGGGTATGCTGGTGTGTGGGACTGCAGCGTGTGCCCTGGGTCATAAGTGGGAGGGGAAGCAGGAGGTGGAGGGGCTTTCCTCTTCATGGAGTGTTCGCAGGTGCTGGCCACCATGCTGGGCATGTTACATGAATTTTCCCCTTAAACTTGTGAAGGGGTAAGAGGCTCTCAGAGAACCCAGGCCTTTTCTATATTTTGAGGGTCTCGGATGAATAAAAGACAAGAAATGCCAAAACTGAACAAAATTTTAGTATATCTGAAAACTGCACATTAGGTAATTATTAACGATAATTATAACATTAAAAATGATAACATACTCAACTCATTTAGAAAGATCACTGGAAGTCCTAACACCGAAGCCCCTTGTGAATGGGAGGTTGGGACTCATGGGGCCTGCTGGCCTGTCTGCAACTCACGCTTCACAGGCACAGGGCATGGGTGTCGTCATTAACCATCAGAGCAAAGGTGACTTTCTTAATGTGGAAATATAAATACATAAAATAATATGACCTCGAATTAACAATGATACATACCCTTTTCTCAACTGCCACAAAGCTTGTAAACTGTGTTATGAGAGAGTTTTCTTTACTGAGTTTAATGATCAGAGATTTCAAGGTGTGTTTCTTCATCTAGGATAGAATAAAACAAGTCATATCCTGTTTTATTTATTTCTATTTAGCTATGTCAGCAAGTCATTTTAAGATTCGTATTTCAGACTAAATATTGAATCGCAGGCCCCGTTCAAACGGGTGACTCAATGTTCCCTTTAAAATGGGATCAACTGACTTAGTCATAGAAAATGTCACTCTCCATTATTCAGCTCCCAGTAGTTCACAGAGAGCTCTCATGTGCAGTGGACTTCCTCATTTTTTCACAGCCTGTGGCTCCTAATTTAAAGCTGAGGAATTGGAAAGACAGAATGACTTGTTCGGGATAAAAGGGCCATAAAACAGCACACAGAGGCTGCCAATCCATGGGCATCTGAGGAGAATAGGGAGACCACCAGGTGACTATCTGTCACCAGAACTGACGGTGGGGTCTCCAGGGCCTGCTGTTACGCTGGCACTTTCTTGTGGGGGTGGCATTGAGGACTAATGTTCGCAGCTGTTGAAGATCTCATCCCTGAGAGACCAGCTGGGCAGTCCTGGTGGCCTGGCTGAGTGGCCCCTCTGCTGAAGCCCTGGTCCGCACAGCATGGGGGGAGTCAGGTGGGCTTTGGGAGGTCACTCAGCCTTTTGCACCCAGGCCTCTAGTTAGTAAGATGGGAATACTAACACTACCACACACAAGATCTGAGATGATGTCTACTATAGGCACTCAACGAGTGTTCATTGAGCTCTCCTCGGGCTTCTGATGAGTCAAAAAAACACAGAACTTTCCGGAAACCACTAACATCCACTCTTTTGTTAATTCAACAAACGTTTACTGCACACCCCACATCCCAGGCACAGTATCACAGATACAGTGATGAATGCCCTGACACCACAGTTTCCTTTTCCATGCAGCTGACCTCACTTTCGATTTCCACAGATAAATCAATGTAAGAATGCTCAAGAATAATGTCTAATAGTTTTTACAATGAAAAGAACGAACCTCATGACTGGTTTCATTTTCGTGAAGAATGCCATCTTCATAATCTCTGATTAGAGCTCGGGCTGCCAGCCTGTGGATCATCTGTGTTTAAGCAGCAAAAAAAAAAAAAAAAAGATTCTCATGGCTTCTAATAAAAGACTTGCAAAGAACATAATTTTAAAAATCGAGGTATAACCTGCATATAGTAAAATGCACTCCTTTTAAGTGTACAATTTGATGAGTCTTAATGGATGTATACAATTATGTGACCACTGTTGAAGTGAAGACACAGAACATTCACTTTACCCTGAAAAGTTCCTGTGTACCTCTATGCAGTTTCCCCCAGCCCTGGCAGCTTCTTATCTATTTTCTGTCCCTAGAGTTTTGCTTTTTCTATAAAAGGCCATTTTGCCAATTCAATTTATTTAAAAAATTCAAAATTTTTTTTCTACCATAGAAAGAGCCACCTTGGTGCTGGGATGCCCATCCATGAACATGGTCTATACTCTGCAGGGTGAGGACTGCACGGTGTGCACCACCAGGTGCTTCCTCTCCAACAACTAAGAGATGGAACTTTCAGTAATTTTAACTTTTGTAATTCTGTCATTGATAAGGCTGCTTCTCACAGAGGAAGTACAACTTTCTGAGACTTATAGAAAACGACCTCTTCCCAGGTGAAATATTTTTATCTTCTTTCCCTCTAGATCTAATTTTTAAAAATACACTTCTAATTTATTCCCCCTTATCATTACCCACAAAGATATAATTTTTTAAAGCAATACAGAGCTTAAGTTCTATACGTAAGTCACTGGCAACTAAGAATTCAATGATATTGATTTAGTGCTGAAAAGTAAGCTATACATTTTTGAGAAAAAAACCAGCAATGTCTGGGAAATAATTTATCTGGCTATACTAACACTCCTCTGAATAAAACAAACAACAACTACATAATAGCATATATAGGCTAGGAACTTTCAAGGCTAAACTACAATGGATTCAGTATCAGTGCAAATATTGCAAACTTCTTGGTAATAATTTATGATATTGTGATATGCAGAAAGCTAAAATGGCCCCCTCAAAAGATTTTTTTCTGGCATATTTTAAGATGGCTATTCAGAGGGACAGCAGACACAGGAATAGGTCTGAAAAGCAGTCCTTTTGTGGGGAATATCTGCATCTGCAGAGGAATCCTATGCCAGCGAAGTGAACAGCAGATGCAAACAGGCTTTCTCTGAGACCCCCTCATTTGCCTTATCCCGATCTAGGAAAGATGAACTCCCAGGAAGAAGAGACTAAAGTCTGATACTTTAAAGGGATGATAGAGAAACAGTTACCAGAGGTGCTTCTCTTCTCTGAGTGCTGCTGCCTGCCAGACATCCTCTGCATCACAAGAAAGCCTTTGCTCACCATGTGTTTCCTCCCCTCACCCTCTCACAACCTCCCCACAGGAGCCCCATGCCCCTACCCACTTCTGTACAGTATAAAACTTCACTCATCTGGCCCTTCTTTGAGTCTCATGTGGTTCCTCCACATAAAACAAAATGTGCATGTCTTTTCCCTTGTTGGATTATTTTATAGATGAAAATTGTTGGATTATTTTATAGACCAAACATAAGTTTAAACTTATCTACGGACATAAGAAATATGTATATTTGTTATTCCTAACAAGATCCTTCAACCGCACCTGAGTTTATGTTAATGAGGTAACTTTTAGAAAGTCCCTAGGATGAGAACTAGTTGCTGGGCATGGTTAGAGGGATGGAACTTTTAGCCCCACTCCCCAGCCTCCAGAGAGGGCAGAGTCAATCACCAACGGCCAATGATTTAATCAACCCGGACTTTGTAATGAAACCTGCATTAAAAACCCCACCTATAGGGGTCTGGGGGTTTCTGGGTTGGCATTCATGTGCCAGGAAGGTGGTGTACCCCAACTCTATGTTGGACAGAAGCTCCTGTGCTTGGGACTATTCTGGACCTCACCCTATATACCTCTTCTTCTGGCTGTTCATTCATATCCTTTATAATCTTTGGAATAAGTCAGTAATACTAAGTAAACGTTTCCTGAGTTTCGTGAGCTGTTACAGCAAATTACTGAACCTGAAAAAGGGTTGTGGGAACGCTGACTTGGAGCTGATCAGAAGTGTGGATAACCTGGGGAACCACTACTTGCTACTGATATCCAGAGTTGGGACCAGTCTTGTGGGACTGAGCCCCTACCCTGTGAGGTCTGTGCCAACCCCAGGCAGCTAGTGTCAGAATCGAATTAAATTGTAGGACATGCAACTGATGGCAGAGAATTGGCTGGGAAAAACACTTATCTAAGAACCAGAAATGGTGTGATTATGGAAAAACAGGAGTTTTTTTCTTTCACAATTCATTTGCTTTTAATAAAAAAATGGAAAAACCCATACCCTCAATATATGATATGATCTACTCTTAGTTCAGTACTATTATAACCAATACTTCTAAATAGTGTCGATAGACCAGTGGCATTTAACTTTTGTTGAGTTATGAACATCTTTGAGAACCTCTCTAGAAAAATCCCCATGCATAAATATCACATTTAATTGCAGTTATTGCCACCTACTGATGCTCATATCGACATGCCTAGACACAATGACCCCAGAAGAAGAAGTGCTGAGTTAGAAACTGCAGGAAAGTATACTCATTTATACAGATACACCATCTCTATATCGTGTAATGAAATTTCAGCACAGGAAAACAACAAGGTACAGACAGCAAGGGTGTCCAGTCTTTTGGCTTCCCTGGGCCACAATGAAAGAAGAATTGTCTCAGGTGACAAAAAAATACACTAACACAATAGCTGATGAGCTAAAAAAAAATTGCAGAAAAATCTAATAACGTTTTAAGAAAGTTTACGAATTTGTGTTGGGCTGCATTCAAAGCTGCCCTGGGCCATGGGTTGGAAAAGCCTGAAATAGAGCATTATATATGGAAATATAAAATAATATCTTTCAAACAATGGGGCAGCAGTTTAGGTTTTGAATCTTACAGTTCCAGTTGTCTTCTGAAGCTCAGTAGTTGACACCATTGTACTAAATTCTTTCTCTTGAATTAATGCACACAGAGTTGCCTGAAATGGGAAAAAATTTCTTCACTAGTCTTTCCACTCTGCAGTTCCTTGGTTTAACAGAAATTCTTTTGGTGATTTTCTCTCCCCTTTCAATAAAGATTAGAAGCACCCCCCAAAGCCCTGGCTAACTACCAGCTATGTTCCCAGAAGAAGAAAATCTGCTGGAGAGAAGGCGAAGAAAAGAGAAAAAAAATCAGCAAAATGTATTGGTCTTCCCGTAAAATAACAAACTCTGCACCTTCTTACCTGTGTGCAGTGAGGAATGAATCCATAGACAAGGAGTCGATCATTGCAAAACAAGGATGGCACCTGGGCTGGGGCCTGCAGGGCCTCGGGTGCATCTGGATTGAGTTGCTGCCATTTGATTGAGACAGAGTGGCAACTAGGAGAGCATAGCCTGGTCATTTGGTCTTCTATCTATTTATAAAAGAGGAATTATTTCTCTTTCAATGCTCCATCCAGAAAATAGTTACTTCACATTTAAACTAAAGTATACATTCTATCCTTTGGGAATTTTATAATTCTTTGGTATTTTTTCTTCTTCCTGTTACAGGGTACTTTTCTGAAAAGATTTTAAACAGAATTTATTTATTTATTTATTTATCTTATTTTGAGATGAAGTCTTGCTCTGTTGCCTAGGCTGAAGTGCAGTGGTGCAGTCTTGGCTCCAACTTCCACCTCCCAGGTTCAACTGATTTTCCTGCCTCAGCCTCCCAAGTAGCTGGGACTACAGGCATGTGCCACCACATCAGGCTAATTTTTGTATTTTTAGTAGAGATGGGGTTTCACTGTGTTGCCCAGGCTGGTTTCGAACTCCTGACCTTAGGTGATCCACCTGCCTCAGTTTCCCAAAGTGCTGGGGTTACAGGTGTGAGCCACCACGCCCAGCTAGAACTCTAAATCATAGTATGATCACATCCTTTACATTTACAAAGCTTCCTGAAATTATTCCATTTGCTAATTACTAATATGCAACTTTGGCAGGAGTAGATTCCAGTACTTGAATAGATATTTCTCCAAAGAAGATACACAAAAGCCATGAAAAGTGTGCGTGAAAAGATGCTTGATGTCACTAGTCAATAGGGAAGTGCAAATCAGAACCATAATGATCCCATTTCACATCCATTGGGATGGCTGTTATTAAAAGACAGGTGGTGGCTGGGCAGAGTGGCTTATGCCTGTAATCCCAGCACTTTGGGAGGCCAAGGCAGGTGGATTGCTTGAGCTTGGGATTTAAAACCAGCCGGGGCAACATGGCGAAACCCTGTCTCTACAAAAAATAAAAAAATTAGCCTGGTGTGGTGGTGTGGGCCTGCAGTCCTACCTACTTGGGGGGCTGAGGCAGGAGGATGGCTTGAGACCAGAATGTCAGGGCTGCAGTGAGCCAAGTATGCGTGGGTGACAAAGTGATACCCTGTCTTAAAAAAAAAAAACCAAGAACCAACAACCAACAAATAAACGAAAAACAACAAGAAAAAAAGTGGTGGCATAGGCCTGTAGTCCCAACTACTCTGGAGGCTGAGGTGGGAGGATCACTTGAGTTCAGGAAGTTGAGGTTGTGGTGAGCTATGATTGCACTACTGCACTCCTGCCTATGTGACTGCTCAACACCGAGTCTCAAAAACAAAACCAAACCAAAGAAAAGCTGACTGATTTCAGTCAATATGGAAAAAAAAGGAATGATGAGTGTTGATGAGGATGTGGAAAAACTGGAATCCTGGTGCACTGGTGGTGGGAATATAAAATGATACAGCTGCTATGGAAGACTGCATGGCGAGTCCCCAAAAAACTAAACGTAGAACGACCATATGATCCAGCAATCCCGTGCTGTGTGTATATCCAGAATTGAAAGCAGACTGAAACAGACACTTGTTTACCAATGCTCATAGCAGCACTATTCACAAAAGCCAAAGGCTAGAAACAACCTAAATGTCTACCAACAGATGAATGGATATGCAAAATGTGGTCTATCCATACAATGGAGTATTATTTAGCTTTAAAAAGAAGGGAGATTCTGACACATGCCACAACATACCTGGATGTTAAAAACATTATGCTAAGTGAAATAAGCCAGATGTAAGAGGACAACGTCTGATAACTTATATGAGATACTCAGCATAGGCAAAGTCATAGAGATGGAAAGTAGAGTCGTGGTTAGCAGGGGCTAGGCACAGGAAGGAATGCAGAGTTACGGTTTAATGGGTACATATTTTCTGTTTGGGATGATGAAATAGTGAAGATGGTGATGGTTGCACAGCATTGTGAATGTAGCTAATACCACTAAATTGTACACTTAAAAATGGTTAAAATGCTAAATTTTATCATAGTAAAGAAAATTAATTTCAGCAAAACATATTTAATAATTCACTTTAAAAAATTCAGTCCATGATTTTTCAGGCAGAAATCAAACTATGAGCTGGGAGAATGGCCTGATTAAGAACTCCCGTGTTCCTGCTGGTGCAGTTCTGAGGCAGGGCTCACACCTGCGGCAGCTCTTGCCTCTTCGTGGCTCCCATCTCATTCAAGGAAACACAGATGTTCCTATTGCTTAGCCTTGGAAGGATGTGAGATTTCCACACGTAAGTATAAAACCAGATGTTTAAAAAAACATACCTGTTTTCTCCAACTATGCTTGGATTTTGCATTAAAATATTCAAATACTCCAGCACCACACTGGGACAAGATCCTTAAGATGTGACGATTTGCTGTAGAACTGATCACATTTCACATTTTAATTTTCAAGACATTTGAGAAATATTTTTGAAGTACATGTTAACAGTGTTGAGAAAGCTCACAGCTCAATAGGAGAGACATTACATGGAAGAACGTACTCTTGTGTAGCTGAGGTTAAACAGAGAAGATGGTAACGGGAGGAAATACCTGAAAGTTTGGCTATTTTAAGCTCCCATATATCAGAGCACTGATTTATCCTTCAAATAGAAAAAGGCTGAAATTCTTGACTTTCAGTTTACTGAAGGAGGGAGTAGATGACTCTAAAAACAACCCTACAAGGTATCAGAATGCTGAGAAAGATATCAACTTAATTTTAATAAACAACAACATTACCCGAATCTGATCCCAAAGGCCTAATGCTGGCAAAGAGTGAATAAAGGTTACCTCTTAAAATCTGATACACATCGACACAGCAAAAGGCATAAAGAAGCAACTCTCACTATAGCAAAGAGTGTCTCTGACATTTAAATGACAAGTGCCCTATTACTCTTCTCTCTACAATAATTCTACAACTATCGACTCCTTGCTTAGAGGTGTGCCTCCTGAAATACTAAAGAAAAGATCAATTACTTTTCAGAAAAAGAGCTTATGAAAGTAATTTCCAAGATGTTTTTCAACCTATTGATAAAGACTGGACTTGTCTTTATCCTCCATATTAATTGGTCATGATCATAACACTGACTAGAAGATCCTTAACGTGGGTTATTGGTAGTTAAACCTTCCGTCTGTTAGCGAGGCAGGCTGGAATCTTCCTGTGCTCTGTGTGGCTCTCAGAGGACCAGGACTCATGCCAGGGAGGTGGCTGGATGATCTCTACCCTTGGGAAGCTCACTTTACTAGACTTTGTAATTTCAAACACATGCATGGAAGACACGAGGCAGAAACACTTAGATCCCCAAAACTCAACAGAGAAGCAGAATGGATCCCAGCCCCTCCAGGCATGGGTGGTGCTAACCAGCACAGTCTCCTCTGGGAGCAGGCTCTTCCACTGCAAACCCAGACTCCCCATTGCATGCCTTACATTTTTTTAATTAAAAAAAAAAAATGTTTAAAGACAGGTCTTGCTCAGTCAGTCAGGCTGGAGTGCCATGGCCCAGCCACGGCTCACTGCAGCCTTGACCTCTTGGGCTGAAGCAATCCTCCTGCGTTGGGCTCCCAGAGTGCCAGGACCACAGGCGTGAGTCACTGCACCTGACCTCATCACACTCCCTTGATTGCCTCCCTGGCACATGGGAAAATCCCACCTCCCAGCCCCAGAGTAGGGGCCTGATGTTTGCCTCAGGATAGACCCTCATTGAGGAAGGCATGAATAGGTGCCAGTGCCTCTGCTCTGTGGTGTCTGAGCCCTGACCTGGGAGCAGGGGGCAGGGAGGGGCTGCTGAGACCAGGAGACAGTGCAAGGGCTGCCCTGAGTGCAGCTGCGAGCTCAGCAGGTGAAGTCCCATCAGGAACAACTCCTAGTGGAGTTGCTCAGGCTGGATATATTTCTTCATTGGCCTGTGATGCTGGGCTAGGCCTTAGATTACAGAGAACAGAGCCACGAGCTGCGACTGTGGAGGACAGAAGAAAGCCCTCGAGGCAGGCCGGGCTAGCTTGGGTACAGCAGCTAGGGGTGGTGGGGGGCACAGGGGGCACTATGGGCCACAGAGGGGCATTGCGGGTGCTGGCTCCTGGAGCTCAGGGTGAGTCCAGGTCAAGGTTCAGGGGCAAGGACAGCACAGGGGCCCCCATTCTGTCCCATGAAGAAGCTGAGGATCTGCTCCATACACTGCCTCAGAATAGAGATACCTGGTGACCACTTGCTCAGGTGGTGACCACTTGCTCAGGTGGTGGCCACATGCAGGAGTCCAGGGGGCCTATGCAGACACCAAGTGGCCCCTCTGTTTTCCTTACACATATGCCACATACCTAAGTGCAATCCAAAAGAGCTAATTTTTACTGGGGAGGGGGCAATTCCAACAATCTATGGGTGTTAGCCTCCCACGGAAAGGTTCTGTGCACACCACAGGGTTTGCAAATGCAAGTGCTTGTAATGACCAGAAGAGAGATGCCAAGGAGCAAAGCAGCTGGGTGGAGTCTGCCTGGAGGCCACGTGCCTCAGCACGAGTCCAGCACAGCCAGTGAGGAGCCCAGGCTGCTCAGGACAAGCTGGAGATTTGGATTCTTATGCTAAATAATAACATCTAACATTGATTTGTGCTAATTGGGTCAGTTGTTCTGTGTGCTTTCTATACATGAGCTCATTTAATCCTCAGCAATCCCAAGATGTAGGTAGTCTTGGTTTTATGAGAGGTTAAGAACTTGCCCAAGGTCATAGCTAATGTGTGGCCAACCCAGGTTCTGAGACTCAGGCAGTCTGGCTGGGAGCCCAGGGCCCCATCTCTCTGTGCTGTAAGGCTTCTGTATTCTAGTTTCAACTTCCAAGCTTGCAAAAGTCCTGGGCAAGTCAACAGGAAGGCCTCTTCGCAGGCTGCCTTTTCCACCTGCGTCTGGACTGTGTGAGTAGCTCTCTGAGACTCACCCGATACCGCAGGCAAACAATCTGGTGTGGGGGCGGCTCCTCTTCACAAGCTGCAACGTCAGGCTCTCGTCCTGGAGGTGCCCATCAGACACTAGGAGGATGCTCCGGGATCCTCGAGCAGGGTACAGTAAGCTAAGATATCGGAGAATTTTCCAGAAGTCTGTGTTCCCCATGGTAGGTGTGGCAGACTGGAGGAAATGAAGTGAAAGATTATGTTCTCCTTGTTGGATACAGTCACCACTGATACATCTAAGGGTAGTGTAGAGATATAGTGACATGGAAAATATTTTATTTCCCTAATTATACATTTGTGAAACAACTAAACTTACGTCCTTTTAGTTTGTTTTATGTCACACAGTAACTGTAATATAACTGTAATATTATCACCTCACGCTTTGTCAGTCTCATCTGGTCAGTCTCAGCTTGCTCCATTTTATTATTATTATTATTTTATTTCATTTTTTTTAAATTTGAGATGGAGTCTTGCTCTGTTGTCCAGGCTGGAGTGCAGTGGTGCAATCTTGGCTCACTGCAATGTCCACCTCCTGGGTTCAAGTGATTCTCCTACCTCGGCCTCCCGAGTAGCTGGGATTACAGGTGTCCACCACCACGACTGGCTAATTTTTTGTATTTATAGTAGAGACGAGGTTTCACCATGTTGGCCAGGCTGGTGTTAAACTCCTGACCTCAGGTGATCTACCCGTCTTGGCCTCCCAAACTGCTGGGATTATAGGCATGAGCTACTGCACCTGGCATTTCCTTCTTTCTTAGCCCTAGGCCTTTTAGATGAAGCTGGCTGCATTTGAAGAGAAAAAAAACAAGGGACAGAAGAGAACTTCTCAAAGCTGTTAATGCTAGTTGTATTAGGGTGGTGGGACACGGGTGATTTTTTTCTTTCTATTCTTTTCCAGTCTTCCTTAATGAGTTTATATCATTTAAATTAATGAAGTAAGAGCCCACCACCATACAAAAATGAAGCAAGAAAGGTGATCTGATAGTGGCTCGAGGGGCCTAAGCCCTGGAGGTCCCCCCAAAGCATGGTAGGAAAAGACCCAAGAGATACAGGAAGCTTCTTGCACTCACCATGATGAACTCTGTTGCTGCAGTGTTGCTTGTGATATGCTTAGGATATGAAAATAACTCCTTGGAACCTGTGTAATAAGATCAGCATGAGGTGCTGCCTCCACATATTTACTTGCTTGACACTAACAAACAATAACGTTACTTCATACCACTACAGCTGTCATAAAGGATGTTAATATTTATGTGTGTACCTTCCTTTTTAGAAAACTGTTTGATAATTTTTTTTTTTTTGAGACATTGTTGCCCAGGCTGGAGTGCAATGGTAGGATCTCAGCTCACCGCAAACCTCCACCTACCGGGTTCAAGCAATTCTCTTGCCTCAGTCTCCCAAGTAGCTGGAATTATAGGCATGCACCACCATGCCTGGCAAATTTTATATTTTTAGTAGAAATGGGGTTTCTCCATGTTGGTCAAGCTGGTCTTGAAATCCTGACCTCAGGTGATCCGCCTGTCTTGGCCTCCCAAAGGGCTGGACTTACAGGCGTGAGCCACCATGCCCGGGCTGGGGTGAAATTTTTGTATGTTAAAATTATACATACAGCAGACCTTAGTTCTGGGAAAAGGGGCTGGGCCTTCGGCTGGATGGCACAGAGGATGAGAATCAGTAGGACAGGACTGTCCCCTCACTCCACTCTACGCACCCCTCTTTTCTGAGGTGCTGCCTCTGGTGGCTGACATGTCCTTGGACCCCACCTGGAGGGTGGCACTACCTCCCTTCTAGCAGTGCTGGCCAGATGCTTCCTGAGACCATTCCTTTTAGATTTCCTGTGACTGTGCTGATGGCAAATGTTTTGTCTTTAGACTTGGGACCTCCTATCAACAGACCAAGGGTTTTGCATTTGGTTCAGTTGCTAATGACAACAGTAGCATTTATATCTCACCTTACTGTGAAACAGGCACAGTTTAAAAATCCTTTACATATATTAGCTCAATCCTCCTCACAGCAATACTGTGAGTTAGGGACAATTATCCTCAGATGGCAGAGGAGGAAACGGAGGAACCAGAAGTTCAAGCAGCACACTCAAGGTGACACACCGAGCCTGTGAGTGGTACAGCTGGGATCTGGACCTCAGGGTCCAGCTCCAGAGCTCTTGTTCCTCAGCTTTATACTGGGCTGCTCCACACTGCACAGGCGGGGCTGGGTACCCATAGTCATCCATTCTACAGAGTATGATTCACACATGGGGGAAGCACCTGCAGGACCAGGGCCGAAGCTCACTCACCTGTGCCAAACTGGATAATGTTTACTTTTTGCTTCTCACCCACCAAGGACAGTGCATGCAAGGCGATCTGCTTGGCTTGCAAGAATGTCACACCCTCCATAGACCTGGAGCAGTCCAGACAAATAATCACTTCACTCTCATCTGCCAGGTCAGGGAGGTCGACATTGAGATCGGGTTGAAAGACAAGCATGCAAGCCTGAAAGGAGAAAGAAGGTGCTGGCCTGGAGCATCTCATCACTTCAACTGGAAAAGGTCTACTTAGAAAACTCCAAAACTTTCTAGTGAGGTAACTAATGCTATAAAAACAAAAAGAGTAAGATTTAATTTACAACAAGATGGTCTACTAGGAGTTCCAGTCAAAAGCAGAATGTTAGAGCTGGGAGTTTCCAATGGAGAAGACAAACTCCTGAGAGGTCAAGAATTAATATCTAAAAAAGCATATAGCATCTACATTAGAAAACATATATGTATCTCACACACACTATTCTAAGAGGAATATACATGCCACTGTGATTACTAAAATATACACACATACCTTTTGTTCCATTAATTAACCAATATTTAAAATAACTACTATCAAATAAGTTTCCTTTTTTTTTTTTTTTTTTGAGACAGGGTCTCTCTTTGTTGTCCAGGCTGGTGTGCAGTGGCACGATCACAGCTCACTCTAACCTCAACCTCCTGGACTCAAGTGATCGTCCTGTTTCAGCCTCCTAAGAAGTGGGGAGCACAGGTGCATGTGACCACACCTGCCTAATTTTTTTTCTAAATTTTTTTGTAGAGACGAGGTCTCACTATGTTTCCCAGGCTGGTTTCAAACTCCTGGGCTCAAGCAGTCCACCTGCCTTGGCCTCCCAAAGTGCTGGGATTACAGGTGTGAGTCACTGCACCCAGCTGTAAGCTTCCATTTTTATTTTAACTTAAGAAGAGACTCTTTGTCACAGTCACACAAAATGGTCTTATCACCAACCATAAATAATTGTTCACGTTTTTCCAGAATCAGTATTTTAAAAGTATAAAAAGCATACAGAATATCCAATGTAATGTCTGACGGCACACCTTCTTTGTGGTGGAGCTTAAGGTAAAAATGCCAATCTGTACAGGCAAGTCATCCACATAAGGGTTTTGGTTGAAATGTCAGAAATTTGGCACGCTTGATATCATAAGTACTTTAAGTTGCAGAATCTTGGGGTGTGAGAGCTCATTTTGTAATGCTAGTTTTTTCAGGACAATTAATAATTTCCAAGTTTAACCAACTTATTCTGAAATGTTTTTCCAATAGTGTCTCCAATAAGGATAAGTAAGTAGGAGTAAGGTATAAGTAGGTATAAGTAAGAAGGAGTATACCTCGCTTTCTTTTTCTGGATGTTTTTCAACCCACATTCTTGGGAGATAGGCATCAGACAAACCGATGTGGAGAGAAAATCCACTGCTGTCTAAGGAGCTGCCTTCCATGGTGCTAATGACAGCTTTGCAGTCTGTGCGCTGTAAAACAAACACCACGACAACAAGGTCAGTAACGCAGAAACACCGTCTTAGCAGTCTACACTTACCTGTCATGGAGCAAACCCTTGCATAGCTTACATAACTCTATTAAGAATCAACAAAGTAGTGATAAATTCCAAAATGATGAAATGTAGACCGGGTGCAGTGGCTGACACCTATAATCCCAGCACTTTGGGAGGCCAAGGTGGGTGGATCACCTGAGGTCAGGAGTTTGAGGCCAGCCTGGCCAACATGGTGAAACCTCATCTCTACTAAAAATACAAAAAATTAGCCAGGTATCATGGTGGGTGCCTGTAATCCCAGCTACTAAGGAGGCTGAGGCAGGAGAATCAATTGAACCCAGGAGGTAGAGGTTGCGGAGAACCGAGAGCGTGCCACTGCACTCTAGCCTGGGTAACAAGAGCAGAACTCCATCTCAAAAAAACAAAACAAAACAAAATCCCTAAATAATGAAATGTAGGTTTTAGAAGACCATGAGCATATTAGACCCTTCTGCAATCCTAAGGTTGATTCACACAAATTTAGGTAAGTGTGAGATAGTCTCAAACCCTGGATCCAAAGATTATAGATCTGTCCATTCAGTTAGACTTATCTGGGTATAGCAGACAGCACACATCAGATAATTAAAACCTAGAAGAATAAAATAGAAAATACAACAGAAATCTTAGAATTGTACCTTAGTTGTATATATTTTAACGAATATAAAAAAGCTGTTGAAAATCTAAATGATAAGCTTTACAACAACAAAGGCAAAGGCAATGTGCTAGAGTGTAACATGACCACAAAGTCTCTCCATGCCTGTCTGTGTGCCCCTTTGCAGTGTGACTTTTGAAGTTCCTCCTGCCTCAAGGCAGCAGCTATATTTCCACCCTTGAATCTGGAGTTGGCCGTAGGACTTGCTGTGGCCAATGAGATACAAGTAGAGGCGTGAAAAGTGTCCATGCAACGGGGCTGGCACTCTCTTGTTGCTACTGAGGACTCCTCCCCCATTATAAGAATCCACCTGAGCCAAGCTCTGCAGGGGAGACGCAGCTTTTGCCCTGCTGAAACGATGCCGGCAGCCAGCGGTGGGTGAGGCTGTCCTAGGTAGTCCTGGCCCAGCCCAGCCCAGCCCAGCCCAGCCCAGCCCAGCCCAGCCCAGCCCAGAACCACCCAGCCGATCCACAGAACTCTGAGAATAATAAACACTTGTTTTAAATCACAAAGTTTAGGGACTGTTTGCTTATATGGCAAAAGGTAACGGATGTAGAGGACTCTTTGAAGGGGGCAGATTAGAAACATATACTTATCTCCACTCCCCAGCAAAATGCCCAAGCCTCCCTATAATGAAAGGAAGGCAACCAATAAAAAGGGTGTGGACCTACACAGACCCTGAGAACAGGAACAGAGACAACACCAGATAGGTGATGCCAACAAATGGGAGGGGAATGGATGGAGGCATGGGAAGGAGCTCAGCCAGAGTGGCAGAGGCTCTTATGGAGACCTGTGGGCTGGTCCGTCCTGCCTCGTCCTGGGAAGTAAGGCCACCAGGTCCTAGTGAACAGATGTGTATGAAGCTGTCAGGTCCTGGCCCCTCCCCAACCCAAGTGACCAAGCAGCTAGCACCACTGACACCCTATTCTCTCACTAAGGGAATGTGGAGTTCATTATTTGGAGAAATTCAGCCAAATAGAATCAGGCCAGGGAAGGCTAGGCATGCGGGGCACCAGAGCACAGTCTGCTTCCTTAAGGGTAGCGAGATCAGCATCCCAAAACATGGGCCCCTCAGTCACCTGACCCAGTCACACTCCGTAAACACCCTAGAGCTTCCAGTCGACTTTCTTGTGTTTCAGTCATAATGATGGATCCAGAGAGAGGTACCCAGACATTTGAGGAAACATGGAGGCAAAAAAACAGCAAAAATCCAGAAGGGGAAAAAAAGGAACTCAAAGAGAGGAGACACAACATGAGGAACAGAAGAAAAAATGTATTATGAATGTTCTTAGAGAGACGAGAGAGGATAGCATATCCAGGGAACACACAAGATGCTATGAAAGAAGGAATACTCACAGAACGGAAAACAGCTCTGACAAACGAAACATGCGAGAACGAAAATTACAATTTCAGTGTAACAGCTGGAATTGAAAATGAAAAAAAAAATGCCCCAAGAGTGGAACAAAAAGACAACAAAAATGGGCAATAGGAAAAAAACATAAGAAAACAAGGGGCTTCCTCCAGGGACACCTGACTGAAAGGCACTGCAGAGGCAGTAGCTAGGGCTACAGGCCTGTGCTACCACATGTGGCTAATTTTTTTTTTTTAATTTTGTAGAGACAGGGGTCTCACTATGTTGCCCAGACTTTTCTTGAACTCCTGGGCTCAAGTGACCCTCTTTGCCTCGGCTTCCCAAAGTGGTAGAATTACAGGTGTGAGCCACCACATCCAGCCTATTTTCCTTTTTAAAATTCTGCAGGAATTTCAGACCTTATCTTTATCTCTGGTATTCTGAAATTTCATAATTATTGTCTGGGTGTGGTGGCTCACACCTGTGATCTCAGCACTTTGGGAGGCTGAGGCGGGCAATCACCTGAGGTCAGGAGTTTGAGACCAGCCTGGGCAACATGGGGAAACCCTGTCCCTATTAAAAATACAAAAATTAACCAGGTGTGGAGGCAGGCACCTGTAGTCCCAGCTACTCAGGAGGCTGAGGCACTAGAATCACTTGAACCTGGGAGGCAGAGGTTGCAGTGGGTTGAGATAGCACCACTGCACTCCAGCCTGTGTGATAGAGTGAGACTCTGTCTCAAAAAAAAAAAAAAAAGAAAGAAAAGAAAAAAAGAGAGAAAGGCACTGCAGAAAGGTACAAGAGAGAGGAACAATATTTTTAATACAACAAAATTTCTTAGAACTAAAGACCACCAGTTACATACAATGAATGAATATAATTTTATTATGAAATTTCAGAATACCAGAGATAAAAAGAAGGTTGGAAATTCTCGCAGAAATTTAAAAAGGAAAATAGACTTCAGTCTATTTTCTGGGTGTGGTGGCTCATGCCTATAATTCTAGCACTTTGGGAAGCTGAGGCAAAGGGGATCGCTTGAGCCCAGGAGTTTGAAAAAAGCCTGAGCAACACAGTAAGACCCTGTCTCTGCAACTTTTTTTTTAAGTTAGCCAGGTGTGGTGGCATAGGCCTGTAGCCCTAGCTACTCAGGACCTGAAAGGGAGAAGAAAAGTAGGAAATGGGGTGAGTGAAGGGGGTAAGAGCTACACGTCCACCTTCCATAACAGGAAGTCAAAAGATAATTTCTGAAACAGATGAATAAAAAAAAAGCATTAAAAATTTAATATTTGAAAACTGGAGGCAAAACCAGAGAAACAGCTCAAATATTCTAAGTGGTTCACTGCCTCTGGAAACTGGGCTGGGGAGAGTCAGGGGCAGGATTGCTGCTTCTTGTTAGAAGCTGTTGTTAGCATTATTTCACTTTTAAACCATATGCCTTCATTGCTTTGATAAAATAAAAGTAGTGTTAAGGAAGAGCTCTTAAATAAAAGATTCACTAACCTTTTGTTTCAGTTCATGTGTATCACTGAAAATGAATTCAATCACATATGGCATCTCAATAGACATAGTCAAAGAGAAGCTACCAAAAATGAAGAGAAAGTTATCTTAGTCTATACGATCTTAAATTTCTATCTGAAATTATTTCAAACAATTCTAAGTGGAAATTTAATATCCATTGAATGATTAATTGATAGATTTTATATTTTAGGTACTAACCTTTGCTTTGTTCCTATTTCTTTTATACATATCTTCTCTACTGTATCCTGTTAAAAGACAAATACACTTGTATAAGTAAGCATATTTTAAGTTTCACAATGAGACTCTAACCTGCTTGTAATCTTGGCAAGGCCACAACTGTCAGCAAGACAGCTGGTTTCACTTTCAAGTAGTGAAACACAGAAAGTTTGCTCATGGAATGACAGGAACTTCTAAAATACAACTGACCATTTTGACAGAGATTTTCAACTCTACATATGTCTCTGTGTGTATACACACACAGACACACAGAGAGACACACACACATTTTATACATGTGCTTTGCAAAGTAGGAAGTTTGGAGGGATATACCAAAGCATTAACCAGTAGCGATCTCTGGGCGATGGGATTAAGGATGGTTTTAATATTCTTATTTTGGCTTATTTGTATTCTCTATGCTTATCTAGTTCTTCATGATGAACATGCACTACAGATATAACCTTTTTTGAGTGATTAAGCAGAATAAAACTATGCTTATTAATCATATCTGTATCTTTTGTTCTTTTCATTTTACAAACGTAACGTATCTAAATGCATAAATGTCAGTAAAATTGACTTGATGCCTAAAATATCCTTTTACATGCTTTCCCCCCCATGCATAAACTCCTCCACAGCCCTGCACCACTCTCTCTCCACTGCTGCTAAAATGCTTCTTCAAATCTTACGCATACAAACCTGAAGATTTTCATTTAAAGCCTTGTCCTGTTGCCAGGGTGCTACAGTGGCGGGCATGAAAAAGACACCAACAGTGCCCAGGACGCTGAGTTCTGTGATGTAGGTAATTTTTATGAGAACCTTAGCCTTAGGCGGTAAGTTTCCAACACTTACAGTAAAAACGTCCTGAAACAGAAACATACGACTTAGCTTGCAACTTGAAAGCATGCCAGCTAACTCCACATATTTCTTAAGCAACTTAAATGACAATCTGCCAACTGCATCTTCAGAAAACAGTAATAAAACCTAAAAGACACACTGGTGGGACTAACGGAGACTCCCGGAGCCATTCACCAGTGGTGGAAACAGGGTGATATCCGTGGCAGCCAGATGGAGAGGGGTCCCCTTGGCAGCTCAACTGGAAAGACACACTCATGGACTCTGCCCCAGGGGGCTCACGTGTGTGACATCCCCGCTCAAGTGGGCTCTGCTGCATGGGCGGCCTCCACAAAGCCCTTTCTTGAAGACCCTCCCTGACCACCATGGCACCCAACACCACTTTTGCCAGCAGCTGTAGAACCAGGGCAGTTTTTTCTAAGCTTGGCCCTTGCTTAATTATTTTACCTTATGGTAATTTATCATGTTATTTTTATTTATTTAATGTTTAGAGATAGGATCTTGCTCTGTCATCCAGGCTGGAGGGCAGTGGTGCAGTCATAGCTTAATGTATCCTTGAAACCCCAGGTCTAAGCCATCCTCCTAAGTATCTGGGACTACAGGCATGCACCACCATGCCTGGCTGATTTTTAAATACAGATGGGGTATCCCTATGTTGCCCAGGCTGGTCTCAAACTCCAGGCCTCAAGTGACCCTTCCACTTTGTGCTCCCAAAGTGCTGGGATTATAAGAGTGAGGTACCATACCCAGCCTATCATGTTATTTTCTAATAAAAAGTCTTTAGCTTTCTTTTAACAGGATATTGATAATCACTATACAAGGCAACAACCTTAGGACTAACTAGGGCAGAACAAAAAGGCTAGATATATTTTTTTCTGGTAACTTCACAGAGATCCTCTCAACATTCTCAACTATGTTCACCATTCTAGTTGACTGCCCTATCATGAAAATTTTGTATATTTAGATTAGGACTAATTTAGGCTTAAAGGTTAAATTATTACTTTTGACATCAAAGCTATCCATTTGCTGGATGTCAATAAATAATAGGTGATTATTAAATAGTTAATAGTGCTAGCACTTAAAATAAATGTATGTATAAAAATCTGGGGTTCTTTTTTTTTTCTTGAGACAGAGTCTTGCTCCGTCACCAGGCGCAAGGCTGGAGTGCAGTGGCACAATCTCAGCTCACTGCAACCTCTGTCTCCCAGTTTCAAGCAATTCTCCTGCCTCAGCCTCCCAAGTAGCTGGGACTACATGTGTGTACCACCATGCCCAGCTAATTTTTGTATTTTTAGTAGTGATGAGGTTTCACCATGTTGGCCAGGATGGTCTCAATCTCTTGACCTTGTGATCTGGCCGCCTCGGTCTCCCAAAGTGCTGGGATTACAGGCATGAGCCACTGCGCCTGGCCCAAAATCTGGGGTTCATTTAAGAGACTGCCACTTAATAGTGTGGGATTGCAGTTCTGTTTCTGGATAGAATAGGTGGATGCAGATGATGTCACTTCTGTTACAACACACCATGTAATATACAAAATCATAACTAGTCTTGAACTCATCAACCAAGCGAAGTGAATTCCAAAGAGGACACAGGTGGGACACAGGAGCTGTGTGAACTCCTCCTGGCTGAGAGTGGGTGAGCTTACTGGTTTAGGATAACTGGGAGCTCCTGACCCAAGGGGAGTTTGCATTCTCTTGCAGGCATTTTCCCACATCTCTCCAGCCTTCCACTGGGCCCACTGGAAAGGCTGGGCAGGGCAGGAGACCAAGTAGAGCACCTCTCTGTGGAGCAGGTGTGGGGGGTGTGGGACCACTTCCCTGGGTCCTTCCCCCACATGCAAAAACCTCCAGCTGCAGGCGGAAGGGCAGCAAACTCTCACTTACAGGGCTGAGGCGAAGGGGCAGAAGCAAACCAGGGATCAGAAGCCTTCCTTACTACCCCCGTGCCCAGGTAAAGCTTCATGCTTCTGAGAGAAACAGCTACCTCCCTATGGGGTAGGGGATGACATCCTCCTAGGCCCAGGACCCTGTACTAGGCCAAAGCAGGAGTTGCTACAAGGGGGGGAAAGGCAGGAAACTGTCCCCCAGATAACTCTTAACAGACACAAGGCAGAATTTGGCTGCCACTAAAGAAGGAGAATGAACAGAAATACTAAGAAGTTCCCACCCTAAGGTCCAGGACTGCAGGCCCTGCCTAAGACTGAGGCTGAACCAGAAGAATGCCCCTGATGCACCAGGAGCCTAGTACAGCATATCAAGCAACAGCAGCCTAGTGCTGGGGGAGGGGAAGAGTTGCTGTACCCACCTCTGTGGGATGGTGTGTAGCGCCTGCTGAAAGGTGGGAGTGAAGCACGAACCCCAGTAAGAATTATTCCGTATCCAGGCCCAACAGGCACAAGGTAGTGGCGGCCCAGCACTGGAGGAATTTGAGACCAAGAGTAATAATAACAACGGAGAGTAATGATAACAACAGCAAAACTCAAACTCAACTCTTCAACCCCTACACAAACCTGAAAGAACAGGAGTTGCCATTTCTGGACATACAGGCCATTTATTTCAGTCTCTCTTCTTTTAGAAACAATGCCCAGCATTCAATCACAAATTCCAAAATATACCCTTTTTTTTAAGCAAGCAAAAAAATGACTCAATGTCAAGATAAAGCAATTAACAGGCAGATTCAGAGATGACCATGACACTGCAATAAACAGACAGGACTACAGTTAATACATGAATAGACCGAGCCTTTCATTAAAGAAATTAAATTGTATTTTTTAAATGTCAGAAATGCTAGAAACAGACATATTATCAAAGCTGAAGAATTTGACAAGCTGATCAGCAGACTGAGAATAGTTGAGAAAAGAATGAATGAACTTCGAGTTAGGTCAATAGAAATTATCCAAAATAAAATGCAACAAGAAATAAAGGTGAAAAAATAGAGCTCCAAAAGCTGTGGTGCAATATCAAACGGTCTAACATATATGTATTGAAGTCTCAGAAGGAGAAAAGAGACAGAGAGAATGAGGGAGAAGAAATATTTCAATATATAAGGGTCAAGACTGTCCCAAAATGAATGTGAGACAATCCAAACTCAAGAGAACTCTAAGCAAGATAAGCAATAATTTTTTAAAATAACATAAACACATCATAGTCAAACTACTGAAAACTAAAGATAAAGAGAATCTTGAAGGTAGCTTGAGAGAAAACATACTTTCACATACAGAAGAACAACACAAAAATTAGAGCTGACGTCTGGTCGGAAACCATATAAGCAAGAAGACAATGAAGTAACATGTTTAAACTGCTGAAAGGAAAACAAACTGTCACCTGGAATCCCATGTTTAGCAAAAAAATCTTTAAAAAATGAAGGTGAAAGACTTTATTAGATAAAAAATGAACATACTCCTTGCTAGCATGCTTGCAGTAAAAATCAACCAATCAATCAATCAAACTTCTCAAGCAGAAGGAAGATTTCTTTGTATCTATACAAAGAAATGAAAGGCACCAGAAATGATAAAATTGAGAATAAATGTAAGACATTTTCTTTATTTTTAATTGCTTTAAAAGATGGTTGATCATCACATAAAACTAAAGGAGAAAAACCACATGATTACCTCAACAGACATAGAAAAGGCCTTTGATACACTTCAACATCCCTTTATGTTAAAAACTTGCAGTAAATGAGGTATTGATGGAACACACCTCAAAATAATAAGAGCCATTAATGACAAACCTCCACAGCCAATATCATACTGAATGGGCAAAAGCTGGAAGTATTCCCCTTGAAAACCAGCACAAGACAAGGATGTCTTCTCTCATCACTCCTATTCAACACAGTATTGGAAGTTCTGGCCAGGACAGTCAGGCAAGATAAAGAAATAAAGATTATTGAAATAGAAAGAGAGGAAGCCAAACTGTTTCTGTTTGCAGATGATAAGATCCTGTCTAGAAAACCCCATCCTCTCAGCACCCTGTATCTGGAAAACCCCATTGTCTCAGCCCAAAGGCTTCTTAAGTTGATAAGCAACTTCAGCAAGTCTCAGGATACAAAAATCGATGTGCAAAATTCACAAGCATTCCTATACACCAACAACAGACAAGCAGAGAGCCAAATCATGAATCCACTCCCATTCGCAGTTGCTACAAAGGGAATAAAATACCTAGGAATACAGCTAACAAGGGAAGTGAAGGACCTCTTCAAGGAGAACTACAACCCACTGCTCAAGGAAATCAGAAAGGACACAAACAAATGGAAAAACATTCCACGCTTGTGGATAGGAAGAATCAATATTGTGAAAATGGCCATACTGCCCAAAGTAATTTATAACTTCAATGCTATTCCCATTAAACTACCACTGACAGTCTTCACAGAATTAGAAAAAACTAGTTTAAAATTTATATGGAACCGAAATAGAGCCTGTATAGCCAAGACAATCCTAAGCAAAAAGAACAAAGCTGGAGGCATCATATTACCAGACTTCAAACTATACTACAAGGCTACTGTAACCAAAACAGCATGGTACTGGTAAAAACAGACACATAGACCAATGGAACAAAATAGCAATCTCAGAAATAAGACTGCACACCTACAACCGTCTGATCTTCACAAACCTGGCAAAAAAAAGCAATGGGAAAAGGATTCCCTGTAGGTGCTGGCTAACCATATACAGAAAATTGAAACTGGACCCCTTCTTTAAACTTACATAAAAATTAACTTGAGATGGAAAGGCTTAAATATAAAACCAAAAAGTATAAAAACCCTAGAAGAAAATGTAGGCAATACCATTCAGGACATAGGCACAGTCAAATATTTTATGATGAAAATATCAAAAGCAATTGCAACAAAAGCAAAAATTGACAAATGGGATCTAATTAAATGAAAGAGCTTGTACACAGCAAAAACAACTATCATCAGAGTGACCAGACAACCTACAGAATGGGAGAAAATTTTTGCAATCTAACAATTTGACAAAGGTCTAATATCCAGAATCTACAAGGAACTTAAACAAACTTAATAGAAAAAAACAAACAACCCCATTAAAAAGTGGACAAAGAACATGAACAGACACTTCTCAAAAGAAGACATATACGTGACCAACAAACATATGGAAAAAAAGCTCATCATCACTGATCATTAGGGAAACACAAATCAAAACCGCAATCAGATACCCTCTCATGCCAGTCAGAAACGTGATTATTAAAAAAATCAAGAAACATGCTGGCATGAATGTGGAGAAATAGGAATGCTTTTACACTGTTGGTGGGAATGTGAATTAGTTCAACCATTATGAATGACAGTGTGGTCCTCAAAGACCTTTTTGTTTGTTTTAGACAGAGTTTCGCTGCCCAGGCTGGAGTGCAATGGCACAATCTCAGCTCACTGCAACCTCTGCCTCCTGGGTTCAAGTGATCCTCCTGCCTCAGCCTCTCAAGTAGCTGGGATTACAAGGATGCACCACCACCCGGCTAATTTTTGTATTGAGTAGAGATGGGATTCCACCATGTTGGTTGGAGGTCGAACTCCTGACCTCAGGTGATCTACCTGCCTTGGCCCTCCAAAGTGCTGGGATTATAGGTGTGCACCACCATGCCTGGCCAGAAATACCATTTGACCCACCAATCCCATTACTGGGTATATAGCCAAAGGAATATAAATCATTCTATTACAAAGATATATGCATGTGTATGTTCATTGCAGTACTATTCACAATAGCAAAGACATGGAAGAGGGGAGGGAGAGCATCAGGATAAATAGCTAATGCATGTGGCACTTAATACCTAGGTGGGTTGATAGGTACAGCAAACTACCACAGCACATATTTACCTATGTAACAAACCTGCATATCTTTCACATGCATCCCAGAACTTAAAATTTTAAAAAAAGATAGTTGAATATATAATGACACGTTGTAGGATTTATAATATGTGAAGAAACAAAATACACAACAACAATATCACAAAGGATATGGGAAAAAAGAAATGAAAGTAGACTAGTTGTATACTGATTGTAAGGTTCTTATACATGAAGTAGTATAATGTTGTAGGCTGAATGTAGTAAGTTAAAATGTATACAGCAGTAAACCCTAAAGCAGTGCTGACCGATGTAACTTTCTACAATGATAAAAAACGTTCTATATATGCGCTAAGTAATAAGATAGCCACTGGACACATGAAACATTTTATTTTATATTTAAATGTAAATATCTACATGTAATCAGTGGCTACCATATTTAACACATATTTAACATGTGGTTTTAGAGCAACAATCAAAAAAAATTTTTTTTTAAAATTTTTTGAGACAGGGTCTCACTTTGTTGCCCAGGCTAGAGTACAGTGGTGCCATTATAATTCATTGCAGCCTCAACCTCTCAGGTTCAAGTGATTCTCCTATCTCAGCTCCTAAAGTACCTGGGACTACAGGCACATGTCACCACATCCGGCTAATTTTTGTATTTTTTGTAGATCTGGGGTTTCACCTTGTTGCTTAAGCTGGTCTTGAACTCCCGGCTCAAGTGATCCATCTATCTTGGCCTCCTAAAATGTTGAGATTACAGGCATGAGCTAGCACACCTGGCCAACAATAAAAACATTTTAAGAGAGATACAATTGGCTGGGCATGGTGGCTTACGCCTGTAATCTCAGCAATTTGGGAGGTAGAAGCAGGAAGATCACTTGAGGTCAGGAGTTTGAGATCAGCCTGGCCAACATGATGAAACCCCATCTCTACTAAAAATACAAAAATTAGCTGTGTGTGGTGGCGCGTGCCTGTAATCCCAGCTACTTGGGAGGCCGAGACAGGAGAATCACTTGAACTCAGGAGGCAGAGGTTGCAGTGAGCCAAAATCACGCCATTGCACTCCAGCCTGGGTGACAGAGTGAGACTCTGTCTCAAGAAAAAATAAAAAAGAGAGAGAGAGAAAGAGAGAGAGAATTAATAAGCCAATAATGGAGATACAGTGGAATCATTTGAAAACAAATACAAGAGAAGGCAGGAAAAGAGAGGGAAAGGAACAAAGAACAAATGGTACAAATGAAAACAACTAGCAAAATGGTAAATATAAATCCCACCAGATCAGTAATTGTATTAAATGAAAATGATCTAAAAAATACAAAGTGCAGAAACTATCGAATTGGATAAAGCAGCAAAACTTGACAGTATGCTATCTAAATAGTATATGCTTACGGTAATAAGTAAGTCTAGATGTTTTGAAAAGGAGAAAATCATCAAATGGTCACATAAATTGAGGTTTTGGAAACACTGCCATTTAACTGGCAATTGGGAGGACATAAATCGTCCCAGCTGGGCACTGACTTCATCCTTGGTTTTGGCACCACCATTTTCTCTTTATTTTACCATTAATCATCCCTTTCTGTTACTTCCACACTTAAATATTGGGGATTACAAGCTAGGCATCTATATTTACAAATAGCATATTAAGAGTTATAAGATAAATATGTTCAGGTTGCCATGGGAAAATGAAACCATGGATCTTTCCTGGGGGAAGGCAGGCAAAGCTTAGATGGAGGGATTCCTACGCTAAGATTTGTTTGTTTAGAGAGAGAATCTTGCTCTGTTGCCCAGGTTGGTGTGTAGTGGTATGATCACAGCTCACTGCAGCCTCAAACTCCTGGGCTCAAGTGATCCTCCTGCCTTGGCCTCCCAAACTGCTGGGATTACAGGTATGAGCCACTGCACCTAGCATATACGGTATTTATATAAAAACACATGAAAACCATATATTTTAATATGAGAACATTATAGTCACAAGATGTCAATACATTCTGGGAGACCTGAAAGCTTGGGTTAGCAATAGTTCTGATCAGACTTTACCCATAGGTAATATCTTTTGTGAAGACTGTTTTCTTGTGGACCATATTCCTACGAAAATCTGTAGGTATTGAGGAGGAAACATTCTCCAACTTACATATGAGGATAATGTGATACTATCAAGCGGCAGCCTCTCAAATGAACCCCAGGCTTCTATACATAGTTTGGCCGTACATGAAGCTAGCATTGTTAACTGTTCAATAATCACCTCTTCATTGCTTATTCCCATCCTGAAAGTGGATATCTTAGATGTCAAAGCAATAATTTACCCCTTAGATCTATACTAATCTTTAATGTGCACATAGCCCCAGCAAACATTAAATTTTCAAAACACCATGGCAATGTGTCACCCTCAGAGGTGACACTCAAACATACGGTCCCATCTGCAAAAACAACTAAAATACCTGCAGTAGAGTTAGACTCTGACTACACACAATCTAGCACCTGCCAGAGGCCTCGTGAAAACATCTGATACTTAAGGAAAGTAGTCTAGTGGACCTGCCAGCTGTTCCTTCTTCCACACTGTCCACGTCACATCGCCGCTAAAGCTAATCACCTAAAAGCACAGGAGCTGGGCTTGCACAGGACCTGGCAGAAATGCCTCCCTGCTTTATGACTGGACCATCTGCTAGGTAAGCTTACGTCCAGGAAAACTGTAAATATATCACACTTTTTTTTTTTTTGAGATGGAATTTTGCTCTTGTTGCCCAGGATGGAATGCAACGGCACAATCTTGGCTCACTGAAACGTCTGCCTCCTGGGTTCAAGCGATTCTCCTGCCACAGCCTCCCCTGTAGCTGGGATCATAGGTGCCCGCCACCACACCTGACTAATCTTTGTATTCTTAGTAGAGATGGGATTTCACCATGTTGACCAGGCTCTTCTTGAACTCATGACCTCAGACGATCCTCCTGCCACGGCCTCCCAAAGTGCTGGGATTACAGGTGTGAGCCACCGTGCCTGGACAATATATCACACTCTTTTCAGAAGATGAAAGTTATATACCTCAAATGTTATATTTTTGTCGGTCATTCCTTCTGGGAGACTCAGTTCCCAATGATGGGCCTAGCTCTCTTCCTGTTTGTCTGGAACTACTGAAGCCATTTCCTCCTTTGTTTGGATAAATCAAATGGGTCTCACTGGCGTGGCTTTCTCTAACTCACAGCAAGTGAAACTCTGGGGCCTATAACAGTGTAAATTATCTCAGCCTGTAGCATGAATTGCATATTTCAAGTCTCGTTCGGACTCTTTCCCTTTTGTGTATGCATGCAGCAAGCACACCAAGCCATACCGGGGCATCCTGGCTCATCAGGTAAGCGCCATCACCCCGGCTCACGGCTTCTCGGTACTCTCGCTGAGCTTCTTCCTTCTCCTTAATCTGGAAAAGATGATTTTTCAATCATTCCTTACATGAAGAGTGACTTCAGGCTTTAATAAAGAAAACAACATCAATGTTTATTAAAACCCAGGCAGAAACTGAAAACTGAGTCTAAGTAAAATGAATGGAAACTTGTTTAAAGTGATCATCGAAATATACCTATTTGATGAGAATTTGAACCAGAAAAGGCCAACTAAAGAGAATTCTCTTTAAGTTGGGACCAATATATTTCAAAATCAATAGTGAAACATTTTTTTTGGTTGGGAGTTTATGTTGAACAAAAAAAAATAATTACTTTAAATTTAGTAAATTGTAGTTTATAATTGCAACTGTGGGCTAGTCCTTACAATAAACAAAGAATTAATCAGCTGTTGTTTTTTTTGTTGTTGTTTGTTTTTTAGAAAGTTACAATAGCTTTCATTTCATTTATAACATGATTCCGGGGATCAGGTTTTACAAAAATATATAACAAGGGCTTCACCAATTTTCCAGTGTGCCTCTCTTAAACTTTTTTCTTTTTTTCTGAGAAAAAGTCTCACTCTGTTGCCCAGGCTGGAGTATAGAGGCATGATCTTGGCTCACTGCAACCTATGCCACCTGGATTCAAGTGATTCTCCTGCCTCAGCCTCCTGAGTAGCTGGGATTAACAGGCATATGCCACCATGCCTGGCTAACTTTTGTATTTTTAGTAGAGATGGGGTTTCACCATGTTGGCCAGGCTGGTCTTGAACTCCTGACCTCAAGTGATCGGCCTGCTTCAGCCTCACAAACTGCTGGGATTACAGGCATGAGCCACTGCACCTGGCCCTCTTAATCTTTTCATATTGAAATCACTCTTAACAGTGCCAAGGCTAAGAATGTACAAGACACCGACAATGAAGATTGGACGGAGAGGGGTAGAAACCATTCACCAGGGAGGGATGTTTCAGGGAGGTTCACTGTGCAGGAACTGGTTCTTCAAAGAATATTCTCGTTTTATGATAAGGCTGCTACTCAACTTCATAGCCATGGGTACTCAGAAAACGAAGATTCTGGGAAACGGAAGCTGACTTTGAAAGCAGAGCGCGGGCATGATGCATCTTCTCCCCTTACCTCTCCAACTATGTGCTTCCCATTGATGAAGGCTTCGAAGCCACACACAGCAGCTTTGTCATCCAAAGGAAAGATATACTTTGCTTCAATGGGCACATGACTGTTATTTGTGTATGTCTGAAAAACAATGACCTGAAGAAGAAAACAATCCATACATGTGATGAGACCACATGGACAACATCTGCAGGAACAACAATGAATGAAAATGATTTTGCATATTTATTTGAAATGCCTTGCATTTGTATCACGTCCCTCAAATTCCCAACCCTGGCTTCCCTTCTACAATGGAGAGCCCGTGTCATGTGATAAAATGCACCAGTACCATAGTTTGGTTCATACATGTCTGACTGGAATATAAGTCACCCAAAGTCTTACCAACCCTGACTTAGCGGGCGCAATATGGCTTTTGCTGAGATGGCTGGAAAATCGCCCCTTTCGTGTTGTGGGCTTTGATGCCTCCTTAGCACCATGTGGGCTGGAAACGATTTCAGAACAGTCCTTCTGTCCTATCGGCTCTCAGGTCTTGGCATTTCCTCCTGGGGACCTCTCTGTGGCTTTCCCCTCTCTACAGAGCCCTCATCCAGCTCCTCATCTCTTCCGGCCTTAGTTCTTCCAGAATCAAGTCTTCTCCACTCCTCTCTGTTGTTTCTATTATCTAATTCATCTTTCTAATAGACTCTTTTCACCCTCCCTCACTCAGGAAAAGCAGGAAGCTTTAAATATTTGAAAATAAAGAATAAACTCCTTAGATGCATAATAAACAGTAAGATTTTAAACATGTGAAAATAATAAGCCAAAAATATTTAATAATCTGTTATCAAGAATCCAGGGAAGAGACAAAAATGAAAATAGAATCTAACTTCTTTGAAAATATTGTCCACACCTGGATTTGCTGCAAGCTGGGCTGCCCTGAGGGTGTGTAGGGTGCCAGGCACAATTTTTCAAGGAGTCCTTATTAATATAAGCAATTGGAGTCTCCCCAAATCAGCAGGTCAGCACCCTCCTGGAGACAGAATCCCTTGCCAGTGGAATTCCTGAAATTCCGTTCTGGCCAGCTGCCCAAGATGAAACAGAGGTGCATTCTGGAGTTTCTCAGTGATCTGGGCGATGCTGCGTGCGATGGCCAGAGTGCGCCTGGTGCGGAGCCACTGGGACTGGGGCCTACCTAACACGGACTGGGAGGACATCACACACTGTCCTCTTGAATGTGCATGGAACCCCTTTTCTTCCTCTCTTGGATTTCCACAGTTTTACCAAACCTCAAAGGCACATATCCTTGCCCTGAGTCTGAGGAACGAGATCACTATCCAATTGTACTTGGTTTAGACTAACATTTCTTCTTACTCAGCAGCTGTCCTGCCTGTTCTAGTTAGCAGGCCTGCTTTTGCGTGGGAGTCCCCAGACATCAGGCCTGTCAGCTGCACTCTCTTTGTATATCATCATACTGTGGCTGGGCACTCACAAAGGTCAATAATTTTAGGGAATAATAATAAAAGAATTTTTACCAGGCCTTACAGCAGAAACTAATATAGTGTAGCAAATTTTGACATCTTAATTTTCTTCCATTAGATAAAACCATTATGTAACTAAGCTTAACATCATTAAACTATTCTAAGAAGGGTCAAAATGTAGGAGCCATGCACATATAAAAAGTCTGCAACTCAGCCTCTGCTTGGATACTTAAGCTCCATCTATAGTCTGGCTGTTTCATCATAAACTGAGTGAGAAATTCACTGCTAAATCGAGAGTTATTTTTGGGCAAACTTTCCCAGGGAACAGGCCTCTTTCGGTTTGAAATATCAAATGGTATAAGTTGTCTAATCCCAAGTAAGGCATGGAGGACACACGCCTCTCCCTGTAACCTAGTCACGATTTGTTGTGTAAATAAAAACAATGCTCTAAGTCCTCTGCATTTATTAGATCTAATAGGAACAACACTGATGGGCAGATATTATTATTTCCATTTTACACACGAGGAAAAGGCAAAGAAGTTAAGTAACGTTCCCAAGCTCATAGCACTAGAAAGAATAAGCAAGAATTCAAAGGTCAGCCTTTCAAACCCCAGAACCTTTGCTTTGTACAATCCATCAAGCTGCACTATGGTGTAGTGGTTAAGAACATTGACGTGGGAATCAGAATGATCTGAGTTCGAATTTGGGCTTTATCACAGTGTTTGTCCCTGGGCCTCAGCATCCTCATACAAACAAGGGGCATAATTACAGCACTTGACTCATGGAGTCTGGGAGAATTAAACACTGCATGTGGAAAACTCGGCTGAGGGCCTGACTTTTGGAAGTGGTAACCACTGTGTTTACAGCTCCTAAGCGATGCCAAAGGGATTAGCAGAGTTAGAACATGTCCCATGAACTCACATCTAGGTCTTTTCAAAGTCTGTGATGTTGACCTGAGCTGCCTAGAAGATGTGTGCATGGGTCAGAGTGGGCCCAGGGGCGGAAGTCAGCTATATCCAAACTGCTTTTCTCACCCGACACCCCATCTCCCTAGTTAAAGGTGATCACTGAAATAGAACTAATTTCCTGGGACTCCATGTTTGGGTCCCCTTCCACAAACACTCCTTTCATGGAAGCCATCTTTCTCTCTCTCCCTTGGATTTCCCCTCTGGGGTCCCCTTCCACACTCTCATGGAAGCCTGTCTTCCCCTCCTAAACTCCATCTCTCTCTGTTCCCTTCCACTCAGTGTGGAAGCTGCTTTCCTCTCCTGGATTCCATCTTTCTGGATTCTGTCACTCAGTGTGAGTTAGCAGTTTCTTTCTCTGTCCTTCTCCTGTTTCTCTCTCTCTTTAAATAAAATCACTTTCTACAACAACAACAACAACAACAAAAAAGAACTAATTTCCCTCTACAGGGATCAGAACATTATGGCACTGTACTTAAATGTCCTTATTCTCCTAAAAGGCCTTTATGGTTGTTCAATGCAATCTTCAGTGTTAGAAGCTAATGATGAGGTCAAATCTTAGCAAACCCATTCAATTTCAGTTTTCAAACCAAAAACTTTCCAAGCTCCACCTTGGTTACTGCATCTGGCCACCTGGCACCCCTGATGCTGCCTTCCATCCTGTGACTGTGGATGACGAGCCTGCTGCAAGCACCTGGCTGTGACCCCAGCACCCACATTAGATAACCCTCCTGTGATGCTTGCCTTTCGCTTTGACCAGTTTTTACTCATTTGGTATTTAATACTCTTTCTGAGCTTTACTGTAGATAATTTAATAAGGTAGGGTTTGTTCCTTCTCTTTCAACACCCTGGTTTTTTTTTTTTTTTCTTGAAGCAGCATCTCACTCTATCATCCAGATTGGAGTGCAGTGGTGCAATCTCAGCTCACTGTAACCTCTGCCTCTGGGCTCAAGCCATCCTCCCATCTCAGCCTCCCAAGTAGATGGGACTACAGATGTATGCCTCCGCGCTCAACCAGTTTTTGTAGAGGTGGATTTCTTCATGTTCCCCAGGCTGGTCTGGAACTCTTGAATTCAAGTGACCCTCCTGCCTCAGCCTCCCTCCCAAAGTGCTGGGATTACAGGCACGAGCCACTGCACTCAGCCACTACCCTGGTATATAAGGTAGCAAAATGTGTATATTTTAGTAGCTAAAAAAGATTTGGGAAAACAGTAGAATTCATCTTTCTCTGAGAAGAAAGTGCTTAGAGCACCGCCTGGCACAACATAAGGACAATATATATGCTTGTTACATGGAAATGTTAAATAAATAAGGGAATAAAAAAGTTCTAAATGGAGGCTTTGGAGCTATTTCACTAAAAGTAAAATTCAGAACTGTTTACCAGGAAAGTCAACAATATCTCCTATTTATGCAATAAAACATAGAAAAGAGCGCAGAGAAGGAAAGGTCTCCAGCAATTCCCCTCCCCCACATCGCCAGGTTTCCCTCTTGTGCTGACTCCCACACATGCTGCTGTTTCTTGTGTCTTTTTTTTTTTTTTTTTTTTTTTGTGACGGAGTTTCCCTCTTGTCACCCAGGCTGGAGTGCAATGGCGGGATCTCGGCTCACCGCAACCTCCGCCTCCTGGGTTCAGGCAATTCTCCTGCCTCAGCTTCCTGAGTAGCTGGGATTACAGGCACGCGCCACCATGCCCAGCTAATTTTTTGTATTTTGAGTAGAGACAGGGTTTCAATATGTTGACCAGAATGGTCTCGATCTCTTGGCCTCGTGATCCACCCGCCTCGGCCTCCCAAAGTGCTGGGATTACAGGCTTGAGCCACTGCTCCTGGAGTGGAAAAACACTCAATCCCACTTCTCTTCAGGTGCTGTCTCATCTTCTCTCCTCTGTCTCCCAATTCTTCTTTCCATTCTCTCTTGAACTCACTTTGATCAGCCTTTCACCCCCACCACACCATCAAAAGGCAAAGGTCACCAACGATCTCACTGCTAAATCCAAAGGTCAGGGCTGGGTTGTTATTCATGAGACCCACAGCAGCCTTTCCTCCCCTCCCTGGTCAGCTGGCCTCGTGTCTCCACAGCCACTGCCTCTTGGGCTCCATGTCTGACTCAGCCTGCGCCCATAACTCTCCACGTTGGTCTCTGTTCTCTCTACTGATTCTCTGGGTATTCAATCTGGGCTGACTTTAAACACTATCTGAATGCTGCTGACTCTCCAGTTATAAGTGCAGCCTGGGTCTCCTCCCTGGTCGTAGGTAGTCAACAAGACCTATTTGGCCAAAGATAAACTCCTGATGGTCCCCCAACCTGCCCTCCCGTGACTCTGCCCATTCTAGAAAGGGCAAACATGATCCTTCTAGTTGTTTAGGGCAAACACCTTGCTGTCATCTGGGCCACTGTCTTTCTCTCGTGTCCCATCCCCATTGATCTGATTAGCCCTGCGCTCAGGCCTTGGCAGATTCCATCACTTCCTACAGCTCCACTGCAAACATTCTTCTCCACGTTGCCAGCTCCCTTAACTGAATTCTGTCAATCATCTCGTCTATGGGATGTGACACTAGGCCCTCAGTGTCCCCTTCAGGTCCGAGACTGCTAGGAGTGTCACCCGTGGGGCCACTCCCCAGGAACCATCCTCAGCCAAAGACAAACAGCCTTAGCCAAGGTTCTGACCCCTCCCCGGAGCAGCGCACATCCCAGGCCTGGCCCCAGTGGGGCTATAAAGCCCAACCCCCTTGCCTATTCAGACTTTCTCTCAAGGACCATTCTGGCCCAGAGCTTCCCCCAAGATCATCTGAGGACTCTGTTGTCTCCTCTGCCACATCCTGCCTCCCTCACTCCGTCACAGGTGCCACTCCCATAGGCACAGTCCCACAAGCTTCCTGAAGACAAATTTCATCCAGAGTCTGTTTTCCAGGGAACTTGACCTAACATTTCTTCCAACTGGTCCTCTTCCTGTTCCCAATATGGCAGAGTAAGCCCGTTAAAACAAAGGTCTATTCCTGTCGTTCCTCTGCCAAACATCAAGAAGCTTCCATTTCACTCAGAGTCAAGGACAGCATGACCTGTGTCCTGATGTGAGAGCCCCTCATGTCTCTGACTCAGTCCCCATGGACTCTCCCCTTTCCACTGTACTGCAGCCACAGTGGCCTCCTTGGCCTGCCTGGACCAGACCAGCCTCCTACCTCAGGCCCTTGGCATGTGCTGCTCCTGCTGCCTGGGATAAGCATCCCCCGATGTCCACACAGGTGAGCCCCCACTTCCTTCAGGTCTGTATGCAGACATCACCTTCTCAGGGAGGCCTCCTGGGCCATTCTATTTACAGGTTCAAAGCCCCATCTTTCACAGCTCCTATCCCCTCCTGCTTTCATCTTTCTCTTTAGCACCTGCCCCCATCTAACATGTGCTGTGTTTCACTCATTCATCATGTTTACTGCCTGTTCTTCCACAAGGTATGTGCTCCACATGGGCAGAGATCTTGTACTGTGCATTGCTGGATGCCTAGAGCCTAGATTGTCCCTGGCGTGGAGTGCACAGTGAATACCTCTTGAATAAATGAATTTAGAAATGTATCTATTTCCTTCAGTTCACCTAACTGCAATCAGATTCTCATTTATGGTTTACATCCATGTAGTTTAAGTATCATAAAGCCACGAACAACATACCTGGGCTACAATGTCTATGATTCTGCCCTTGATGTGGACATCCTCCAGAGGAACCAAGTTCCCAGAGGCATCCTGGAGGCCAGCCTTGGTGCTGCTGCTGGAAGTTTTGGCATCTGGTAACTGATAATCTAAACATTAAAAATGTTACCATTAGCTTTCAAAACCATCCCTCTCTATTTTTTGTGATTTTTATCTTTATTCCTCTCCATGCCTTCAGGCATTATATTTTAGGGAAAATAGACAAATAGCATTTTATGATTTTCAATAGCTAATTCTGAAAAGCAAGTGAATGCACATGAGAAAAATGGGAGTTGCCCTCTGCCTTTTTTTTTAGACAACATCTCACTCTGTCACCCAGGTGGGAGTGCAGTGGGACAATCTCTGCTCATAGTAGACTCGTCTTCTCTGGCTCAGATGATCCTCCTGTCACAGCCTCTGGAGCAGCTGGGACTACAGGTGCACACACCACCATGCCCAGCTAATTTTTTGGTGTTTTTTGTAGAGATGAGGTTTAGCCATGTTGCCCAGGCTGGTCTTGAACTCCTGGACTCAGGGATCTACCTGCCTTGATCTCCCAAAGTGCTGGGACTATAGGCGTGAGCCACCATACATGGCCTGCTTTTTTTTTTAAAGACACATCTGCTTAATTTTTTTTCTTTTCTCCTTTTTTTTTTGGTAGAGATGCGGGTCTCACTATGTTGCCCAGGCTGGTTTTGAACTCCTGTGCTCAAGTAATCCTCCTGCCTCAGCCTCCCGAGTAGCTGGGACTACAGGCATATGCCCTTCTGCGTTTTTAATGTAGAGACTATGGCGTGTCCTCTTGAAAATTTAGCATTACTTGACATACATTTAAACATACACACAAATACAAAGAGGTCTTCAGACTGTCTCGAATGTGGCTGAAGCCTGAATCCAGGTGTCTGCGTTCCCTGGTTTGTAATGTAGAAAGGCTCAGTCACTATCATTTATGGTACTACGTAAGCATTCTGGCATGACATGAAGCAACCTACGGAAGACTGAGTCAGCTCCTACGACAGCATATTGAAAAATGTTCACATCCTATTCTAAGTGGTACAAACATACAGATAAGGTTAGGAAATATAAATACATATTGTCTTACCAGATATTTCATTTAATGATTCCCAGAGAAAAAATTGGAGTCACCTCTGAGCATACATGAACTCACGCATTTCTGATAAAAAAGAATTTGAGCACGGCCAAAAGTGTTAATGTGTTTTTACAGTCCTACTAATTAATACTGTAATTGTTTGGGCTTGTGATAATCTGAAAAATGGACACCCTCTTGTATGTGCGTACTACAGCTGCTAACACATGCACCACACCTGACAATTTACTCAGTGCCTTCAATTTCCCCTTCAACCCTTACAGCAGTTCTGTCATGCGGGTACTGCTCTCATTCCCGTTGGAGAGAAGGTGGATTGCAAAATGTCATGCAGTTTTAAGACTGCAGGGTGGCAGGGCGACACTCAAACCCCAGGCTTCCTCACTCGACAGCGGGTCTGCTGTCTATTCTGCCCACCCCATTATATTTTCTGCACCATGACATCTTAGCAAGGTTCCACAGGTTTTAGCCTTGACTTTCACTGAAGAGGATAAGCTCACCTGCAATGTGTTAATGAAGTCACATGGAATTCTGAGACCGCTTAACCTTTCTCAAACATCCTGATTTTTATGTAAGCAAGATAAAAAAGGAAATAAGGCTGGGCATGGTGACTCACATCTGTAATCCCAGCACTTTGGGATGCCGAGGCAGGAGGATCACTTAAGGCCAGGAATTTGAGACCAGCCTGGGCAACATAGTGAGACCTTGTCTCTAAAAAAAAAAGTCACATATGGTAGTCCTAGCTACTTGGGAGGTTGAGTCAGAAGGATCATTTAAACCCAGGAGTTTGAGGCTGCAGTGAGTTTTGATCACACCACAGTACTCCAGCCTGGGGGACAGAGTGAGACCCTGTCTCAAAAAAAATTTATATTTATATTTTAAAATTAGTGCTTTATTTTGATATTAGGCAGGGGGCTTGACTGATGTTAACATTGAGAGAAATTTGTGGAAAACAATTTTGAGATTGAAAGAAAATAAAACACTTATGGATCATGTCATAGATATAACAAATGCAAATATACATTCCATTGAAAAAATATAACATTTGAGGTCTATACATATAATAACATAAAACAGCATTCAAGAAAATTGTCCTACCTTCAACCTTTGAAAAATCTGAAAACTCCGGTCTGTATTCCTCTAGTTCAGTATGATCACCAGGATGAAAGTCCTTTATTTGATCTCCAGGCATGGAAAATTTAATAATATATTTCATTTTAACCTGATTGGTTTTATAGACAACAAATTCATCATCCTAGAGAAAACAGAAATCAGTAGGTGATTAACAAGAGCAACAAAAAGCCTGTATTGGCAGATGTTTTCGTAAAAGCATGCTTGCTAGTTTAGAATATGTTGAATTGATGTGGTAAATATATAACAATTATTTAAACTTAAGCATATTTAATGAAAATAGGAACAAAAATCTGAGGCTCTTCTTTGAGCATTCAAGACCTTCTTTGCATGTTCCTTGATATGAAAATACCTCAAAGTCTGTGGTGACAGAGGTTGTTTGTGAAACTCCATGCACACTGTCGTAGCCTGGTGGTGCTTCAGTTAAGGAAAAGTCCTTCTTGTGTAAGTCCATACACTTCCCGAGGGCTACATCACAAATGAGCAGGAGTCTGGTGCCATCTGTCTCTCCCGGGTGTGAGTACTTGATACTTGTACTGCATGTGAAAGGAAATAAACATATATTTATAGCTTACAGTGACCTGTCAATAACATTTTATTGCATAAACAGGAAATATTATTGAAAGACTTTCCTGGTAAACTGTTCTAAACTTTCCTGTTATTGAAATATCTCCAAAGACTCAACGTAGAACTTTATTATATACTTATTTATCTAATATTTCTTTTTCTTTTTTTTAGACAGAATCTTGCTCTGCTACCCAGGCTAGAGTCATTGCAGTCTCGAACTCCTGGGCTCAAGTGATTCTCCCATCTCAACCTCGTGAGTAGCTGGGACTGCAGGTTCGTACCACCATACCTGGCTAACTTTTTAAATTTTTTGCAAAGATGGGATCTGACTATGTTTCTCAGGCTGGTCTCAAACTCCTGGGTTCAAGTGATCTTCCCTCCTCAGCCTCCCAAAGTGCTGGGATTACAGGCATGAGCAATCATGCCTGGCCTATTTCACATTTCTATGTGACAAACATGTATATTGCCCTTATGTTTTCCTAGGCAGTGCTCAAAGCACTGTTCCCAGAGGGAAATGAATTCTACTGTTCTCCTCAGTCTTCATTAGCTACTAACATATACACATTTTGCTATCATAAATACCAGCATGATGAAAGAGAAGGAAAAGTCACCACCTTACTAATTAGGAAAAGGTAGATTTACTTCTGAGCACTAAAGCTCAGAAAGGAGTAGGGACTGTGAGTACCAAGTGAGTAAGAACTGGTCAAAGGGAAAGATGAGCTCTCACAAAGCCTCCTGAATGGAAAAACAAACACTTCAAATGATATCCACATGAGAAATGTTTTATCTTTCTTCGGGAATCAGCAGCTTTAATAAGGCAACTCTTTTTTTTTTTTTTTTTTTTGAGACGGAGTTTTGCTCTTGTTACCCAGGCTGGAGTGCAATGGCGTGATCTCGGCTCACAGCAACCTCCGCCTCCTGGGTTCAGGCAATTCTCCTGCCTCAGCCTCCTGAGTAGCTGGGATTACAGGCATGCGCCACCATGCCCAGCTAATTTTTTGTATTTTTAGTAGAGACGGGGTTTCACCATGTTGACCAGGAAGGTCTCAATCTGTTGACCTCGTGATCCACCCACCTTGGCCTCCCAAAGTGCTGGGATTACAGGCTTGAGCCTGCGCCTGGCCAATAAGGCAACTCTTGCTACTAGGAGCACAGGCTAGGACACACCTTTGGGGACAACACTTTGGAGATGCATCTCTGTTTTTTAAAGATCAAGTTCAAAATGCAAAAGTGTGGCCAGATGACCCTTCTTCGTTTCACCCACTGGAAAAAAAAATATTCCTTCTATAACCCCATTCCTTCTATAACCCTCTCCCCTTTGGAGAGCTCGTTCCCTGCAACTTACATGCACGCTTCTTCCTTCTCATTAAGCCCCATCCTGGCCTTCTCCCTGGAGCTCTCTCTACTCCTTCCTAGCTTATCACGCTCTGGCAGAGGAGGTCAGTGACTGTCTCTTCTGCCTCATTTACTCTTTAATCCACTGCTATTTGGCTCAATTCACATCTAAAAATTTTTACTTTGATGTATTGTGCATAGGGAAAAGCATTTATAATACACATATTTAAAGAATAATAAGATAAATATCCATATAGCTACTGCTTAGCTTAAGAACTGGAACATCCCTAAAACTTTCATGCTGCCCCACAGCTCACCTCTCCTACCCAGAGGTAATCTGATCACTGTCTTGATTTTTGTGTATATTATTTTTATTCCATGAAGAGCCACAAAGGGGACCCTGGTAGGTGGGAGAGGTTTTACTGTGTCCCCTTTTTGTAAATATCAGTCTTCTTTTTTTTTTGAGACATGCTCTTGCACTATTTCACCCAGGCTGGAGTGCAGCGGTGCAATCAGAGCTCTCCACAGCCTCAGCCTCGTGGACTCAAGCAATCCTCCCACCTCAGTCTCCTGAGGCTGGGACTACAGGTGTGTACCACTGTACCTGGCATAATTTTAAAAACATTTCTGTAGTCATGGGGTCTCACTATGTTGCCCAGGCTGGTCTTGAACTCTTGGCCTCAAGAAATTTTTCCACCTTGGCCTCCCAAAGGGTTGGGATTATTGGCTTGAGCCACAATGCCTGGCCTATTTTCTTTCATAGTATTAACGCACAGATATATGTCTGGCAATAATGTAATGTATACTTTGCTTGTTTTTGAGCCTTGCACATACAGGCATACCTTGTTTTATTGTACTTTGCAGATATTGCTTTTCTTTTTTCTTTTTTTAACAAATTGATGGTTTGTGGCAACCCTGTGTAGACCAGGTCTACTGGTGCCATTTTTTCTTCTTTAAACAGAATGTGCTTCCTTTGCGTCTGTATGTCACATTTTGGCAATTCTCACAATGTTTCAAACCTTTTCATTTTTATTACAGCTATAATGGCGATGTGTGGTCAGTGATCTGTGAGGTCACGACTGCAATTGTTTTGGGGTGCGATGAACTGTGCCCAGATAAAGTGGTGAGCTTGTTAAATGTTTTGTGTGTTCTGACTACTTCACTGACCAGTGGTTTCCCCAGCTCTCTCCTTCTTCTCTGGCCTCCCTATTCCCTGAGATACAATGATACTGAAATTAGGCCAGCTAATAACCCTACAGTGGCCTCTAAGTGTTCATGTGAAAGAGAGGGTCACATGTCTCTCACTTTAAATCAAAAGCTAGAAATGATTAAGCTTAGTGAGGAAGGCATGTTGAAAACCAAGACAAGTTGAAAGTTAGGCCTCTTGTGCCAAACAGTTATCCAAGTGGTGAACGTAAAGAAACAATTCTTGAAGGAAATTGAAAGTGCTACTCCAGTGGAACACAGGAATGATAAGCGTAACGGCCTTATTGCTGATATGAAGAAAATTTTAATGGTCTGGATAGAAGATCAAACTAGCCACGATATTCTTTTAAGTCTAATGCAGAGCAAGGCTCCAACTCTGTTCAATTCTATGAAGGCCCAGAGAGGTAAGGAAACCATAGAAGGAAGGCTTGACGCCAGCAGAGGTTGGCTGAGGTTTAAGGAAAGAAGTCGTCTCCATGACATAAAAATGCAAAGGGAATTAGCAGGTGCTGATGTAGAAGCTGCAGCAAGTTTTCCAGAAGGTCTAGCCAAGAGCATTGATGCAGGTGGCTTCACTAGACAACAGATTTTCCATGTAGACCAAACAGCCTTCTAGGAAGAAGATGCCATCCAGGACTTCCATAGCTAGAGAGGAGTCAATGGCTGGCTTCAAAGCTTCAGATGACAGGCTGACTCTTGTGAGGGACTAAAGCAGCTGGTGACTATAAGCTGAAGCCAGTGTTCACTTGCCATTCAAAAAAATCCCAGGGCCCTTAGAATTGTGCAAAATCTACTCTGTCTGTGCTCTATAAATGGAACAACAAAACCTAGATGACAGCACATCTCTTTACAGAATGGTTTGCTGAATTTTAAGCCCAATGTAGATATTTACTGCTCAACAAAAAAGTTTCCTTTCAAAATATGACTGCTCATTGACAAAGTGCCCAGTCATCCAAGAGCTCTGATGGAGAGGTACAAGGAGTTTGCTGTTTTAATGCCTGCTAACACAACTTATTCTGCAGCCAGGGATCAAGGAGTAATTTCAGGTTTCAAGTTTCATTATTTAAGAAATACGGCCAGGTATGGTGGCTCATGCCTGTAATCCCAGAACTTTGGGAGGCCAAGGTGGGTGGATCACGAGGTCAGGAGATCAAGATCATCCTGGCCAACATGGTGAAACACCGTATCTACTAAAAATAAAAAAAAAAAAATTAGCTGGGCGTGGTAGTGTATGCCTGTAGTACCAGCTACTCGGGAGGCTTAGGCAGGAGAATTGCTTGGACACAGGAGGCAGAGACTGCAGTGAGCTGAGATCATGCCACTGCACTACAGCCTGGGCAACAGTGCACGACTCTGTCTCAGAGAAAAAAAAAAAGAAAAAGAAATACATTTTGGGCCAGGTGCAGTGGCTCATGCCTGTAATCCTAGCACTTTGGGAGGCTGAGTTGGGTGGATCATCTGAGGTCAGGATTTGAGACTAGCCTGACTAATATGATGAAACTTTGTCTCTACTAAAAATACAAAAATTAGCCAGGCATGGTGGCTACTTTATAATATGCTTGTAATCCCAGCTACTTGGGATGGTGAGACAGAAGAATTGCTTGGACACAGGAGGCAGAGGTTGCAGTGAGCTGAGATTGTGCCATTGCACTCCAGCCTGGGCAACAAGAGTAAAACTCCATCTCAAAAAAAAAAAAAGGAAATACATTTTGGCCAGGCATGCCTGTAATCCCAGGAGTCTGAAGTGGGATGATCACTTGATTCCAGGGGTTTGAGGTTACAGGGAGCTATGGTTGCATCTTACTGTACTCTCACCTGGGCAAGGATGGAGAAAGACCCCCAACTCTAAAAAATATATACATTTTGTAGGGCTATAGCTGCCATAGACAGTGATTCCTCTGATGGATCTGGACAAAGTAAATTGAAAACCTTCTGGAAAGGATTTGCCATTCTCCTTGCCCTTAAGACCATTTGATGAGTTATGGGAGAAGGTCACCATATCAGTATTGACAGGAGTTTGAAAGAAGTTTACTCTAACTATCCTGGGTGACTTTGAGAGGTTCAAATTTCAGTGGAGGAGGTCGCTGTACATTTGGCAGAAACAGCAAGAGAACTAGAGTTAGAAGAGGAGCCTGAAGAGGAGACTGAATTGCTTCAATCTGATGATCCAACTTGAATAAATGAGGAGTTGCTTCTTATGAATGAGTGAAGAAAGTGGTTTCTTGAGATGAAATCTATTCCTGCTGAAGATGTTGTGAATGTTGTTGAAATGACAACAAAGGATTTTGAATATTATATAAACTTAGTGACAAAGCAGCAGCAGTGTTTGCGATAATTGACTCCAATTTTCAAGGAAGTTCTACTGCAGGTAAATGCTAACAAATAGCATCACATACTACAGACAAATCTTTCATGAAAGGAAGAGTCAATTGCTGAGGCAAACTTCACTGTTGTCTTATTTTAAGAAATTGCCATAGCCACCTCAACTTCCAGCAAACACCACCCTCATCAGTCAGCAGCCATCAACACTAAGACCTTCCACCAGCAAAAAGACAATGACTCACTGAAGGCTCAGATGATCACTAGCATTTTTAGTAATAAAGTATTATTTTTAAATTAAGGTATGTACATTTTTTACACACAATGCTATTGCACACTTAATAGACTAGAGTGTAAACCTTTTACACTCATTGGGAAACCAAAATGTGCGTGACTCACTTTATTGCAATACTTGCTTAATTGCATTAGTGTGGAACCAGACCCTCAATATCTCCACGCTATGCCTCGTATAGCAACTTCTGCTCCACTAAGGTCCTAAGGCTCGTCCATTCAATGTGTAGCCACAGTCCATTTCTTTAAACTTCAGGATAGGACTTCATGTAGAACTCCACCAAAATTTATGGATCCATTCCACTGTCAATGGACGTCTGCACCATTTCGTGTTCTGTTATTACAGTGATCTCTCTCTCTTTTTTCATTTTTCTTTTCTTTTTTTTTTTTTTTTTAAAGAGATGGGGTCTGGCTTTGTCTCCCAAGTTGGATATAGTGGTGCAACCACAGCTCACTGCGGCTTTGGGCTGCTAGACTCAAGCAATCCTCCTGCCTCAGCCTCCTGAGCAGCTTGGACTTCAGGTGTGTACCACCATGCCTGGCTAATTAAAAAATGTTTTTTTCAGAAATGGGGTCTTGCTGTGTTGCCCAGGCTAATCTCAAACTCCTGGACTTGAGCAATCTTTCTGCCTCAAACTCCTGAGTAGCTGGGACTACATGTGTCTGCCACTACACTCAGCTCATTTTCTGAGACAGGGTCTTGCTCTATCACCCAGGCTGGAGTGCAGCGGTGTGATCCCAGCTCACTGCAATCTCCGTCTCCTGAGTTCAAGTGATTCTCCTACTTCAGCCTCCCAAGTAGCTAGGACTACACATCTCCCCCACTATGCCCAGGTAATTTTTATATTTTTAGTAGAGATGGGGTTTCGCCACATTGGCCGGGCTGCTCAAACTCCTGACCTCAAGCAGTCTACCCGCCTAGCCTCCCAAAGTGCTAGGATTATAGGCATGAGCCTCTGTGCCTGGCCCCAGCTCATTTTCTTTGCTATTAGGTTTCCATTCATGCATTTTGCCCATCTGCTTATAGGGTTGCTTGTTTCTTTCTTATTGATTTGTAGGAACTCTTTAAATATCCTGGCTCACTATCCTTTGCCTTGGGCTTGAACTCAGTCTCCATCTTTTAATTAGCTCTGCAATCTTAGGCAAGTTGCCTGACCTCCCTGAGTCTGTTTCCTTGCATAAAATGATGTCACAATACCAATTATGAGGTTGGCAGATGATGTACATGGAGTTCTTCTCACTGTGTTGCCCACACTGGACTGCAGTGGCATAATCATAACTCACTCCAGCCTTGAACTCCTGGACTTGAGTTACCCTCCCGTCTTAGCCTCCCTAATAGCTAGAACTATGGGTTCTATTCGTGCTACCATGCACAGCCAATTTTTAAATCTTTTCTTATAGAGGTGGGGTCTCGCTATGTTGCCTAGGCTGGCCTTAAATTCCTGGGCTCAAGCAATCCTCCTGCCCTGGCCTCCGAAAGAGCTGGGATTACAGTGTGAGCCACCATGTCTGGCCCAAAGGCAGATTTAAACATTATCAAGGATGTTGAAGATGAAACAGTATTCCAGGCATCTATAACAGAGAAATCTGTGTTTTGGGTGAGAAACTCCCTCATCAAGAAAAGACAGAAGAAAACACACAGCAAGAAAACTCAGTAACGATTCTGTGATTAAGGATCAAACATACCTGAGCGAATCACTGAAATAAATCCCACTTCCAAGGTTTCCGATATCTGTTCTTTGCACACCACGATCCTCCACTACTTTGGGCAAAAGCAACCCTCTGAAAAGACAAGGGCAGGATAAGGTGTAAGTCCAATGTTGACAGCATCCTCCCTCGCTCCCAACTTTGGCAGGTTCCTCCTGAACTTCTGGCTTCCAGAGAACTCCCCAATCGGGGTGACGCCATGGTTGTTTCTGGGAACACAGGTAAAGGGGGATTTCTGCCTTTTATTAGATAAATATCTATTCTTTGAATTTTGCATTAGGAGATTGAATGAACTTAGTAAAATGGCTTTTGGGTTTTTGTCCTACTTAGAAAGCTCATCCCTACTTAAGGACTATTTTAAAAAGATTCTCCCACTTTTCATTTAGCATACTTTTATGGTTTGATCTAAATATTTAAATATCTGTTCCATGTAGAGCACACATATGAGAAATGAGGTAAGGGTCGAACTTTACATTCTTTCCTTGTGGTCACCCATTTATCTCTATATGTAGTATTGAAGGACTTGTCTTTCTTCCACAGAGATAAGATCTACTAGTATCGTATCCTAAATCTTCTGTGTTTTTAATTTTAGTATCACCCTCATTAGGCTTCTTTTCCAGAATTATTCCAGTAATTGCAAAATTAAAAAAAAATATATGTGTTGTAGAATCAGCTTTTCATTTCTTTAAAAAAATCTTGTTGGTAATTTTATCAGGAAAGCACTAAATTTATAGATTAATCCAAGAAAAACCGGCATCCTCTGATTAATGCAAGTTGTCTTTTGAGTCCCTCAGTAGCAGTTTAATGGATTTTTGTTTTTCCTTTTTTTCCCCGGGTGGATCTTGTATGTTTCTTAAGTTTCTTCTAAGAACTTATAGAATCTAAATTCTCCTGTGACTTCAGTTTCAGCCTGAATATTAAGTAGTAATTCAAAGCAAACAGAATCTTAGAGTTATGTTTCAAATAAATAAGTCACGCTGTCTGGTGCACACTCTAACTTCTGGACTCTTCTCTTTAAATACTGGGCTATCCCGAGATTAGATACACATGGAAGAGTTATGAATATAGAATCACTTTTCTTCATATGATACAGTCTTCAAGAAGCAATTCATACCTATGTACTATATTTAAAATAATAAATACATAATTTTTAAAAATAGAGATGGGGTCTTGCTAGGTTTTCCAGGCTGGTCTTGAACCCTTGGCCTCAAGTGATCCTCTTGCCTCAGCCTCCCAGAGTGCTAGGATTACAGGTGTGACCCACCATACCCAGCCATAAATACATAATTTAAATTACACACTCAATTACAAATTATTACACAATTATAAAGTGTGTAATTTTCTTCCAGAATGCAGTAAACTAGTTGATTTTAACTGAAAAGACTCATGTAATAAAGAAAAGAGTAGGGGCCGGGTGCGGTGGCTCAAGCCTGTAATCCCAGCACTTTGGGAGGCCGAGGCGGGTGGATCATGAGGTCAAGAGATCAAGATCATCCTGGTCAACATGGTGGTCTCTACTAAAAATACAAAAAATTAGCTGGGCATGGTGGCTCATGCCTGTAATCCCAGCTACTCAGGAGGCTGAGTTAGGAGAATTGCCTGAATCCAGGAGGTGGAGGTTGTGGTGAGCGGAGATCGCGCCATTGCACTCAAGCCTGGGTAACAAGAGCAAAACTCCATCTCGAAAAAAAGAAAAGAGTAGGGAAAAAAAAGTAAAATATCTCACAATTTGTGAGGTTGAAAATTTTGAGAAATAAAGATGGCGACTCTTACCGACACAAGATTCCCACGATGTTTCGCACAGGAGAACCATGCAACAAGGGCCTCACATTGCCAAGTCTGCTCAAAAACTCTGTGGTTTCATTCACTCTGCCAACTCTAAATATCTGCAAGAAATCCACTGGGCTCTTACTGTAAGAATTAGAAGAAAAGCCTTTAGATTACATAATTGAAAACAAAACAAAGAATCATTATAGCAGAAGAAAGCCCAGAAGGGTCCAAATGTCCATTATTGGGAAACGGATTCAATGAGCCACAACACAGCGTATCTTGGAAGTATTATGCAGCTATTAAAAAAATCAAATTTTTCAAAAAAACAAGGATATGTGGTAAAGTGTACAGTAAAATATAAACTTTAAAAGTTGATTACAAAACTTTATACATAGTATGATCCCAATTTTGTCAAATATATAATACATAGAATATATTGTTCTTGCTCTGGGTGACAGAGCAAGACCATGTCTCTTAAAAATAATAAAAATAAAAAAGAATGCAACTTCTAGCCTCTCACAGTGGCTCAGGCCTGTAATCTCAGGACTTTGGGAGGCCACGGCAGGTGGATCACCAGAGGTCAGGAGTTCGAGACCAGCCTGGCCAACATGGTGAAACTCCGCCTCTACTAAAAATACAAAAATTAACAGGGTGTGGTGGTGCATATCTGTAGTCCCAGCTACTTGGGAGGCTGAGGCAGGAGAATCACTTGAACCCGGGGGCAGAGGCTGCAGTGAGCTGAGATCGTGCCACTGCATTCCAGCCTGGTGACAGGGTGAGACTCCATTTCAAAAAAAAGTTATCAAATACGTAATTTTAAGTGTTTAGAAACCAGTCAGGTTTGAAGAGAGTGTTGTCAACAAAGGCCTCTCTTGGGAGGTGACATTTATTGGTGGCACCATAAACTGTGTATTAAGACCTCACTGGTTATTATGGGTTGGATGCCGCAGGAGTGGAGGACATCTGGAAGGACACTGTAGATGGGATAAGGTGACCTGGACTAAAGAGGGCGGCAGAGTGAATGAAAGTGAGATAACGGATGAAGGACACTTTGAAGGCAGAATTGACAGAACATGGGATTGTGGGGATGAGGGGCAGAGAGACCCCACACTAGTTCTGAGTGGGTAGCTAAGATGGGCAATAGCAGGGGGGACTGGGGTATGGCGGAGGGCAGCGCTGTGGTGGGAGGAAGGGCACATCTTCCCAACCCCACGTCCAGCAGCCTCAAGTCAGTACCTTCACATTAGCTATGGTAGGAGTATTTGCTCCCCAGAGCTCAGCAAATATTCCACACCAGGACTTTTCCTCTACACAGCTGGCTAACCAGCAACACCCGCCCCGCAGGGTGAGCAGCACTGGGATGATTCGGGCTAGGTTATGGTCTACACCCAAATGTTAACAGTGGTCATATTATTTCTGGGTTATCTCTGGGTGGTGAGATTTTGAGTGATTTTTTCCTTCATATTTTTAGATATTTTCTAAGCTTTTAGCAAAGAATATGTGTTTTATAACTAGAAAAAATAATATAAAGAAATCATGATTAGTGAAACGAAATGAAGAAAATCTAACTTTTCACAGCAGCAGGATCTTTCCTTAGTCACACTTTAGCTGTGTGACTGCTTTTGTATTTGGGGGGTGGGGTGGCTCACCAAGGGCTTGCTCAGGTAGCCCTGGAGGGCTGAACTGCAGCTGCCACACGGGGGCTTGATATGGCTCTTCCTGTCTTTCTGGAAAAGCTTATTCCCCTCCCGATTCTACCTTCCTTGTCACTGGACTCTTAATTAGTGTATACACTAATATACACTAAGGGAGGATCAAAGGTCAAACCAAAAAGTCAAACCAATTTGATTACATATAAAAACAAAATCTGGAGAAGGTCTGTGGAAATGAATGTTTTTGAGGCAGAGTCTCGCTCTGTTTCCCAGGCTGGAGTGCATGATCCTGGCTCACTGTAACCGCACCTCCTGGGTCCAAGCTATTCTTGTGCCTCAGTCCCCGGAGTAACTGGGACCACAGATGTGTGCCACCACACCTGGCTAATTTGTGTATTTTTAGTAGAGATGGGGTTTCACCATGTTGCCCAGGCTGGTCTCCAACTCCTGACTTAAAGTGATCTGCCCACCTTGGCCTCCCAAAGTGCTGGGATTACAAGCGTCAGCCACCATACCTGGCTCAGATTTTTTAAAAATTAAAGTGAAATTCCAAAAAGATAAAATTAACCATTAAGTATACAATTCAGTGGTATTTAGTACAGAACATTGAAAATGTCATGTAATCATCACCTCTAGTTCCAAAATTTTTATTTGCCCAAAAGAAAACCCCATACCTTTTGGCTATCAGTCCCTATACTTCCCTCTCATGGTGCCAGGCAATTTGCTGTCTCTGTGGATTTACCTATTCTAGATATTTCATATAAATAGAATCATATAATATGTGGCTTCTTTTACCCAGCACAATATTTTTGAGGTCCACCCATTTGTAATATGTGTCAGTACTGCATTCCTTTTTCATGGCTGAATAGCATTCTATTACATATATTTATCATGTTTTGTTTATCCACTCCCCTGTTGATGAACATTTGGGTTATTTCCACTTTTTGGCTGTTTTGAATAGTGTTGCTATGAATATTCATGTATAAGTACCTATTTGAGTACTTGCTTTCAAGTCCTTTGAGTATAGAACTAGGAGTGGAATTGGTGGTTCTTATCATAATCATATGTTTAATTTGTTGAGGAATCATCAAACAGAGGCTGCATCATTTTTCCCTCCCACTGGCAATGTGTGAGGCTTTCAGTCTCTCTACATCCTCACCAATGCTTATAATTTTCCATTAAACATAAATCATAGCTATCTTAGTGGGTGTGAAGTGGTTTTGGGAGTGGATTCTGAGGATGATCAAGGAAAGCAGAACATAGTTTTAGTTGGGTCTGAGTCAGGCCATAAGGTAAGAGTGGCTGGGTGTGGTTTTAATGGGGCTCTGGAAAACCAGCTCAACAACAGCAGCAATGCCCCTGCACAGCTCTGATTTGCAGCATTTGCTGATTTCCATGGTACAAATCCTCCCTATGTCCAATTTCAAGTTACCAATGGTTTAACAACCAGTTCGCCAAATCTCTTAAACGTTGACAACTGGCTCTTATAAGCTGCTATGTGCAGCTACAACTCACCACCCTTCGTTCGAAGGGCTGTGCCACGCTGACGAAGAGGAACTGCTGCAATGGAATGAACCACCAAGTCAACAAGAGTCAGTCCCATGCTTGAGAACAAACATGCACTGGAGTTTCTGAACTGAGAAGCTGGGCACAGACAGCTGCGGTGACCCTCAGGAGTGCTCACACCCAGTGAGGGCTCATCTGGACAGCTGGTCCATCATGTTTGTGTTACTGGAGAATGCACATCAGCACAGGACCCCGGGTATGCACAGTGAGGGCGCAAGTGTAGCTGGTATTTAGGAACGTGTTTTCCAGGTTTTCAGGTGCAGTTTTTCCTGCCACAGAGAGGCCACATTGGAAGATGCCATACACACATTTCTGCATGTTTAAATCTTAGTTTCAGGGGCTTTTTCTCTGAATAACCTACAAAATACAAACTGAAACACCTTTTGAATTAAAAATGTTAAATTTAATCTGCAACAAGATTAGGTAACCTTGAAGTCAGAGTGGAATATAGAGGGTGCTTTCAAGCACAGAATACTGCCCCAGGCACTATTATGAACACAGAAGAAAGTAATTTGTCAGCATACCACTGCTACTGTGGCTTGTTGCTGAAGATGAAATTATCTAGGTAATTACTGTGATCAGCTCTTTAACAGAGTCTCAAAGAGCATTATATCATAACGGATACTGAGATACTTCCTTTATGCTTACCTGTGATTATTCTGCAAAACCTCTTGTCTAACCCTGAGAAATTCTTCAGTATTCTTTTCAACATGCTCAATTTTACATCTCAAAGCTCGGTATTTGGCAAGGGACGGTGGGTTGGGTTTGGACAAATTAGTTTCACAGACATTAACCATGTCTCTTATTAGCTGTCGGTGGAAATAATATATAGATATATCAGAATCACCACATATCAAAATTCATATTACATTAATACTTTCTCAAAACGATGGGAAAAGTCCATTTCCCCCCAAAGCTTGTTTTACTTTATTCATTTCTGAGACAGGTCTTGATCTCACCCATGCTGGAGTGTAGTGGCATGACCACAGCTCATTGCAGCCTCAACCTCCTGGGTTCAAGCAATCCTCCTACCTTAGCCTCCTGAGTAGCTGGGACCACAGGTATGAGCCACCACTGCACTCAGCTTTCCCAAAAGCTTTTGATCAATATTTGCTATTAGTGGTGCATTAAAGTAGCTGGGTGCAATGGCTTATACCTGTAATCCTAGCACTTTGGGAGGCTGAGGCAGGAGGATTAGTTGTGGACAGGAATTCAAGACCAGCCTGGCCAAGATGGCGAAACCCCATCTCTACTGAAAATATAAAAAATTAGCCAGGCATGGTGGCATATGCCTGTAATCCCAGCTACTTGGGAGGCTGAGGCATGAGAATCATTTGAACCCAGGAGCACGTGGTTCAGTGAGCCGAAAACGCACCACTAAACTCCAGCCTGCGCAATAAAGCGAGACTGTCTCAAAAACAAAAAGTGAAAAAAGGTCAATATAATTGCCTTACTGATAGCACAATACATGATAGTGGTTGTAGAGTACATCAGCACAGCACATAATTGTTAATAAAGGGTTTTCATATACATTATTCATTTATTCCTCTCTAGGACACGGAGGTCGATTTTATTATCCTCATTGACAGAGGCTCTGCAATGTTAATCAATTGTTCAAGACCCCACAGTGAGGAGCAGACAGTGAACAAATGGGATCTCAGAACGCTGAGACCTCACATCCAATTGCTTCAACAATTCAGTAGGTGTGTTTGCTATGCCAGACACTGGATTAGGTTAGAAAGACAGATGAATAAGGCATGGGTTCCTTCCCTGAGTGGAAACCCAAGTATTCCTTTGTCTATTCCCAAATCCTGGAGCTTGGAGAAGGGAACTGCAGCCCCAGCGATGTGGGTTACGTTTAGTCTCTGGACTTGCTGCTTTCACATCTTATTGTTATTATGACTTTTTGAGATGGAGTCTCTCTCTGTCGCCCAGGCTGGAGTGCAGTGGCGCAATCCCGGCTCACTGTAACCTCCACCTCCTGGGTTCAAGCAATTCTTGTCGCTCATCTTTATGATCGTAGTATGGGGAGGCCCTTTCTAATTATAACTCAAACTCACCAGCCATAAAAGATCAATGCATTTTTCTGTATAAAAGCAAAAATCTTCAGTAGGTAGAAATAAAACAAGTTAACCACCACCACCACTAATAACAAAAAAACTCAAGTAAGCAAAGTAAAAAGACAAACAGGAAAATATCTGCAACTCATATCACAGAGGCTTACCCTCTAACACAGGAAGAACCCTTAAAAATCATGAAGAAAAACAGTAGAAACCAAAAGAACAAAGGACAGAAAACAGACAGTTTGCAGAAGGAGAAACAAATGGCCCATAGTTGTCTGGAAAGGTGTTCCAGACAACTTCGGCTCCTCGCAGCACTGAGGGATTACGTCTCATCCCTAAGGTTAGTAAAAGCATCTGAGTTTGACAAACATGCTCTTGGTAAGGCTCTGGGAAATAGAAACTCCTGTTCGAGAGTAGGTGGGCAAAAGAGTGCAGCGCTTAGGAGAGAATCAGCTAATATCTATCCTTGAAGCCAGCCCTTCTCGGACCCTTTCCTAGAGACAATCCTGTACAAGTGCAAAACAACAAACATACAAGGTTATTCACTGGGGCACTGTTTGTTGCAGCAAAATCTGAAAAGAATCCAAAGGCCCGGCAGTCAGGTACATCCCGCAATGCAGCACATCCCACAGTGGAATGTGAGAATGAGGGGCAGCTGCATCTAGGATACATGGAGAAAAGCAAGATGCAGAACAGCAAAGATAGTCTTTTTATACAAAAATGGGAATAAGAATTTATGTTTATAAGGTCGGGCACAGTGGCTCACGACTGTACTCCCAGCACTTTGAGAGGCAGAGGCAGGTGGATCACTTGAGGTCAGGAGTTCGAGACCCGCCTGGCCAGCATGGTGAAACCCCCATCTCTACTAAAAATACATAAATTAGCTGGGCATAGTGGCAGGCGCCTGTAATCCCAGATACTCAGGAGACTGACTCAGGAGAATCACTTGAACCCAGGAGGTGGAGGTTGTAGTGAGCCTAGATCATGCCAGTGCACTCCAGCCCAAGCAACAGAAAAAAAAAAGAATTTATGTTTATACATGTATTTGTATAAAGGAACTCTGAAGACAAAAAGAAATGAATAAAATTAGCTACCTGTGGAGTTGGAGAGGAGAATAGGGTGGAGTGAGCAGGGTAGAACAGGGATTTCTCTGAGTATATCTTTTTAACATAATTTTGCCTCTTTAATCATGGAGATGTATTATCTATTCAAAATATAAATTTAAAAGAAAATATATCTGAATGGGCACTACACATTCCCTCTTAGCAACACTGATGACTGAGATTACTTTTTTTTTTTTTTTAGATGGAGTTTTGCTCTTATTGCCCGGGCTGGAATGCAGTGGCACGATCTCGGCTCACTGTAACCTCCGCCTTCCAGGCTAAAGTGATTCTTCTGCCTCAGTCTCCTGACCACCACACCCGGCTAATTTTTGTATTTTTAGTAGAGATGGATTTGGTCATGTTGGCTAGGCTGGTCTTGAACTCCTGACCTCAGGTGATCCACCTGCTTTGGCCTCCCAAAGTGTTGGGATTATAGGCATGAGCCATCACGCCTGGCCAACTGATATTCTTTATGTTTGATGTTAGGTAAATCACAGAATTTTAAATTTGGAAGGGTCTTATATCTTCTCATTGACCAGTTCCTTCCTTATTTTGGATTACTGATTCCTCTAGGAATCTGTTGAAAGTGATCATTTCCCAAACATGCAAAATTTCACATCTATAAACTCTGAAGTCTAGGATACGGATCTCTGATCTTGGCCCAATCCCTGCATGCACAGATGAGGCAATGCAGACCCAAAGAGTGACTTCAGCCTCGTCCAGGGCAGGGCTGGCTTCTGTGGATGCCTTCCTCTACTCACTGAGCCCGCTCCTCTCCTGGCAGCTCAGAAGAGATGGCCCATTTCTGAGTAGCCACAGTGGCTCCAATCTCCTCGACAGTGACTGCTTTGTGCACATGGCTTGATTCTGACCAGAGAAATGTGAGTCAGCCAGGGGAAAGAGCTATTACAGATGTGATGCTATGAACTACTGCAGTTGTCTGTGGATCATGAGGAAGCTGGGCTGAGAGCAGAGCTGTCACTCTACAGGAAGTACAGAGGGATGGAAGGAGGCTGGGACCCTGATGATAACACTGACACACTGAGTCTCGGGGTGACCTGGGCCAGTAGGCAGCCCACAGCTGGATTTCTTATTGTCTGAGGTATAAATGTTCTCATTGTTTAAGTCAGTGGCAGTTTCCCATTTCTTCTGCAGAGAGGATCGTAACTCATTCCAGGGTTTGAAAAATTATTTCAGAAGATAGCAATTCTAAACCTATTTCTGCATTTATGTCACCATGCCAACATATTCACACTTGAAAATATGGTTTAAGTAACTTTCATAAGGACTCTGGACTTTCTAAAATTGTACAACAATTTGTTTTCTAGCACAACTCTGGAGACAATTTCATGATTCAGTGTTACCTTATTCATCAGATTTTTAAAGACCCCCACCCCCAACATACTTTATAATCAATTGAATTCTGTGTTTCAGAGGTTTACCTGGCAGAGGTCTGCTTTCTTAGCCAATAGTCCCAGGTTCACTTCTTTGGGCATTGTGCCTTTGTGAGGTATCAGTCTGTAAAACTCTGTCATCATCTTTTGCAGTTGCTCTGCTGTCTCTCCATTTCTCAGTGCTGCCTTCACTAGAAGGAGAACTCCCTCTGCCTTGCTTACCTTTCAACAGAAGATCATAAATGCTTATTAAAACAAAATTTTGATACAGAAATTAAGGAGCATGCACAAAAATATCTAAAATAATTGTTGGACATGTCAAAACTATCCATTTTCTGCAGAACAGCTATCACAAAGCAAATGCCCATCTTTATTGGAGACGTATCTCAGTTGTGACAATGATGCCATGAGGATTATTGCAAACCTGGGCTCAGTTTTACTAGACGAAAGAACCAGAGTCTTATATTTCTATATATATGTTGACATATCTACATACATATACGCAGAGAGAGAAACGTTAATGCAACTGTGAGAGGCTTGCTTTTCACATGAGAAATTTAGGAAGATGTCAGAATTAGACCAGGGCTAAAAATCTCCTAAAGATTTTCTAATTACACAAGTACTTCATGGGCTTTACCCCAAGAAGCCATTTTCTCCTTGAGATAAATTAGCTTAATTCCACAAAGGAAAATTATCCTTATTTATTTCAATACAACAATGTAGTTGCTTAAATTGTACCACTGGGGATATCTTGGTTTGCCTGCTCTTTCAGTTGCAATTATACTTAAGAAGGGAAGAACATTTTCTGGTGATCTGGAGGCATGCCTGCCTTTCCTGAGACAGTCAGAGGGTGCGAGACCGTGGAGTCACTAGGAAGTGGGCTGGGGTCTGGAAATCTAACTAGGGACCAAGACCACCCATATCTCTCCAGCTTCCTGCAAACTTCTTGGCACAAAAGATCAGTCCTCCTAATTGGCCAGCACCAGAGGCCTGCCTTTGATCGGATCTTGAGGCTGACATTTTACAGACAGGGATGTCTAGTTTTCTCAGATGCTTATTTTCTCCTTAGTACTCTTGGTGGTCCCTTTCTTCAGGGTACAAGGAAAGAACATTCAGGAATGAATTTCAGAGCATTCAGACCAGCATGCAAACACAAGTGTTCTTACTGAAGCCAATCAACCACGAGGCAGGTTTCTCACATCGGTTCAGTGACACAGACTTACATCGTTGAGGCTAATTGTGTTCACTGGCTTGAGAAGTGTGTGCTCCAGGTGGCCCAGGGCCTCTGCCCAAATCAGCTCTATTAAATCGCTCACCTCTTGGCTCAGAGTGCTTGAATTCATGACTTCCTCCAAAAGCAACTGCAACAATAAAACAGAAACAACACCAAAAAGTCAACATGTGTGAAGGCCAACAAACAGAGATGTGAGGAGAAATGACTGATTACAACCCAGGAGTCATCGCCAGCCAGGTAACTGCTGGGTCCTCTGTCTTCCTTCATTCTCTCTTCTCTGATTCACTTCTACCCCCTTTTCTTCCTGTTCTATTATTTTCTTCACCCTGTAAGCTCTAGGTCTGTCTGTGGCATTCAATACACGCAATCAGGTTTAAGGACCCTTGACTCATGGCCTAGGTTGTAAAGAGATCTCTCAAAATCTGGGAGGGACTGCTGTTGAAATAAGCAGTAAATCTCATGGCTTATCCTAAAATGCATTCACCACTCAGTTTCCATGCCTTTCTATGAGTTCACATTTCCTTTCCTGAACTCCTCCTCTTCCCTCCTGACATTTATTTATTTATTTGAGACAGGGTCTTCCTTTATTGCCCAGGTTCGGGTACAGTGGCATGATCATAGCTCACTGTAACCTCAAACTGCTGGATTCAAGTGATCCTCCTGCCTTAGCCTCATGAGTAGCTAAGACTACAGGCACACCACCATTGGCAACATAGTGAGACCCATTTCTATAAAAACTAAAAAACTAAGAAATGGGCCTCACTATGTTGCCAAGACTGGTCTCGAACTCCTGGCCTCAAGTGATCCACCCACCTTCACCTCTCAAAGTGCTGGGATACAGGCGTGAGCCACCAGGCCTGGCCCAGTTTTTTATTTGTAATAGAGAAAACATTTCTATTAAAAATATTCAATCAATAAAAACAAAAAACTATAACTCAGTCTTACTGCTTGCAATTGTTCAGATGCTAATCGGGTTGCTTCAGGTGTGAAATGTTCTCTTAGTAGAAATCCTTCTTTCTTCAGTTCTTCAATGTAATTTTCATAGTATTCACTTGCGTCTTCAGAGGTTTTCTTTATAGCAAACTGTCTTCTAGTCTGTGAATTATGGTATATAGGAAAAGTACAATAATTATTTACATATCTAGCTTTATTGAACATAAAGCATTAGTTCCTTGACATGAAGCTTATAAATTAGTTTTTTTCAAAGTATTACTTAAATTTTAAATTCTTTTTCTTTTCCTTTATTTATTTATTTTTTTTTGAGACCGGGTCTTGCTTTGTTGCCCAGACTGCAGTGCAGTGGCACGATCTTGGCTCACTGCAACCTCCACCTCCCAGGTTCAGGTGATTCTCCTGCCTCAGCCTCCTCAATAGCTGGGACTATAGACATGTGCCACCACGACTGGCTAATTTTTTTTGTATTTTTTAGTAGAAACGGGGTTTCAACCATTTTGGCTTGAATAACTCCTGACCTCAAGCAATCCGCCTGCCTTGGCCTCCCAAAGTGCTGGGATTACAGGCATAAGCCACAATGCTCAGCCAGAATTACAGAATTACTAAAATTTTAAACTCTTTTTTTTTTTTTTTTTTGAGATGTTGTCTCACTCTGTTGCCAAGCTGGAGTGCAATGGCACCATCTTAGCTCACTGCAACTCCGCCTCCCAGGTTCAAGTGAGTGATTCTTCTGCCTCAGCCTCCCGAGTAGCTAGGACTACAGACGTGCGCCACCACACCCAGCTAATGTTTGTATTTTTAGTAGAGACAGGGTTTCACCATGTTGGCCGGGATGGTCTCTGTCTATTGACCTTGTGATCCACTCGGCCTCCCAAAATGCTGGGATCACAGGCGTGAGCCATCACGCTCGGCCTAAACTCTTTTTTTTTTTTTTTTTTTTTGAGACGGAGTTTCGCTCTTGTTACCCAGGCTAGAGTGCAATGGCGCAATCTCGGCTCACTGCAACCTCCGCCTCCTGGGCTCAGGCAGTTCTCCTGCCTCAGCCTCCTGAGTGGCTGGGATTACAGGCACGCACCACCATGCCCAGCTAATTTTTTTGTATATTTAGTAGAGACGGGGTTTCACCATGTTGACCAGGATGGTCTCGATCTCCCGACGTCGTGATCCACCCGCCTTGGCCTCCCAAAGTGCTGGGATTATAGGCATAAGCCACCGCGCCCGGCCCTTGGCCTAAACTCTTAATAAAAGATTACAAGGTCAAGAAATCGAGACCATCCTGCTCAATAAGGTGAGACCCCGTCTCTACTAAAAATACAAAAAAATTAGCTGGGCATGGTGGCGCGTGCCTGTAATCCCAGCTACTCAGGAGGCTGAGGCAGAATTGCCTGAACCCAGGAGGCGGAGGTTGCGGTGAGCCGAGATTGCGCCATTGCACTCCAGCCTGGGTAACAAGAGCGAAACTCCGACTCAAAAAAAAAAAAAAAAAAAAAAGCCTACAACGTGGAGGTAAAGGGGAAAAAGCTTGAGAAAGCACAGCAGACAGGAAAGATCATTTGTTTCACTGGAGAGTCACTCAAAGCTTCCTTCCAAGCCTACAGACTGTTTACAAACCATTCTAATTAGCTTTGAAATCTGGCTCTCCAGCTTTTTGGAAATGAGAAAAATACTTCAGAAAGGAAGAATTGTTAGAGACAGGCACACAGCGAAAATAAAATCACAGCGGAAAGCTATTCGGTCGCCCATGTGTTGAAGAAAGGCCCCAGCTCCTCCCTCATCCCAAACTATCTATGGGGGCAGCACTTTCTGCTCTTCTGGGAAACTCCTGCTCCTGTAGTGGGCAGTGATCCTAACATTAACCCCAGAGAATCTGGGAGAATTTGCCCCAACTCGGAGCCCTGGTGTTCTTGTAGGTGTTGGCTGAGCCCCTGGCTTGGGGGTGTGGCCTCTGGGAAGCCACTCTACTCAGGATAAGCCGCCCACTGGGATAGGGGGAGCTGCGGGATGCCTCTGAAACTTGGAAAAAAGAAGTGCCTGTTGAAGTCACTCCATTTAAGAAGGTAGAGTTTAACATAATTTTCGAAATTTCCATCGAAATGGTTTTATTTAGCCGAAGGACAAGCTGGAAAATCCTCTTCAGCAGAACAGCTGGCTGAGGCTCATTGCTATCAAGGCTTCTCTGCTCAGCAAACCAGGCTCACCCAAGGGATGCTCTATGCAGACTCAGGCTTGCTAAGGGAAGAAGGCACCCTGAGTGATGTCCTGGCCTGTACAGTGCTACAGTTTCCTTTCTCAAGGAAGAAAACAATAACACTTTCTGTCATGTTTTTCCCACTTCATTTTTACTTACTCCTTACCCAAACAATGAAATCCGCCACAAAGTACAGATACATTTCAGGGCACAAAGTTAACAAAAACCCTTCTCCTTCTTGGACATATCTGACCATGGATTAGCTTTCTTACTCTGCTTCCACGCAAATCTGATAAAGATGGCATGCCAGCTTTAATAGCAGGCAAAATTGCTGATGTAATTGTGGCCTCTCATTGACAAACTGTATTGAGACTGAGGGTTCCATGGTGGGAAACCCAAGCTTTGGGCTTCTCTGAGAGCAGTGACTCATATAATTGGGTATGTCCCTTGAGAGCATCTGGAACCCAAAACAATGTTACAAGAGCAATGGGCTTCTTTGGGGTAGGGCTTCCAAGTCAAGTGGATCTCATATCCACCTGATGTGAGTCTCCTTCTCTTGTAGCTGAGCTGACACCCAGTGTGGGTACAAAGGGAAAAGCTCCTGGAGCCTGTGTGGACCTTTGTGAGGGCCACTCCCACTGAGAAGTGACTGCTTCCTGGCCCAAGACAGATCTGTAGGCTGGGCATGGTGGCTCACGCCTGTAGTCTCAGCACTTTGGGAGGCCAAGGCAGGTGGATCATGAGGTCAGGAGTTCGAAACCAGCCTGGCTAATGTGGTTAACACACAAAAATTAGCCAGGCGTGGTGGTGTGTGCCTGTAATCTCGGCTACTCAGGAGGCTGAGGCAGCAGAATCGCTTGAACCCGGGAGGTGTAGGTTGCAGTGAGCCAAGATCGCGCCACTGCACTCCAGCCTGGGCAATAAAGGAAGACTCTGTCCCGGCCGGGGGCCCGGGGGAAGATCTGTAACTCTGAATGTCTATTTGAGAAAGGCTCTTGGTAGGTGTTGCAACCTTTTATTTAAACTTCAGGCATTAATTCTGAATTTATTTTTGTTTCATGATTGTTTCAGATTGGAGCTGTGCTCTTGACCTGATACTGACCTAGGGCAAAGGTCATGGCCTCTGCAAAGACTCCCTTGTTGTTCCCAGGGCTCTGTGACCTTGAGCCCTCAATACCTCATATACATATTCAGAACTGGAACTGTCACTGTGGATTGCAATGAGTGTTAGCTCTTTCTAGACAGTAATTTCTGAGAGTCAAGATGTGAAGCTTTTTTTAAATGCTGAGTGCCAGCCCTAGTAGATTGCTTGATACATAGCAGATGCTTAATGAAGTGGAATGCTTTCAGAGGTGTAAATGTCAGGAAAATATCCCGTAAATGATTTGGAACAAGAGCAGAAATGCTATATACCCTGCACCCGTTTACATTCCCTTCTAGTGCTGATCTACTCAGGGGTGAGGTCCTCCCCTCCCACACTCCAAAGGGGAACACATTTCCCCTTTGCAAAATTATTTACCAGGTGTTATGGCTGAACTGTACCCCTACAAAATGCACATGCTGAAGTCCTAAGTCCCAGGACCTCAAAAATGGGACTGTGTTTGGAGACAGAGCCTTTAAAGAGGTAACTGATTAATTAATGAGATCACAGGGGTAGGCCCTGATCCAACATGACTGCTATCCTCATTCCAAGAAACGAGGACACAGATGCTCACAGGTGGAAGACCATATGAGGACACAGCAAGAAGGCAGCCGTCTGTAAGCCAAAGAGAGAGGCCTCGCCTCAGAAGAAATAAACCCTGCCACATTTTGACCTTGGACTTCCAGTCTCTAGCACTGTGAGAAATAAATGTCTGTTGTTTAAGCTCCCCAGCCTGTTGCATTTATTAATGGCAGCCTGAGCTAGGACACCAGGTAAGAAGAAAAAGGTTGGCAGGATGGCTGGTTCATTGAAATGAGGTACGAACAGAGGTCAGTAAACACATAGGAATCGATCTAAACAGCATTACCTGCATGCCATCAGCCAGGAGGAAGTGTGAGGATATCAGGAAAGGACAGTCCCTGGAGTCCCGTGAACACTGCAGCTCTACCACCACGGCTTCCCAGCCTCCCTCCATTCCCACCTGGAAAAGAGGATATACTTTCAGAAGCTGCACTCTCGAAACATCACTGACATGTGCCATTTGAAAATGTTGATTATAATTATAAAATAATATATGTTCATTTAGAGATATAATTTAGAAAATACAGAAAGGTATCAAGAAGAAAATTAAAATCACCTAAAATCCTATGACAGCAATACAATCACTATTAAGATCTTGGTATGTTTCCCTCCTGTATTTTTACCATAGATAGATCTGTGTATGTTTATACCATACCACTTTTCATGTTTTCTTTATCAAGGAGGGAAATGTTATTTTCAAATTATGTATTATTAACATATCTAAAAATACAAATGAAACATCACTTTGAAGGCTAGGGTCAATTTATATCTGCATATATTTTAGAGACAGAGGCCTTGCCATGTTGCCCAGGGTGGCCTCAAACTCCTGGGCTCAAGAGATCCACCTGCTTCAACCTCCTAAGTAGCTGGGAGCATAGGAGTGTGACGCCACACCAGACACTAGTGCTGATTTTCATTTGCATGACTTGGTAAAAAAAAAAAAAATTGTTTTTCTTTCTAATGCAAAGGGAATAGAAATGCAACATAGTATACATACTTAGTATCAAACTTTCCCTTTCCAAATAACAAGAAACTGTTAATAACAGGGAAGAGGACTTTTATTTTTAATGCCATATTGATATTTTGTACTGTTTAAAATTTTTTGCTATGAGCATGCATTACTTTTATAATATAAATACTAAAAATTTAGACATTAAGTTCTAAACATAAGCATTTTCTTGACTAGTAAGAACTGGGTCTGGGCACAGTGGCTCATGCCTGTAATCCTAGCACTTCGATAGGCTAAAGAGGGAGGATGGCTTGAGCCCAGGAATTCAAGACCAGCAACATAGTGAGACTTTGTCTCCACAAAAATAAATACTAAAATCAATTCATATTTTAAGGAATATACGATATTCAAGATATGCACAATTTTTCAAAACGAGAAAATGATTAAATAAAAAAACACTCAGAAGACATTCAAACAGGTTTTGTTTTGTTTTTGCTAACTAGAAATCAGATTCTTACTTTCTCCAGGGTGTTATATTTTGCAACTTCAAAATCTTGAGGAAGATGGGAAATTTCAACATTCTCTGTAGAAAACCTGAAATTTGTACAGTGTATAATTAAAATTTTAACATTAAAATGGATTTTAGGCTAAATAGAATTTCGTAACTTTTTTCTTGTAGATCCTTATAAAATACATGATAGATTTCTTACAAAATACATGGTTAGTACCTAAGGCCTCCTTAGGGAGAAATTGTTAAAAGATCATTTGAAATGAGCTGGATGGTTCCTCTGCATACTTCTCCAGCTCAGATGCCCAATGCCATAGCTTCTGCACTGGAAGATGGTGTCCATGTGGCACAGGCAGAGGCAGAAAGAAGTGGGCCACACTCTGGGGATGGGCTACTTGTGTTCGCTTGGGTCTGACTCTTAGAAGCTATGTCACTCCTCTCTGGACCACAGTCCATTCTCTCTAAAATAAAGGAGTCAGACTTCTCATAATCTGTGGTTTTCATTTTGGATTTTCTTCTCCTTAAACATGATTATTAACAAATATAACAAAACTGAATGTGATGCCTAATTAACCTGATGTTTTGGGTATGCTTTAAGCAGCCATATAGAACTTTAGACTTACACACTCCATTTGAGGAAGGCTGTTGTTATTTTCATTTTTCAAAATATCAGGCAAAAGTAACAAACTCTAAAGATTGCTCAGTAAAGTAATAGGATGAGAGGCTACCCAAATCTCATCATCACTCATAATACTGAGGAGATAAAAATAATGATCACTAGGCTGGGCGTGGTGGCTCATGCCTGTAATCCAAGCACTTTGGAGGCCAAGGCAGGCAGATCACCTGAGGTTGGAAGTTCAAGACCAGCCTGACCAACATGGTGAAACCCTGTCTTAAAAAAGAAAAAAGAAAAAATTAATGATCACTATATCAGTTGAAGTAAAAAGTCTCGAATAAAAAAATCACTAAAGAGTTAGATATGCAAAATAAATTAAAATACAAAAAAGTCTACAAATAGAATTTTAATACTGTGCTTGAGGTTTACACAAGCTTTCGCAAACTCTGTTGAGTCCTAGGAATCAGAAAGAAGTAAATTACTCATTGAGTTCCACGGTGTCTTCCTCCTCCATAGCACTGTCCAGGCATACATCTTCTGTTTTTGCTTCTAGAAGTAAAGCAAACAGCACACTTGTTTACTGCTCAGAGGCTTATAATTAGTTAACCTAAGTGCTGGAATTGTTAAGATTCATAAATATATCCTTAAATTAGTTATAATTTTGGGGATCAAAGGACAACCCAGTGGGAAAAGAGGAGGGTGTAACATTGTAAGAGGAAGGTACAACATTATAAGACAGTGAGAACCTATTCAAATTCAATTTTTATAGGCATATCAGGAGAATTCTCCTCTGTTATTATTTGAAACTCACTGATAGCCATACAATTTTCAATTGGCACTTTCCTGAGAGTTGGCACATCATGAGTGAAGGAGCTGGAGATACTCTAGCTTAGAGGAGGGAAACTCAAGGGCTCTGCATGTACTTTTCTTCATATTTTTCATTCAGGGAAACAGTAACACTATCTAGAGTATTGTGATATATAGGAATAACTCTTTTTTTTTTTTTTTGGAATAACTCTTAATTCAAGGACTTCTGTCCTGTTTTAATTACTGTCAAGATTCCAAAGACCATCAGGATATTTGTAGTAATTTGGAATCTGAATAAATTATGCTGGTTGTTATACAATATGTTTTCAATGTGAAAGGAATCTACTATTTTGCCTATTTCTGTTGTGACTATCATTTGCTGGGACATTGAGAAAGTCTGGTGACTGCAGCAGCATTTCTGGACGAGTGTCTAAGGAGGCTCCGCCCTGCCAAGTCATTATGTATCTAACACACACCATGTGCTAACTGTAAGCTGATATTTATCAGAACTGTTTGATTTTTGATGTGACTCAGGAAGAGTGAATTTCTCATGTCTAAAGCCTTTCTTCTTGGACAGATTCCAAAATAAAATCTTGGTTTATAAAGAAAATATGGCCGGGCGCGGTGGCTCAAGCCTGTAATCCCAGCACTTTGGGAGGCCGAGGCAGGTGGATCACGAGGTCAAGAGATCGAGACCATCCTGGTCAACATGGTGAAACCCTGTCACTACCAAAAATACAAAAAATTAGCTGGGCATGGTGGCACGTGCCTGTAATCCCAGCTACTCGGGAGGCTGAGGCGGAAGAATTGCCTGAACCCAGGAGGCGGAGGTTGCCGTGAGCCAAGATGGCGCCATTGCACTCCAGCCTGGGTAACAAGAGCAAAACTCCATCTCAAAATAAATAAATAAAAATAAAATAAAGAAAATATGTTTCTTTTGGGGAGACAATCTTTTGTTTGGAAGGAATTTCTTTAGCAAAACGCTGGTCATCGAATTTCCAGTCATTAGGGTGTAGTAATCATTGTTTAACACAAAGGCTTTTCCTTCCTCCTAGTTAGAAGCGCAATCAGGTTTTCTGAGATGATCAATGTTTTGTGGCCACCAGTTTGAATCTGATGCTACTAGGCTGGATACCAAGAAATCTATTTCTATTGCTAAAGTAGTCTTTTGTCCTTTATTTTTCTGTTCATTTTCTGAAGTAATAAGAAGTCTAATTGTTTTTGTGTATTTCTGGACAATTCTCTGTCTATAATATCTTTGACAAACCCAAGTGTGTACTATATCACCTATGATACATCAAGAGCTTGCTATGAAATACCTACCAGGACTGCTCGCCTTCTGATCAGGAGGTGGTGTGACATCCAGGGGCTTGTTAGGATCATAATTCTTTACATCCAAGAGTCTCTTTTCTCTGATAGATTCCCATATAAAATCTGGGTTTGCAATACGAACATGGTTCTTTTGGATAGAATTCAGTTGGTACTGACTTAGAACATCAGCATTGTCTAAGATTACATGTGTGCACTAAGAAAAAAAGAGTCAAGACATTACACATCAGTAAAAACATCTAAATAAGTTATCTGTATCTGTAATTTTCACTCTTAAAAAGTCATGTTTTAAGGTAGTTTGCAATAATTTTTCTCAAACTTCTAAAAACCTCTATAAATAACACAGTTTCTAGTAACATAAACATTTAAAAAATCAACAGAGTATGGATATGAATGTATCATAATTAATTAACCCTAGAGGTTATTTCTAAATTTTCATTATTGTAAACAATGCTGTGATGATTATCCTCATGTACACATCTTTGTGCACTTGTTCAATTATTTTCTTAGTAGTAGAAACGGGGGTTCAAAGGTTATTCATTTATTTTGTAATTTTAAAAAATCTTGTTTTTTCGTAGAGATGGGGTCTCGCTATGTTGATCAGGCCAGTCTTGAACTCCTGGCCTCAAGTAATTTTCCCACCTCAGCCTCCCAAAGTACTGGGTCTACACGCATGAGCCACCATGCCCAGCTTATAATTTTATTTAGTTTTTAATAAATAGTAAATTCACACCATAGAATATCTAGAAAATTAAATAATAATGACATGTTAATTTCTTCCCCACTGTTGTCCCCAGCTCCTCTCCCCAGAGGCATTTGTTGTTACTTGCTCCTCACATATCCTGCTAGAGCTACACTATGCGTAGACACATGGCAGTGTGCTACTCAGCCTCTTCTGTGCTGGCTTTTCCATTGAATTTATCTTGGCGATCGTTCCTCATCATTACATCTAGAGCTGCCTCCTTTACAGGAGCTGGTATGCACATTTCAAATGTTTACGCATATCACTGACTTCCACAAGGTTGCACTCAACAGTATGTGAGTTTCTAAAAAGAAAAAACCATGTTGGCAGTTTTCCACACAGAAAACAAACTGAGAAGGGGAGCGGGCACAATTTACTCATCTGTCCACAGAGATGGTGAGACAGCTCAGTATGGGAAGCTGTGTAAGGGAAGAATATACAATTCTACCTGAATTGGAAGGAAACAGGGACATTGCATTTCCGGTATTCAGCTGGAGTTGAACACACTGCACAGAACAGATGAGGCTCATTATGGCCAAGCCCCAGGGCTGAAGTCCAGAGAAGGGGCAGGCCAGCCTGGCACCTAGAGTCTTTGGATTTCTATTTTTCAGTTCTTACAACGAGGTAGTTTAAAAAAAAGAGATTAGACTGAATTATTTCCAAGATTTCATCCAGGTATAAAATCCTGTTATCTGAACTGCCAGCCCTACAAGTTCAAGAGACGGAAAGTAGCTTCCTGCAGCCTTTAAATGAGCAAAACAGACAGCATGAGCTACACTGCAAAGACGAGCCTGCACTGCATGTCTTTCTTTCTGCCTCCAGGAACCTGGCTTACCAGTGTATCACTGCAGCGTTGACATGCTGGTGAGTGATGACAGAGTGCTTTTTGCAAATCCTGTGCGCTATGACTTTCCCCTTCAAGAACAGATTTGTCTGGGCTGAAATTCTATTTTTATATTTGGCTGTGCTCTACTAATACCCTGCTTCATAGGACATGTGGGACTGTCCTGCGCTGGACTGGGCCTCCTCTGCCTCTCGGACCATTCTCCCAACGGACCATGTCACAGTCTCTCCTGATGAACTTGGAGTAGCTCACTCTGCCTCCTGCTGCTAATCTCCGCTTCCTCTGCTAACCATGACCCCTCTTCCCTAAATGCACAATGTTTTATCATACTGTAGTTTATGAGATTTGGAAATACCTGAGGATTTAATGAAAAGGAAAACTTTCCACCATTTTCCTTAATGTCAGCTTGTAGCTTTTTCTTCTGCTGCCGAGGTAAGTACTTCACTTTCAAACAGAAGATACAATTTGCAAAGATTCCCATCATCATCCTGTAGGAAAAAAAGGTTTTAAGGACTCTCTCTTATGTAAACATAATTGACAGTGAATTTAGAATTATTATACATGCAAACCATGAGAAAATTTTAAGAACGATATTGTAATCATGTTATAAATTGAACATTATGAAGTTGAATAACATCCTAGCTTGCAATATGTGTGTTGCTTAAGAATAATTTCTAGCTTTTATGGCTGATATAACACCAAAAACCCCTTTGTATAGGCTCATAATATACATCTTAATAAAAACGTGACATTTCAGTTACAGATCAAGTGTGTGACTCAAGAACATGGAAGCATTTATTTCTAAACTAAAAATTAACATTATGTGATAGTGAAACCATATATATATAATTCTATGCATTCGAAAAGACTCATTTTGTGGGTTTCTGTTAAGACATTCTGGGGAAAAACTGAACAACTGGAAATAAAAATATACAACTGCGTTTAAATGGATTATGTATGTGTGTGGATATACATATATATTCTGCAGTTAGGTTAATTTAATTCTTTTTTTTTTTTTTGGAGATGGAATCTCACTTTGTCATCCAGGCTGGAGTGGCGAGGCACAGTCTCGGCTCACTATAACCTCTGCCTCCCTGGTTCAAGCAATTCTCCTGCCTCAGCCTCCCAAGTAGCTGGGACTACAGGCACGCACCACCACATGTGGCTAATTTTTGTAGTTTTAGTAGAGACAAGGTTTCACCATGTTGGCCAGGCTGCGCTCAAACTTCTGATGTCAAGTAATTGGCCTACCTCAGCCTCCCAAAGTGCTGGGATTACAGGTGTGAGCCAGCGCACCCAGTTTGGGTTAATTTAATTCTTTTACTGTACCATATATTCTCACATACAGAAACGAATTACTTCTAAGAAAAATTAGCATATTTTGCTCTGAAATATGTATTTAACAATAAACATATTGGTGTTCACATAATACATGGTGAAATACTGGGTTTAATTTCCAGTAATTATCTTTCTTTTTTTTTTTTGAGACAGAGTCTCGCTCTGTTGCCCAGGCTGGAATGCACTGGTGTGATTTCAGCTCACTGCAACCTCCATTTCCTGGATTCAAGCGATTCTCCTACCTCAGCCTCCCAAGTAGCTGAGATTACAGGCGCCCACCACCATGCCTGGCTCATTTTTGTATTTTTAGTAGAGACGGGGTTTCGCCATGTTGGCCAGGCTGGTCTCAAACTCCAAATCTCAAGTGATCCTCCTACCTCAGCCTCTCAAAATGCTGGGATTACACCAGGCCAGCCTCAGAGAGAGAGAGAGAGAGAGAGGGAGGGAGAGAGAGAATGAGAGCGCTTGACAGTAAATGTAGGCTTTCTGTCCATCATTTGCTGGTTTTATGCTGAACAGTTGCTGTCCAGCACTCTCTCTCTCTCTCTCTCTCTCTCTCTCTCTCTCTCTCTCTCTCTCTCTCTGTGTGTGTGTGTGTGTGTGTGTGTGTGTGTGTGTCTTTCTTTAACCCTTGCCTTCCCTTGGAAACCTAACACCAGGAAGGCAGAAGTTGCAGTGAGGGGAGATCTGACACCTCACTCCAGCCTGGGCAACAGAGTGAGTCCCTGTCTCAAAGAAAAAAAATAAAGGAAAAGAAAGGCCGGGCGCGGTAGCTCATGCCTGTAATCCCAGCACTTTGGGAGGCTGAGGTGGGTGGATCCATGAGGCCAGGAGATGGAGACCATTCTGGCCAACATGGTGAAACCCGTCTCTACTAAAAATACAAAACTGACCCGAGTGCAGTGGCGGGAGCCTATAATCCCAGCTACTTGGGTGGCTGAGGCAGGATAATCGCTTGAACCCAGGAGGCGGAGGTTGCAGTGAGCTGAGCCTGAGCCACTGCACTCCAGCCTGGCCATAGAGCAAGACTCTGTCTCAGAAACCAAAACAAGCCGGGCGCCGAGGCTCATGTCTGTAATCCCACCACTTTCGGAGGCGAAGGCGGGTGGATCACGAGGTCAAGACATCGAGACCATCCTGGCCAAGATGGTGAAACCCCGCCTCTACTAAAAATACAAAAATTTGCCGGTGTAATGGTAGGCGCCTGTAGTCCCAGCTACTCAGGAGGCTGAGGAAGTACAATTGCTTGAACGCGGGAGGCGGACGTTGCAGTGAGCGAAGATAACTCAGTTGCACTCCAGGGTGGGCTACAAAGCTAGACCCTGTCTGAAAAAAAAAAAAAAAAAGCAAGGAGTCACGTCTAACAGGCTCCCTGCAAAGTAAGCTGCCATTTGGCGACACTGGTGCTAAGTCCTATGTTAGTCTGGGGATCGCGGTAAGTTTGGCGATAGCGGTTCCGGGTCCATGTCAGTTTGGGATCGCAGTTCTGGGTCCTGTGTAAGTTTGGGGATCGCATTCCGAGTCCTGTGTTAGTTTGGAGACAGCAGGATCTGTTTAGTTTGCGGATCACGGTTCTGGGTCCTGTGTAAGTGCTGGGATCGCGTTCCGGGTCCTGTGCAAGTTTTCAGATCGTGTTCCGGGTCCTGTGTTAGTTTGGGCAGGCTGGTCAGGCTCTCTGCCGTGGGCCCCGCGTGTCCGGGGACTAAGAGGAGTCGCTGAAAGCTCACCGCTCTGCACCGCGATTGGGCTCCGCGTTTCTCCTTTGCTTTGCCTGCCCTTGGACTTCCCACTCCTGCAGGCTGGAGGCCCTGCCCTACCTAGTACCTTTGCTGTGTGTGTGTTGGATGGCGGTACCCATTCCCTGGGCTTCCAATGGAGGACACAATGCCACTGCCTCCCTGACACCTCACCTCTGGGTCTCCTTGGCACCACAGAGGCGCCAGGTCCTCAGACCTCTTCATCCCTGTCGGCTGGAGACAACCACTGGGTGCTATTCTTGACTCGCTGCACACCCACCCCCTTCTGTCAGCTGTATCTCTTCCGTCACAGTCCCTGATACAGCCCCATCCATAGAACTTGTCCCTCCTGATGCCACCCTGGCCCATGCTCTCTCATCCTGACTGGCTCCCACTCCTGTTGCACCCGTGTTCAATCTCTTCTCCACACTGTACCTGGAGGAATCTTGATTTTTTAAAAATTACATTTCACGGTGGCTCACGCCTGTAATCCCAGCATTTTGGGAGGCCGAGGCAGGTGGATCACGAGGTCAAGAGATCGAGACCATCCTGGTCAACATGGTGAAACCCCATCTCTACTAAAAACAAAAAATTAGCTGGGCATGGTGGCACGTGCCTGTAATCCCAGCTACTCAGGAGGCTGAGGCAGGAGAATCGCCTGAACCCAGGAGGCAGAGGTTTCCGTGAGCCGAGATCGAGATCGCGCCATTGCACTCTAGTCTGGGTAACAAGAGCGAAACTCCGTCTCAAAAAAAAAAAAAAAATTACATTTCAAATAAAATACAAATTGCTTATCATGGTTCAAGGCCAGTGACTGTCCCATTTCCTCCTGGCCACGCTGGGCTTTTCTTCAGGAGGACGAAACTCACAGCTTAGTCCTTCAAGTCTTGACACATGCTGTTATATATTATAGCCCCTCTCCCTGGGACCCCAGCCCTTCCTCACCCCATGCTGTGTCCCCCATCCAGGACACAATGAATGAACACATTAGGGATTCAGATTTTTTAGTCTTTCGTTTGAGGTTGGGTTAAACTGAAGTCTCTGGATGCAATTCTGCCTTTCATAACATTAGCATGTACAAGTTTCATTTGTTCACTGCCTCTTACACTCACTAATTAGCATCTGTGCATAGATAGGAGGGTGAAATGAGGGGTACTGTAAAAGATTTCACCACACTATTTAGGTTAATCTATGCTAGTTGTAATCTGTGACAATTAAAGACAAGACAAAACACTTTTCAGGACAGTCTCTGTGTGATACTGCACCCCCAGCTATGCTGGCCAAGGCTGGCTGACATGGAGTGGCTGCTCAAGACCATTTCTTTCAGATGTCCTGGATGTGGTCAATCCTCTGACCTATTTAAAAAGTGTTTCTTGGAAAAGTGATTTATGGTCACAACTGAAAATGTGAAAAATACAGAACTGTATAGCAGCAAAAAAAACAATCTCAAAACCTAGGGACTATGTTAGCATCTTGTTTTATGTTCTTCTTCTGGGCTTTTTTCTAGGTCTGTGTATTACAACAGACTATATATATATATATATGTTTGTGTATATATATAATATGTATATGTATATTTTGTTTGTTTTTGAGACAAAGTTTCACTGTTGTCACCCAGGCTGGAGTGCAGTGGCACGATCTTGGCTTACTGCAATCTCTGCATCCTGGGTTCAAGTGATTCTCCTGCTTCAGCCTCCCAAGTAGCTGGGATTACAGGTGCCCACCATCATGCCCAATTAATTTCTGTATTTTTAGTAGAGATGAGGTTTCACCATGTTGGCCAGGGTGGTCTCAAACTCCCAACCTCAAGTGATCTGCATGCCTTGGCCTCCCAAAGTGCTGGGATTACGGGTATGAGCCGCCATGCTCAGCCACAGACAATTTTTTTTAATCACAATTGAAATCACACTACACACATAATACCTATCCTGCTAGTATCAGTCAGCATCTTATCTTTAGCATTTTGTCATTAAATATTATTTGGAAAACATTTTTAATAGAGGCTATCAGATAGGGACTATACATGATTTATTGTTGGAAAATTAAATCATTTCGAATTTTTGGTATCATAAAAAGCTATGATAAACATCCTTACATTGCAAATCCTTGTTTGCATCTCCTACAACCATCTTAGAAAATAATATTTAACTAGAGCTACCATATCAAAGTTTGAACAATTTTTTTTGTGTTAAAAGTTAATCACTATGAAGAAAAAATAAAAAGCACCTAAAATGATGGAAATGTTCAAAACTAGACTGCAATGATGGTACACAACTTGGTAAATTACTAAAAATTTTTGAATTGGGCCAGACAATGTGGCTCATGCCTACAACCCTAACACTTTGGGAGACCAAGCAGAGTGGATCACTTGAGCCCAGGAGTTTGAGACTAGCCTGGCCAACATGGCGAAACCC